CCTCTGTTATATAGTTGCAAGCATGGCACATTGTCTAATTAACAATTATTCCTCGAGCCCGAATGGGCTCTGAGTCAATAGCCCATGAGGCCGAAGACCAAATAGGCTATTGATTCAGAGGCCATGAGGGCGAGAGGAATAATTGTTTTAGTAAAATCCAACTAGTTGGTAAAAAATATCGAGATAAAACAACTTTAGCTAGTTAAAGCTAGACTTTAATCCTTTTTTGCCGCCAAAAAGCCCAAGCTTTTCGCTACTAGTGGGCTATAACATATAGCCTAGTAGTAGCTCAACCAATCAGAATGCAGCATTGTTAATAGTCCACTAGTTGGATTTTACTAAATTAAATTATGGCTGATGGCATTGTTCCTTTCCTATTCAGGCTGAACTATTAACAGGTTTGCCAGTGAAAACAGTAGACGATGCCGAGAAGGCTGTTATCATGTTACTAGACAGAGGAGCAGGACGGGTGGTAGTTACCTTGGGCAGGAAAGGCTCTGTTATAGGGACGAAAGAAAACCCCATGCCAAAACACATACCCATCAAACCTGCTGATCCTGTTGATACCACAGTAAGTTTGATAATATCGTATTTTTGATCTGGCCCCGGTTGTTCAAACGTTGGATAGTGCTATCCACCGGATAAATCACTATCCAGCGGATAAGTATTTGGGAAACCAATCGCACTATCCACTGGATAGAGATTTATCAACCGGATAGCGCTATCCACCTTTTGAGCAACTGGTGCCAGGAGGGTACTCCTTTCTTAATATCACCTACACAGGGTGGCTCTGCTTTTTTAGGCTTCAGGTATATGAAAGGGTAGGGACATATGTAATTTTGGTCTGTAAATAGGCCCAAACAGCTAACAGATGCATTTTCCCTTGTAAAAATTTATTAGCGATCGCGGCGTGATTGTGCATATCGCAGCGCGATTTAGATTAATCGCGCCCGCGATAGCGACGCGGTGATCGCGATCGTGGCGAGGTTATAGCGATCGCGGCGCGGTGATCGCGATCGCGAACGCGACGCGGTGATCGCGATCGCGGCGCGATGATTTTGATCGCGGCGCGATATCAGCGATCGCGATGCAATTGAAGTAAATCGCGCTGGCAATAGCGACGCGATGATCGCGATCGCGGTGTAGTGATCGCGATCGCGACGTGGTGACACTACGCGGCGCGATCGCTAATAAATTTTTACAAGGGTTATGGCTGTGAAAAAGTGGTAAAACATTCTGGTTTTGTGATTTAATCGTAATTAAAAGACTGTGCGTTTGAAAGGGATGCAAAGTTGTAAACAAGGTATGTGAAAGGAGTACCATTTGTCAATAGAAGGTACATGAAAGGGGTACCTTTTCGTTAAAAAAAAGGCATACAATGGACCTCAGGACAGAGCCTTCCTGTACAAAACTTTAATTTGTTGAGTAACCCCCCAGGACTTTTGATATTTAACTGAGAAAGACTGTGTTAAACAGTGCCCATTTTACGTTTTGGGCTAATGTGCTTATTCTGCCATCAAGCTGAATTGTGGAGTAACCATGGATTATGAAGCAAGTGATCCTGAGATGCCACATCTACTTTCAACCCCTCCCCCCTTGTCTTCTTCCTGCTTGGCTCTCATGAAAATCAACCTTCAATTTAAGATACTTCATTTTTTATTTTTGTTATCTGCAGTAAAATCACATATGGCTTTAATGATCAAGCTTCCATAAAAACAACTAGTTGCAATGTGACCTTATGCCTTTGCGACATATGAAGCTGAATATGCAAGGATTTGGGGTGCAAATTTTCCTGAGCTAATCATTATGAATAACTTTTTCCCTCTTCTAGGGTGCTGGAGATGCATTTATTGGGGCAATGGCATTTTATATGGCTAAACACTCAACACTTCCATTTGAAGAAATTGTACGTAGATCTGGAGAAATTGCCAGAGCAACTGTCTTAGCTCCAGGAACTCAGACTAGCTACCCCACGAGAAAAGAATTGCCACCTTCTCTCTTTAATGATTACGTTCCAAGGGGCAGATTTTCATCAAAGTGAATGTGAATCCACTTTAAAAATCCAGAAAGGAGAGGAATTGAAAATTATTTTTGATTGCTTATTCTTCTTGGTCCACTCAAAGAAGAGCAGTTCTCAGAATATATTAAAATTATTTTTTTAAAGGAGAGGAAACAAAAGAGCATTACAATGACGCTGGTTTGTTGATCTTTTGCTCCGGCTGAAACTTAGGCCATGTTCAGACTATCCTTGCATAGCTTTCGCGCTAGTGTGAAAATTAGACTGGAGAGGGCTTCAGTTTAGACTTGAGAAGGGTGATTTAGGTGTGATTTCTGTAACAGAGCGAAACTGCCCCTTGCCAATCTTGAAAGTAAAGTGTCACATATTGGATAGGTTCTGTGGCACACCCTTGTACAGTGTGAACAGTTACTCGTCCGTTGTGGAAGTGGATAAGTAGGAGTGGGGACTAAGAACCACCGAGATGGAAGTAAATGTTCAAGACCGGGGACTTGGGTTTAGTTGACCAAACCCTCTCAGCCAACTGCTGTTCATACTATACTGTTTGGATTCAGCTTTTTGTGCCAGCACTAAAAGCTACCCAGTATAGTAATGACAAACAGGTATCCAAACCATTGAGAGGTGGTTGAAATCTTTGCTTAGAATTTCATTTGCACAAGTTTCTTAATGTTTGGGTGCTGTGATGATTTTAGTACCAGAACTGATGTATATTAAGATTTAGTGTAAATAAAAAAAATTTTGTCAAAGATTTGCAACTTCTGAAAATGTAGGTTGCGTAAAATGTGCCTTTCTTTTTGCCTGGCTTACCTCACTTTATCCCTCTAAACCTAACACTAAAAGTTAAATTCTTGTTTATTTGTTGCCCCTATGCATTTCCTAAAGAGGTAGCGGGGAAAAGTTGGATAAGTATAAGTGAAATTCATCTTGTTTGATCATTTCCTTAATTCTTGCAAGGACTCTGTTTAATAAATTTTACAAGGAGAAATTTGATGCTGATTAACAGTGATCAGAAACTAATTTCTCCACGTGATATCTCTTTTAATTGTCAAGCAGTATGTAATGAGAATATGAGAAATGATGCCACAGATAACAGGTCTTAATAATTATAAGGAAAGGTTTTATTGGTATCTTGGTTTGTGTATGATGGGGTATATTTATCGTTTTAATCTCATAGTAGTCACTTTGTTATTGTTTTTGACCTTCTGGTTACTTACTGCTGATATACATCATGCAGTGGTGTCTATAATATAATGGGTGGGTGGGACCATGCATCAGTCACTAACAACAACCACAGCTAATAGTCCCACACATAGCCTGTTCCAGGCATTCAGATTGTGGAGTGCAGCAGAAAGTCACTTTCTTTTATTACTTAATTGATTTGTGTATTTAGTTCGTTATTTAACACATTACATTTTCTTTGGGTTGTTTTCCTACTCATATACCTTGTCGGTAATTGTGCCAACATTGTGGGTGGCTTCTCCTAAAATGTTATAGAATTTAATGGAGCCAAAACCAATTGTGGAATTGCACACATTTTAGGCATGCTACTGACGAACAGTTCTGACTTTTAGATTTCTTTAGACGTTTAGATATTTCAAGCAACAACAATTTGCTGTCTGTCCTCTTTAAATTGGGAAAAAATAAGGAGGAAGAGGTGGAGAAGGAGAGAGAAGGGAACTTCGCTCTCATTCCCTACCTCATCCCATTGCTGTTTTTCCTTCTCATATCTCTTTGCACTATCCCCACGATCTGAACGCCTAGAACACTGGCCATCCCACACAGCAAATGGACACCATAGCATGACAAGGACCCGCAGTAAGGCATCAAAATGCTGTGATCATGAACAAAGTGAATATTCTGGGACATAAAAGAAACAATCCCTATACAGGCAAACCTCTGTTAAGCGGACTCCATCGGGACCTTCCCAAGTGTCCGCTTAATAGAGGTTGTAAAAATTGCACAATGTTTGTAAACGATCAACATTCAACGGTTACCCTGTACTGTGATAAAGTTGCATGTTGTTAAACAAGCTATCCAGTCGATATCCAGAGTTCAAGTTCATTACCTTTCATGACCAACTTTAATTTGTTTGTAAATGCAAAAACATTAACTGACTTCAGTCCGTATTTCAAGGATGTATTCCAATACTACTATTGTCAATTCAGTCCCGTGTCTGCCAAATAGAGATTTTTAACAATAGAAATTAGCCAAATACACCACATTTTTGTGTCCATGTCCGCTTAATAGAGGTGTCTGCTGAACAGGGGTTCATGATAGAGGGAAAGATGTTAATTTCGGGACCCAGCTTAGTGTCCGCTTAATAGAGGGTGTCCACTTAATTGGGGGTCCTCTTAATAGAGGTTTCACTGTATATAGTTTGTTTGTCACTACAGTAGGAAATATGAAAAACAGTGTCAAGATTATAGGTTGATTATAGATTATAGGTTGCAATTTGAGGGGGTTAAGTGAGTCAAGGGATAGCTAAGACCATCGCTGCTTAGTTCAAAAATTATTTTTTCGAACAGATGGAATGTTTAATGATAATTGAATAATTTATGTTTTGCTCAAGACAAAGAAACCTTTAGTTAGGGCATATGCCTTTAAATCGTATAAAGGTTTGAAAAAACACTTTGTATACTAATAAATCTATTGTGCAAAAATGGGGCAGATTTCAGCAAATTTACAAAATATTCTGTTAAGTATATCTTTTTAAGAAAACTCAGTTAATTGAGGGAAAAATGTATAGATCTTAGTATGTGAATGAATTCTGCCAGATAAGGTCTTCAAATTATTCAGGTGGTTGCTTTTCATGAAATAAAAACAAAATCTCTCTGTAAAATGTAATGGTAATTTAAGCTATGGAAATGGTACTTGCATTTTATAATAATGAAAAGCCTGCATCGCAGACAGTCTAAATCACCGATGGACTATATCTGATTCTCCAACAAGTCTGGCTGCAACTTAGGCTAATACTGAACAGAGTGCAAGGAAATGTTATGTTTCTAATTAAGTCTTAAAAATTTCTTTTCCTCTAAAATGGCTGTCAACTTTTGAATTCATTAGGACTGTTGAATTAAACCGTAGGCAACAGTTCACAGGGTTAGCCTTGTCCTTGGTTATTTATTGATAAAAAGATGAATTGTTTGTAACAAGTTGTGTGTGTTTCAAGTTTGCTCTGCTCATTTAAAAAGTTTTTAATGAATGTTCTTGACAGCTAAATACATTTCCTGTACAGTTGCTTGAGGTCAACTTCCACTGATAAACCTAGTGACATTTCTTTGGGGCCTCGTGTTTCAAGAAAATATGGAATAAGCAAAAATGAGAATAAATATCTTATCTTCTGGCTTGTCAAAGGGACTACTCGACTATTATTTTCTTACAATGGCAAACGAGGAAAAAATGTCAGTGTCAATTTAAGCAGGAGAAAATAGGACAAAGCCTAGCTAATTTTCACTTATTATCATTCCCTTGCTGTATTTCGTGTCCTGATTCACTGACACAAAAGGTGCAATTTAATAACAGTCAGGATTTTTAGTCAATGTATTTTTGTCCTTTCCTTGGGATACGATGCTGCCATCAATTTACGCAATGCAATTTTCCTGCTGAATCCACTGTGAAATGCTTGTTTCCTTATAGTTCATCTTACGAATTAATACTGTCTTGTCTCTTATTGCCATAGAGAATCATTTTCCTTTCTTGACTTTTTGTTCCACAAATAACACATGCTTGTTCACTGAGGAGGAAGAAAATTACAAAGATATTATCATGATTATTGTTTGTGACTGTTTTTATGTATGATATTCACTGTGTAATATTTAATACCTCCACTGAAAAAGCTCTGATTGCAACACATCCACTGGACAGGAATACCGTAAAATTCCGAAAATAAGCCCCTCCATGTATAAGCCCCTCCAAAATATAAGCCGCCCAAACCGGTAACCCAAAAACCCTCCGTTAAATTGCCCCTCCAATTATAAACCCCCAGGGATTGTACTTGGAAAATTGCCCTCAAATACGAAGTAAAACGGTAAATTTACTTCCAACTATAAGGCTAGCCCAATCGATTTTGACACGCAAATTTCCCTCCGTACATAAGCCCCTCCGAATATAAGCCCCTCCAAAAATAAGTCCCTCAAAAAGGGCCTTTGAAAAATATAAGCCCCGGGGCTTATTTTCGGAATTTTATGGTAGCTATTTTGCTGAAGAAACTTATACCTGAAGACTCTCACTCTTCACTTGCCAGCCTCAAGCTAGCCTGCGTGATAGGAGTCAAAAGGGGAAGAGGGAATTTTGCAAGGGTACACAAGGAGGGGGAAAGGGAATGGGATCAATTTAGGTCTCTGGGAAACTGCCCACCTACCCCTCCCCTAAGCCAACATTAACACTTACTTCTCTCTTAAGGCAAAATGTTGGCTTAGGGGAGGGGTAGGAGGGCAGTTTCCCAGAAACCTAAATAGATTCAGGGAATGCACCCTACTCACATGCCTGAATTCCCCCTTCCTCTTCCCCTTCCCTCTTGGTAACTCCTGTCATGCAGGTGAGTCTCATGCTGGTGGAAGCTAAACAGGGCTCAAAAAACACTGGAATTTCAGCTTGACCTTTGGACAACCAGCTCTCACATTTTACTTGCTGGGGGCCACTTCTTGCTTGTCTTAGTTAATGATTTAGTTATAAGATGACTTGCTTAGGACCCTTGCCCATTGGGCAAGTGAATTTAAAAGTTTCTTGCCTCGGAAGAAAATCTGCTTGTCCTGGAAAACCGGACAGGACTTTTTTCGAGCCCTGTAAAACTACGATCTCTCACCAGCTCTATAATATTGTGGGCCAATTTCTCACACATAGCAGAAAAAATTGTTATTTACAGCCCCGACAGACCCGTTTTTAAAAAATATAGAGTTAGCAAAAACTAGAACCATTATGAAAACAAAAAAGTCCATATGAATGATCGTAGTTTGTCAAAATCTTTGACTGTAAAATGAATTAATAATTTCATAGTCATTTTCTTAAGAACTTTGGAAAGTCTTTGGAAATCTTTGGACCTTTTCGGACATGATATAGGGCCCTCCAAGGAAAATCCTGGCACTCTAAGGAACAAATGTTGTACCTTTGACTTGAAAAAGTGTTGGCAGGTGTATGGACACCAGAAAAATAACTTCTTTGGTTAAAAGGGAGAGGTCTCTTTCTTAAGCTTTTAGCTTTAGGCACTCTTATGTTCCACAGTGTTCCTAGCCTGTGAGCAAGCTCTCCATTTCAAGGGGCAAATGAAGTGAGCTGCCTGATAATGCGAAAGCGAGTGGCAAGCCCGAGAATGACCTCCAAGAGGAGGAAATTGCTCTCAGGCTACAGTGTTCCAGACCTGCGCTTACTTATTACTTACCTATAGGATCATATTTCATGAATTCCAGAGGTCTTGTTTTAAGTCTATTTCTTGTCATCATATAATAATAGCCTGTACCAGCCATGCTAACAAGTCTTACAATCAGTCTCCTACATAAACAAGGAAGTTAAAATGTGCATGTCATGTCATTAAAAAAGCTATTACTTTCCTAATTTTGGTATTTTTTTCTTGTAATGATCTTATGTTAGTTGTGCCACTATTATGGTCATTGTCACTGTTCTCATCATTGTCTTGGTTGTCGTTATCATCCTCGTCATCATCATCATCATCATCATCATTGATATTATTTTTATTACATGGTGGTGTACAGCTGCAAATACCACAATTCGCACTATAAACAGTTCCTCAGTACAGAATACTCTAAGCTGGATTTGTTTCCGTAACCTATCCCACACTTTGATAACTGGTTGAAGATTTATTTTGAAATCTGATGAAATCAAAAGGGGACTGATAGCAAAAAATGTGTGTACTCATGCGATCACTTACTTTGCTTTTGCCTTTGCCACTGCAATCAAAATGATACAGATCAGTAATATTACAATGTAACCCTAAAAACGTGACAGTAAAGGAGATAAATCTCAAAGAAAAAAGCGCTCACTTTTGCTTTTTCTCACGTTCCGTTCCAGAACCAGGATGGCGGCTGGCGACCTTTCTTGACGTTATGTAAAATGCACGAAAAGTCTGTCATTTGACATACCGCAAAGGTTAGTGGGATATGCCGCGAAGGTATTTTCAATATGGCGCCGACTTTGAAACAGTTTTCCCGAGTTTTTCTCTTTCAAAGAAGAAAATGCGTCCATTAAAACCAGACAAACGGGTGATGCTCTGTGAAAAGAAGCAATTAAATTCATCTTCGTGAAATGATCCGTCCTTTACAGGAAGAAGTGCGATCTCTCCTTAGGTCTGGAGTGGCAATAACTAACTTGACTCAATGCGTAGAAGAACTTGTTTTGAACAGCATTGACGCCGGAGCTTCTAACATCACATTGCGAGTAGATATTCCAAATTTGAAGATCCAGGTCTCGGATAATGGATGTGGTATCACGTTTGGAGATCTGAAACTTGCTGGCGAGAGATATTCGAGCAGTAAATGCCACGTCCTCAAAGACCTAGATCAGTTGACCTTTTACGGATTCAGAGGAGAAGCTTTGGCAAGCTTGCGCGAGATCTGTGATGTGTTGGAAATAGTTACTCGCCACAGATCTTCTTATCAAACTTACTGTAAACTCTTTCGAAACGCACAAGTTTTGGACCTCGCTGAATCCAGATTCCCAAGGACTCAATCTGGAACAACTGTCACGCTTCACAACATTTTTGCTAATCTCCCTGTAAGGCGTAAATCAATCACTGAAGTACTCGACTTTGAACGAGTTAGGCACAGAATTGCTTCTATTGCTCTCGTTCACCCCAAGACCGCATTTCTGTTGATAAACGACTCATCAGGGACAAAATGTCTTCAAACGCATGTTTGCAAGTCATCTGTCTCCACGTTTTCCCAGCTGTTTGGTAACTACAGATCCAAGGGTCTGCAGCAAGTGTGTTTTGAGCACAAGGATTTCAAAGTGTCTGGTTTTATTTCAACTGATACACATCACAGTAAAAGCTTGCAGTTTGTGTTTGTGAACAACCGTCTTGTACTCAAGACAAAGATTCACAAACTCATTAATAGCATTCTTGGAAAATCAGAGCTATTAAAAAAACTCACTGCTTCTGAAGTAAGCAGTTCTGAACCAGAGGGCCCTTTGACTAAAGTAACCAGCCCTCAGAATGCAAAGTCCTCTGACAATCATGGTATATTTTTTCTTAATGTAGAGTGTCTGGTCACAGAATATGACATTTGTTTGGAGCCAGTGAAAACTCTGATTGAATTTCAAGACTGGGAAAGTGTTCTTTTTTGTGTTGAGAAATGCATCAAGGACTTCCTGACAAAAAACAGTTTCAGTTTGGACCCTGAACAAGCAGATTCTGGAGAAAATAAAGATAGCCAAGAAGAGGAGTCATGTACCAGAAGTCTTGAGGCTTTTGAGTACAGAAGGGAGATTAAGACCAGCAATGTAAGGAGAAGTCTACATTCTTCAACTGTGTTTAGGCCAAGAAAGACTGAAATGGGACAAAATGTGGGTAAGGAAGACCAAACCAACCTTCAAAATGGACCTATAGTTTCACATGAGTCTGATCAAAATCACCGAGACAAGAATTTGAGTGATACAGTGGGATTACATTCTTCGTTGTGTGTATCTGTGTGTCCAAGTTGTTCAGATTCCAAATCTGATCCACAAGATGAGTTCTTCCACATGTTGGAAGGATCTGCATCTTCGATGGACATGACAACAACTGCTGCCAAATGTTTCTCATCAGATGCAGCTGAATTTAAAAATAAACATTGCGATAAGAATCAAGGAGACCAAGTCAGTAAGAGTGAATTTAATAACACTGGCAAAGCTAACCATACATGTATCAGAAAAACAGTATCAACCAACATAGTTCATAGTTCTAACCATTCTTGTTCATCTCAGTCAGTTGGAAGTTATTGTTTTCATAATTTTCAGGAGACTTTCAATTGTCAGTCTGGTATTGACAGTTCCCAGCATTCAGAGAGAAATATGTTGAATGTGCCAGAGAGTCACAGTAACAATAATGCATATAATTCTGGAGAATTTTCTCAAAATAGAAAAGCCTCTGGTTTATATTTGTCCTTGGACAAGAAGGAGAATTCACAAGCTACAAATAGTGGATCAGATATGGTTTGTTCTTTTCAGTCTTCCCATTCAAAACCAAGAACCACAGAAACACCCAGCACCACATCAACCAGACAAAAAACTAAAGTAATTCCAACATTTACATCTCCACGCCCTATAACATTATCAGGAGTTTACGCAAGGAAGAGATCTCAGGGAAGTAGTGAAGCTTCTGCAATAAACCTTGGGCTTCTATCCAAGAATAGGAAACTCATCTCACTACAAGGTAGCTGCAAGAGAAGGGGCAAGAATAACAGAGATTTAGCAGGACAATCCATTAACGCTAACATCCGCGAATGTAATGAACAGAGTCTTAAGCACTGTGACTTACCAAAAACAGTGAATAAAGGTGAAGACTCAAATATATTGACTTCCAACAGTGATGGCATGTCTGGGACTGCAATGGACCAAGACTTGACCACTAAGATTGGTGTTAATAACAATGATTCTGTTTCCCTGGTGTCTGCGTCAGTTCAAAAGACTTCTGGTCCTGCTATTTCTGTCCTTTCAGAACAAACAGCTGCTGGTGATTCCATGCACCAGGTTTGTGATCTCAGTTTAGATGGCAAATGTAAGCAGCCTCAGAAAGAAAACAGCAGCGACTCTGTAATACTCTCAGACCATAATGTCAGGAAACGTGACTGTTTCACAGACAGGTGTACAGAGCTTTTGTGTTCTTCAGCTGAAAAGAAAGCTGAAGAGAAAGAGGTTTCTGTGGAGCAGTCAAAACAATGCTCAGCTTCATCAAATGTAAAAACCAGTGTAGCCACAAGGAACCAAAGTAACAACCAGGGAAAAGAATCTTATTTGAACAATGAGTGGTATTGTACATTTGATGCATCTCTTGAGAGAAATCTCTTCATCAATAACCGGACGGGACACTCCTTCTTTGTACCTCCCACTGATTTTTATTTTGTTCAAGATGATTGCAGTGAAATGTCTGGAGCAGAAGATCTGGAAGTTGCAAATGACTACAGGCAGCACATTCCACACCCAGTGGCCTCTCACTTGTCATTTTCTTGTACCCCTTGGCTGCCGAGAGAACGTCGAAGACAGCAAATGCCTTCCTGTGATGATGAAGACAAGGAGTTTCCTAAAGGTAATTAATTTTTTAGGGAGTTTTTTCGCAACCACATTTATTATGCCATTACTAATCACAGCAGGAGTAGCTCACTTGGTAAAGACTGCTTGACTAATAATTATTTGTATTCTTCATACAGTAGAACCTCCCATAAGCAACCACCCAAATTGTGTAGTTCCATGTTGTCGCTAAAAGCTCTTGATATACACCGAGTGGTGTAGTACAAACAGCAAAAAAATGGCAATTAAAAGATTAAAGATAAAGATAACAACCATGGAAAACTATAAAACTGTCGGGCCAAAAATGGTCACAGTCACTTACAGCTGTGTATGAGAGGTGGTCATTCATGATAGGTTCTTATTACAGGGTTGAGTGGTAAAATTCAGGTGCTTTGGATAGGTGGTTATGGGAGGTGCTTAAACAAGGAGATTTGGCCGTTAAGCTTCAACCACTCAAAGCTGGGAATTTGAAAAGCGACCGGCTCCCCTGAATTTATCTGATTGAGATTGATACTATCGGCTCTGCCTGAATCACTTGTGGACCACTTTGACATTTTGGCGTCCGGCAAGACTGACTACCATTGTAAGGTTAAAGAGACCTTATTTTATTCAGGATTTGTAGCCAGCATTGAATGCCAATGTCAGCAGTGAAAAGCTTTTACTTTATTAGTATAGCTTTTCCATTATTCATTTCATTTCACAGACAGTTTCCATTTTGAAAGGTCTTAAATTTCTACTGCAGATGTTTTCTGTCTAGGTTCCAGACCCCCATTGATACAGTATGAATAGCTTCCCAAAAATTATGTGACTAGCATACGAAACGTCAAGTTCTTAAAATGCACGTTTTTAAAATGTTTATCACCGCTGTTTGTTTTATATTTTTAATCAAGCTACGATGGCCGAAGACCAGGAGTGTATAATAACTAGTTAATACTAGTGTGTTTCATCTCTGGAAAATTATCGAAAGGGGAGGGGGGGTCTGAAAAAAATTGCACAATGAATAGGGGGGCAATCATAGCATTCACACTCATACACCAGCCCCCTCACACTCTCTAATTATTGACTGATCTCTCCAGACAATCGAACCGCAATTCAGCAATGCAAATACTAACGGTTAGCTGTAACTACGCCTTATTTAGTAAACGTTTGAAATCTAACACAAAATCGCCAAAATATTATTTATTCTTCTGTTTTTTTAGCTATTTGATTCATCAATATATCACTAAGGGAAGTAATACGTCAATTATTCTGGCTCCAAAAAAGCGGGCATGCCGTCGCGGTACATCAATCAAGTCCAATAACTAAGCAAATGGTTTCGAGTTACTCTGTTTTCTTTTATTCATTTGCACCAGCCTCATCAGATACCACATTTTAATTAATACACCATATACTCTAAAGCTACATGATGCAGTATACTTAATTTACACTTACTTTATCCGCAGCACAACCATACCTAACTTTCTAACACGTGCGCAATGACGCAGCACTACTGACTGTTCACTTCACAATAATACCCATAATGCTGCGGGGTAGAGTCAACACTACAAGCTGCGAATAGCCCTGACTCTTGATTGAAATATTTCCCCACGGGACAAGCCGGGACATCTGAGTCCCTAAATGCATGGTGCTTATGCTTTTTGGCCTTTTTCAAAGAGCGCTTTCTTCCCTGACTGGACCTAATGTTTGAATCTTTTCTCTTTCTGCATAGTTGAAGCTTAGCTTGGAGATACAATTTGGTTTCCGGAGCAGGTTTAGGGGCATTGCCAATGTTTTGGTCAAGTTTTATAAGCCATGGACTGTAGATTGAAGGATAAGCACCCAAATTATTGTTGAGCTCCCCCCTACTTTGAACACAAATGCCTTTAGGTCCTGGGGAGCAGACAAGGTAAGGGTTTTTCTCCGAGTTGCAGTTGCCCCTATAATTTTCTTTGTATTCAAAGACATACTGTGTTCGTGAGCGGGGCCGTAGTTCGTATTTCACTTGTCCTGAAACGGGGTAGATTGGGGCTGACCCCGCAGGAGTGACTTCTACCCGTACGTTTCTGCTTAACTGGTAGTTATCATTTGTAATGAGATAGACCTCAAAAAGCTTAACAAAAAGGGCACTGTCTTCATCCCTGGAGGAGATTTGGCCGTTACGCTTCAACCACTCAAAGCTGGGAATTTGAAAAGCAATCGGTTCCCCTGAATTTATCTGATTGAGATTGATACTATCGGCTCTGCCTGAATCACTTGTGGGAATTTTCAAGTCAACATTAACTACGTCGCAAGAAGGAGGGTTATAACTAAGTGCCTCGTCAATATGGTTAGTATCCATTGTACTTAAGGCGTTAGTGCATTGATTGGACTCTATCCCTGCGTTAACATAGGTCACATAATTACAATATTGAGATAGGATGAGAAGCAAATGGAACTGAGATATTACATATGTGGATAAAGCCATTTGTTCGAGCGCAAGTTGAGCTTCGGCGGACTCCGCTAGCTGTCCCTCCAAATCCTGGAAGCCTTGCTCTAGACCTTTTGCCGCTTGCATTGATGTATATGCCCGGACCGTTGCCGTCAAACTGTCCATCAACTCAAATTGGTAGTCAAACCGATTGCTAAGGGTTTGCGCAAGTTGAGGTACAGCGATTTTGAGTTTAAAAAGGTGGTTTCCTACGAAAATGTACGTTGCACCAACAATGGCCTCTTTTGTCTCCACGGAATCTATCAAGGTTTCCAAATTATCAACTACTGCGCTCCAGGCAGCGTCTAGCTCAGCTATTTGAGCTTCGGAGACCTGCGGTGTGTAGTCATTATAGCTTTTCAGAAATTCTTCCTGTATTTTCTTAAATTCATCACTACTAGTTTCTTCCGCCTCGAGCTTAGCAAGGATTTTCTTGGTATTTTCTAAGTGAACTCTATTTTTCTGAAATCCTTCTCCAATTATCCTGAACTTGTCTGTGGCTATTGTTATTTGCTCACGAATTGCACCGCCCTTGACTGCCTCGAGCGTTGTCCTGGCAGCGGCGTCGATACGATCAGCCGTGTCCGCGAAGCCGCCAAAGTCTCCCCCCATGGCTCCCATTATTGCCGAAATACCCGAACCAATGACTTTTAACCACATAAAAGTAGCATCAATAGATTTGATTATGGTACCCTCCATTTGCAGCTTAGAGGTATCATATTCTAGTTTTTTCTGAAGTTTTGCTACCGTTTTTCTGAATTCGTCCAATTTGCCGGTTATGAAAATTGTATCTGCCTGGGCAATTGCTTTGTCAAAATTGGCAACTTTTGTGAAATAATCACGCAAATGTGTGAAACGACTGCCTATTGATGTCTCGAAATATTTCTTTATCTCTCCAGTGAACTTTTCCAACGAGCTTTGCAGCTCTAGCTTGGTATTTTCAACTGCACCTTTGATGCTTGAAATTTGAAACTGGGTTAACCGGGTTTTATGATCGACGCTCAGATCCAGACTTTTTGTTCTACGATCCTTACTGCTGTACTGGTCAAGAAAAACTGCTACGTTCTCCATGAGGATCTTAAAACCGCATTCCATGCTCCTACTAATTTTTTCAAAACTGGGGGCACATTCATCACTACTGGTCAGTCCCATTTGATTCTGGTTGGGTACTAAATTGGCAATATCTTGAAGGCCAGTGAGGTCATTTTCTCGGATTTTGTTATACATGATTTTCAGCAACTCTTTCGCAGTCTCAGCTCTCTTAAGTGCATCGGTTTGGACATAAAAATGGCCTTTGGGCGTCAATAAAAGCCAAACTAGAACAACCGCTCGCATGCTTTGCGATTCACTCGACTTCCAGTTGTCATAATTTGGCCCTAGAGCACTTCTTAGTTTTTCCATACGTGTAAACGTCTCGGCCAAGTAGCACGTGAGTTGCTCAAAATCATTGTTGTAGGTGTCTGCACAATCGCGTTTCATACTTGCAGAAATGGAACCGAATTCACCGAAATGGTGCTTAATTTTGTTGCCATCCTGATTCAGGGCATTATCATAGAGACTTTGGAACATTGTCATTAGCCGGTAGCAGAGGGTCTTATTTCTGAGTTCAGACGCAATGTTCATGATCTCATAGACTTTAGGCTGGAGAAGATACAACATAGATAGCTCCTCCCTGGTTCTAGGGGGCTGCTGACTCATATCCCATGGTATACCTTTATGATCTATCATCAACTCTGCTAACCTATCAAAGACTATTGCTAACTTACATTGCATTTTGGTATCGTCCCTGTCCAAGCTTTCGCACTGTTTTTTCATAAGATCCATCGTGCCGCTGGACTTATAGTGGTTAAAAACCAGTTCTAAGCTATTGATATTGTTTGTTTCAATGTAGTAGAAGGATCGATTGAGAATTTCTTGACCAAGTTGGTCAAGATCAGTTTTGGCCCAGTAGAGAAGTCTGGGGTCATTCCATCGGATTTTCGTAACCCAGTTTATCTCCTGTTCTAGAGCATCGGACAGACTGGAACATTCGTCTGGTTTTTCAAACTTGCCGTACCACTCGTGGTGAAGTTTGTCTTTCTTCATGTCATGACTGTCAACGGTTTTCCTGACGACTTCTTTCGCAGCACACAGGAACTCTTTGGACCAACATCTATAATCGCTAGATTTTTTGTTCTCTTCGTAATCATCACAGCCTTTCCTTAAAATGTCCAATTTTCCAAACACCGATGGGATATCACTGCAATAATAGAGAACGTTATTCAGAATCAATAGAAGAGCTATACATTGAGTTATGTAAGGCAATCTAATCAAGGTACACTATTGCACCTAATGGAAGGTATCCACGTCTTTTTAAAAGAAAGACAGACCAGTCAATAAAGAGTTCTCCTCGTAAGTGATACCATCATCATCATCAACATTTATTAGCCTTGATATTAACAGAATTTTACGGAGTACAGCGTGTTGTTAGGCAAGGAGACCTCAAGAAACCAGCAGGCTTGTAGCCGCCTCGACGTCACAATATGATAAGAACTAAGAGCTGCGAAGGTGTGTGGATAGGATAATTCATTAACTATTTCAATAAAAACTTTACCACTTCGTTCTTAAAGATAGGGATGCTTGACAAGCATGTAATTGATACAGGAAGACAATTCCAGATTTTTGGTCCTTGGTAAAGAGTTGTGAATTTCTTGATGTTCGTACGACAGGACTGCACTCGATAATTACTGGCTGTTCTTGTGTCATATCCATGAATTTGAGTGTTTGTCATAAACAGATTGAGAAAGAGTGGATTATATTTGCGTGAATTATTTGACAACATATATGTAAAGGAGACCTGAGTGTTTAATGTCATAATGGGAAATGCATTGATGTAGAGAAAGTCATTATAAGGAACTGGTTATGAAAGCCGGCAAACTTCAAAGGAACAAACAAATATCACAAGATTTACGTTGGAAGGCCCACGATCCTGCACGGTCTTTTGTTTTGAGCACATATACCAGTTTAGCCGAATAACGTCACCGTCACGTTTCTATTGGTCAGTTCCTTGAGCACTAATCATGACCTATTGGGTTCTGTGCATGGTCAGGCCTAAAAAGCGACCGAAAACATAGAACAAAGCCCTTTGTCAAGTTGTCTCTGCATTTGTCTCTGCATGCGTACATGGCTAAAGCCTTGTACGGAAAGGAGAGTGCCAGTTGGTAGAAGGAATGAAGGGAACGTCTGACAGGGAAGCGCTTGTTCGAGCCTTCCTGGGTTACCTCCTTTTAGCTTCTGCAGCAGATGAATTCACGTCGAATGTGGTAGCATCCTCGCGGATGATCGGAGTGCTTACGCATGGACACCAGCCAAGAAAACTGTCAAAGTTAGGTATCATTATCTTGAATAACGAAACTCGTTGCTGTTTGGTTTGCCCATCATGCGTTGACAAAACTCTGTTTACCAGCATTGCATTAACGATATTTTGCTTTAGTTCTTAGAGGTTTTACCTTCCAAAACCAAATCTGTCTATCCAACTGTAGACTTCTCTCAGAGAAAAATCATTCCCAGCTTTTTGGTCCTCTTGTCTTTGTTTTTCGCATCTTGGGTCAGTTGGATCCCAAACTTCCTCTGAAAAACATGAACCCAGGAAAGGCAGCAAAAGAAAAGCCAGGAACAGCATCCTACTCTGTTAGGAAAACAAAATAATTTTTTTTTTATAATTAATAGTCTTCCTTAACCACGCTCAATCTAAGTACATTCACTCTTCCTTAGATGGTCGCATGATTGTGACCTTGTTTGAACGACCTTGGCGTTGTGGCAGTCGCAATCACTTGGCGATCAATTTGGTTGATGGAACCAGCACCATCTCAGTGTAGCCATGACGATCAGATGCCTCTCTTGTTTTCCTAAGTTTTTTACTTTCTTTTTAAGAAAAGGGAGGGAGCGTGGCCGAGTGGTTAGAGCGCCGGATTTGAAATCGGCAGGTCCCGGGTTCAAATCCCGTTCTGACTGCTAGCTGATGTTGTTCTCGGCAGTCCCGAGTTTGACTTCTCGGCTACGCTTGTTAATAGCCAACTGGTCTGCCTCCCGCTAGCCTGCGTAGCAGGCGTCGAAAGGGGTAGGGGGTAGGGGATAGGGAGGAAGGGAAAAAGGGGAGGGGGATTGGGGAGAGGGGGAGGGGACGCCTGCTCTAAGAACCCCCTTTTGTTCATATCTGCGGACGCTGGCGTCCGCAAATTCCTGATTGGCTGAGCCGTAATGAGTAACATATTGAAATGCGCGTTTCACAAATCAACAAACAGTCGAGATGGCAGCGGTAGACGTGGATGTCGTAGAGAGTGCTTTGAGAGATGTGAATTTATCTAGTGGTAGAGAAACTGTTTTAAAACCAGAGCAAGAATCAGCAGTAAGGGCTCTTTTAGCCGACAGAGATGTTCTGGCGGTTTTGCGGACCGGATACGGCAAGAATTTAATTTACCAAATGTTTGTACGCGCGAAGAACTACGAGCTAAATGGTAATGCGGCGATTCTCGTCATTTCGCCACTGAAAAGTATTATCGAAGGCCAGTTGCAGGAGATGGAATTGTTGGGCTACCCAGCGAAAGATTTAGCCAATTTATCAAGGTTCTGCGATTATACTGAGCAAATGTTATTTTAGCCGCATGTTTCACTCATCGATTGACTGTAGTTATTGTTTTCTGGTCGGCAGGATTTGCCCTCTGATGCAAGCGAAATTTCTTTGACCTCTTTTGAAGCGTAAAGCTTTTTTTATTACGGCTGAATAAGGGTTCCAATTTTCTCCAAAGTGCCTTCTGGATCTGAATAACTAAGCGAATTTCTTTAGTCCGTGAGTGTAATGCTTTTCTGCAATGGCTAGTGTAGCGACACTTGATTGACAGTAAGCGTAATCGGATTACTAGAAAATTGGTAGGCGTTATGCAAAAACATAGGCTCTTAGAGCAGGCGCTCCCTTCCCTTTTCCCTTTCTCCCTCCCCCCTCCCCCTCCCCTTTTTGCGCCTGCCACGCAGGTTAGCCTCCCGCCAGTTGGTATACTTAACCTGGTTATGTTTATCTGAATATTTATTTATCATTGTTTGTCTACCTTGGTCCTGAAAAGACCCAATGGGGAGTGGTTAATAACGTATACATACATGTACAAAAGTTAGTAACAAGGTAAAGTTTTGTTTGCTATTACAATTGTTTAAAGTTCAGTCAAATATTCTAATTTTTTCCAATGCTAAAAGATTATATGACTTTTCGTACGAATAAATCACCGAGTTTTGTGACTAAAATGAATGAATGGTCATTTTTAGGTGCTAGTGTTAAACAAACAAAAAGGTAGAGATATCAAACATTACCTTGGTGTTTAGGGGTATAGAATTTCTCAATCATTTTGAACCGTTGGAAAATTAATCATATCTCCATGCTTTGGAATTCGGACCTCTGAACTTTTTTTTTAAATTTTTTTAAATACAAACAATACAGTGTTACAACAAATAAAAAAAAATAGTAGTACAAAAAAAGAGAGGTGTCACAGCTGATTCTTAACAATAGATAATATATAATATTTACGATAATATATGTTACAAACAAGTACAATATATTCAGGCTTGTACAATTGTATATAGCTGGGGGAAGGGCAACATAATCACGTCAAGTTACAACTTCAAATAGAATTGTCTTAACTTATTATCCCGAGTGATTTTATAATTGTTTTGGATGCAGTTCACCCAATTGTCAGTAACTTCAGGGCATTTTTTTCGCCATGATTTAATCGCTGTAGGTTCTGTGTTAATTTCCTCGACAAAAAGTTTATAAAACTGCTTGCAGAATGTTTTCTTTAAATTGAGAGTGACATCTTTAGATATTTGGAAATCGAGGTTTTCGCAAATTGAGTTCAGATTCCCAATGTCCATATGGGCTGATGCGTAACTTTGGAGATAAGGGGGGAATAGCTGAGGTGATTTGGTAGTATTGTAGAAAGTTAACTTTGATTTTATATTTATCGCTGAATTCTTGTGGCGAAGATTGTTATCATGATTGTTTAGCAAGTCTTGCACAAAGAGAACATTTTTATCCCGCCAGGCCTTCCAAAAGACCGATTTGTTTTCAATATTTATAACTCTGTTGTTCCACAAAATGAATTCGCGTTTCAGTGGATCTTCGTAATTGCTACGCAGTTGTTGAAAGTACTCAAGGAGTTCTCGATAGAACAGGGGGATTTTTCGGTCTAGTTTCCCGACACTGTAGTTGCAGTTTAGAAGAAAAAGGAGTCCGCCATGTTTATATCGAAGTAGTGATTAGGGATTGCCGTCCAAGGGTCATGAGTGTTAAGAGTCTACTAATCCAACTGAGACGTAGTCCTTTTATAACAGTCCTCAAGCAGGGGAAGCTTAGCCCACCCTTAGATAAGGGCCGGAACAGAACCTGTCGCTTGATCTCATCTGTCTTATTCTTCCATAGAAAGGCAAATAGTTTACTTTGGGTTTGTTGTATTACTGTTTCTGGAACAGAAAGCATGGAGGCAGTATAGATTAGCTGAGACAAACCTAGAGATTTTTCAAGCATATTTCTTCCAAAGAGCGTCAGGTCTCGCGGCCGCCATATATTGAGCTTTGTTTCCATTTTCCTTATTTTGATATGAAAATTATTGTTGTTGTTGGCAGCTGCATCATGGGAAAGGTAAGTTCCAAGAAATTTTATGGGGTCTTTTGGACACTGGAATTTTAAAGGTTCTATCTTGTTTTTACTCGAAGTACCAATCCACAAGGCTTTTGTTTTCTCTTTATTTAATTGCAAACCGGACAATGGTCCAAATGAAGTAACTATATTCATGGCATTTCTTAGTGGCGTGGTATCTTCAAGGATCAGGGTTGTATCATCCGCAAACTGTGAGATCTTGGCAGTTTGTCCACTTGGAAGTTCGATGCCCCGGCAGAGTTGGTCTTGGCGTATTTTGAGGGCTAGCATTTCAACCGCTAACACAAACAATAGAGGACTCAGAGGACACCCTTGACGGACGCCTCGAGAGACTTTAAAGTAATTGGTCATGAAACCCGAGTACATCACGCCACTTTCGACATTATAATAAAGAATGGATATCCACTTTCTAATATTTTTGGACCAAAGTTGTATAATTCAATAAAACCCGCATACAAGAACATGTGGATTAAGAACACCCAGGCTGAAATTTGGTAAAAAAGGAGCATATATATAAGAACACATTCAGCCTGAAAATTGAAAATTGTTCTTATATATAAAAACTCTTCCCTTTTCTGTTTAATAGAACAGTGTCTGTAGCTCTACTGTGGTATTGCACTAAGATCTCTGTATAAATGCTAGTAATTTCACTTGCTGTGTATAGCAAATGTACAACAACTGTATTTGGAATTAAAAGTCTTATAATTACATGAAAAATATGCAATAAAATGAATGTCACCATTTGTCAAAGTGTCAGTCACATCCTTTATTTTCAACAGACAGGGCAATGATTGGCTCGGTTGTGCAATTTATTTTCTAATGTTGTGTGTCTCAAGTTTAATTTTCTCTCAAAGTTATGTATTTCATCATAGTTAGTAAGTAAAAAATTAAGAACACTTAAGAACACTTTCTGGCTGATTTCACCTAAAATACCCAATATATAAGAACCCAATCGGCCTGAACCCCGAAAATGGGTGTTCTTGTATGCGGGTTTTTAACATTTGAGGAGAAAGTTCCATTCAATGGTGTCGAAGGCCTTACGAAAATCAAGAAACAGTGGGATGCCTGGGAGATTTTTAGCTTCTGTGTATTCCATAATATCATTTAAAAGCCGAACATTTTGGCCAATGAATCTACCCTTAATGAAGCCTGACCTTACCACAGAAGCCGATACGACATTCAAATGCTTGAGCTAGTGAGCCACCATAAATGTCAAGAGAAAGTCAATGTTTATTTAGTTATTGTGGGATTAAACAGATGTATTATCCCTTTTGAAATAAAATGTGACTAAAATGGTGGATTAGAATTAAATCATTTGTACTGCCAAAATGAAATGAGCCACGAGATGATCCTCGAAGTGTCTCTGAGGCCGTGAACCGCGATTCACCAAATCGACAAAAAACCCTTTTTAAGTTCTTTTTTTTTAAGATGCTTGACGTTCTTTGCGGCAGGTTTCCACTCGAAGCCATTGTCAGGGTATAAATGTATTCTTTAAGTAAGACGTTCTTTAGAAATAAGATATTTAACATATTCTCATTTATCTTTGATAGTTTCAAGTAAAGCCTTATACTACTGTATTAGAAATAATCTTTAAATTCGAGCCTTCGCCGATCCACGGCATCATCAGATGATCTGTAAACTGTGGTTAAACCCTAGGTATCTGCACAGACTTGTATTAGCCCTTTACTATACATGGTACAGTGTAATGACATTTTCTAACTATTTTTGTTTCGCAAGGGATTGGCTGCCTTGGTATCGAGGACCATTTGCTACATTGATATCACTCTGATCATTACGGTGATACAAAATATCTGCCTTGATATCGTGTTATTAACATAATCTACGAGTTTCTACCTTGATATCCGCTCACTACTATCGGGACAAATTGTTTTATTCATTGATATCGCATTTTAAATAACCTGCGAGATAGACCATTTTATTTAAAAGAAAAACACTTATTTAACTGTTCTGATCGAGTTAAACTCATCGACTGATCAAAAGAATGCGTCTTTTTCGAAATATCCATAACGCACAAGTATATAAATTTTAACCGAAGAAGCCAAGGGCATTACCTCACTTATACACAAAGCTAAGATTCCCTGGACGAAAATAATGAAAAAAATCCAGTCGAGGACAGAAATACTCAAACTGTCTGCACAGTAAAATGACTCTCCATAAGCTTCATTTAAGTTCTGTTTTCTACCTTGATAACCACGTTCTAAAACGTACCTGTATGCAGGCTGGCCTTTGGACCATGAACAGGGCAAGGAGAATTTAAACCTAGGTAAGAAACAGGATAATGTTCTCGAAACGAAACTTGAGAGAATCTAAGCTCAATAAAAGTGTAATTTGCGACCTACTTACAAAATGAAATCCCTTTTGGTTCAGATCGTATGACTTCAAACGAGTGATGGAGTACAATGAGATTGCCTCAACTAATTGCGCTCTTTTATGTGATAGGAAAATGGTGTCAACATTTTGACCCGATGAACCTAAGAAAATTGCATTACCGCCATATTGCGCTCTTTAAAGTGATCTAAAAATGGTGCCAACATTTTAACACCATTGAACCTAAGAAAATTACATTACCGCCATATTGCGCTCTTTAAAGTGATCTAAAAATGGTGTCAACATTTTGACACCATTGAACCTAAGAAAATTACATTATCGCCATATTGCGCTCTTTAAAGTGATCTAAAAATGGTGTCAACAGTTTGACACCATTGAACCTAAGAAAATTACATTATCGCCATATTGCGCTCTTTAAAGTGATCTAAAAATGGTGTCAACATTTTAACACCATTGAACCTAAGAAAATTACATTATCGCCATATTGCGCTCTTTAAAGTGATCTAAAAATGGTGTCAACATTTTGACACCATTGAACCTAAGAAAATTACATTATCGCCATATTGCGCTCTTTAAAGTGATCTAAAAATGGTGTCAACATTTTGACACCATTGAACCTAAGAAAATTACATTATCGCCATATTGCGCTCTTTAAAGTGATCTAAAAATGGTGTCAACATTTTGACACCATTGAACCTAAGAAAATTACATTATCGCCATATTGCGCTCTTTAAAGTGATCTAAAAATGGTGTCAACATTTTGAACCGATGAACCTAAGAAAATTGCATCACCGCCATATTACACGGTTGTCCGCTTTGACACCACGGTACCAGTAGCACTTCAGAATCCTCAATAAGCACTACCATAAGATTCCATAATAACTTTGGAAAAGAAATTGGAAAATTTACTGCGATGATCATTCTTCACTTTCATAATAACTTTTACTGCGATGAAGCGTCAGAAGGAAGTCCATAGCTAGAAATTGTTGACGGCAAGCGATTCGGGCAGATTGCATTCTTAACTTGAGGGCCCAGAGGATGTTAAAACTGAGATTTTTAAACCTCTTTTTCAAAAAGTGCGTCTTTTTGTCCAGTTTTAAATTCTCTTAGCTCATTGTGACTCTATCAGCCAGCCACATACCTATTTTTCATTTATCAGATAGGACTTTTGCTCCTAATCTTAAAAAAAAAAAACCGTTGTGCAACGTTAGAAATTTCTAATTTAATAATCGAATCATTTTAATTTCTAACTGGGTCTTGATTTTGTTTCTAAAATGAAAAGAAAACTATAAAAAGGTTTTAAACCATTGCGCAATACCGTTAAGAGGATCATTATGTTGCTCGCAGTTCCTTTAAAAGTTCAACTGAGTCTGTATCCGTGTAAACATTTACTTGTACGTGTGGTTTCAAATTGCAAGTATTTACTTGTACATGTAGTCTCACTAAATTAGTATAGGTAATAGCATGATTTGTAGTGATATTTCGAAATTGTTATACGAAATATCAGGTATTTCAAATTAAGCTGAAATACCACTGCTCTAAGCCAATCAAATTGCAGAAATTTCTCATGTGGTAGTGTAAACATTGTAATTTCAAAATATACTTTCACCCCGACCATGTCATGTAGGAACAAAAACAATCTCTTTTATTCTGGCAATGTCATTACCGCAGTATTACACAGTTGTCTGCCTAGACGTCTTGGTACCTGTGACACTTCACAATCCATAATAAGTACCGCTATAGTAACTTTAACAGAACATACGTTTTTGTCGGATATGACGTTTACTTCTCAACTTTTTAAATAAACTCCAAAGTAGGTTGAGTTTGATCGTCCGGGTGAACTTAGTCCTGAATAGGACTGTTGTTGTTGACAGTGACTGACGTTTCGACAACCTGTGCGGTAGTCATCTTCAGAGTCAAAGTGACTTGTATCACGTCAGTTGATGGTATTATACTCTGGTTATTGATTTGATTGGTCAATTACGTCGTGTTGTTATTGGTCGTCTGTCAGTTAAGCCGTGATGTTATTGGCTATGAAGACTCGTAATCAGTAATTGGTGCGTTTCGATCCCTCTATTGTCACAGTTGTACAGTCGTCTATTGTTAGTCAAATTGTCATTCTCTCGTAGTTTGTTTTGCTTGATCTCGTCAATAAGCGTTTGTACGGCGCTGGTAACTGTTGGCTACGATTCAGTGGCGTTTGTTCTAAGTTAGTAAACCAGCTTTCTAAAGTAAGACGTTGATAGTAGTCAGTAGAATACGTTATACATGTCGCAGAGTCGCAGTCAATTTGATGTTTCGTCTTTGAATGGTGCTCGGCAATGTGATTGTTGACGTCACCATTCTTCGTAGCTCGTTTGTGTTCGGTCAGTCGGTTTCTGCCGGTTTCACCAATGTAAGAAGCCTGGCAGTCGCAGCATTTGATCTTGTATACTACTCCCTGTCTGTCCTCCGGTTTGTGTTTGTCCTTGACATTTGTAAGCAGTCGCCGTAAAGTGGTTATCGGTTTGTGTGCAACACGTACATTGTAAGGTTGTAATATACGTGCAATAGTTTCAGAGGTGCCTCTGATGTACGGTATAGTCGCTGTCGTAACAGGGCCAAAGTTGGTCTGAGTGTTGGAATCAGTGTTACTGTGAGTGTTCCGTCTAACAAAGTCCCTGCTGTAATTGTTCTTACTAAAAACGTTGTTAAGATAATCAGTCTCGTCTTGTAGGCTGTCAGGTGAGTCACAAACTAGTTGCGCTCGTCTCGTCAGAGTCCGGATAGTAGTAGCCTTGTGAGAGGTCGGGTTGTACGAAGACTGGTCTAGTAATCGGTCGGTATGTGTCGGTTTTCTGTAAATAGTCGTTTTTAGTTTGTTGTTGTCGCGAGTGACCAAGCAGTCTAGAAAAGGTATCTTACCATTTTCTTCAATTACAACACGGACTTGACTCCTGTGTTCAAACCTTTCACAGTTTTAAATAAACTCTTGTGCAACATTGAAAATCTATCACTAATCGATCTATTCCATTTTACTTTCTTACTCAGTTTTGACTTTAAATAAAAAGATAAATCTCGTAGTTGTCCTACTCAGAAAAGAAAGTTTTCTGAATCCCAATGAGGAATCGAAGCCATGACCTGTCCAGATTGCCGGTTGGACTGCTCTTCCACTGAGCTATGGAAGACCTGAGTGGTGAGCGAGGTCATTTTAGCTGGGGGTGTTGATTTGGTCCCTAAAATAATCACAAAGAACATTAACGGATTTTAAAAAAAAAACAGTGCGTTAAGAGGATCATCATAATGCTTGCACTTCCAATAAAAGTAGTTTTGCGGTTTCATTAAATTAACATTGTTATTTTTCACAGTATACTTTCGCCCCGCCCTTGTCACGAAGGAACAAAGACAATATCTCTTGATTTAAGGCAATGTGACGTTTCATTTTCGCCACTAGTTATATGGCCATGAAACTTGGGGTAAAATTCAATTTCGTTTAGATGATTAAGTGGAACGCTTTTCGGTTTTTGAAGAGGCACAAGCGGGTGCCAGCATTTTAAGGTATCATGGTAGGTGAATTGACAGTGTTTGGACATCACGCTCTTACGCTGGCGCTTTGAGAGAAAATTCCATCAACCTATACATTTTCTGAAAGCTTAATAGCTATGGAATACAATCATATCTTTGAATTTTTATAAAAAGTTATTGTCGCAGTGATATTAAAAGAAATACCCAGAAACACTGCTTCACTTAAACTGGTTCGCTTCCGCCCATGAATTATCGGAGCGGCGCCATTAACATCGGAAATGTTTTCTCACACATCACCCTCAAAAAGGGTGTGGGCGATTTTCCAGATATGGTTTGTTTTTTTTTCCTACACCTTCCTGAAGTGTGATATTTTCAACGCGGGCGTTTCCTTCCACTAAAGAGGCCATAACTTTGAAACGGAAGCGAAATTAAACAAAGCCCGACACGCTTTTTCGAAGGAAGTATCCTGGAACATACCTGTCGATTTTCAGCCAATTCCGTCGGAAGACGGGCGTAAACGAACTAAAAATGTTCATCCATATATGCAATTTTATTTTATCGAGAAAAAGACGAAAAACCTTTTATGAGATTGGTATGGCCGGGTGTTAACAATCCCCTACGCACTGACAGATGTCGGCATGGGTCAGTTTACCACAACAATGGGCTATGACAACTTGAACTGGCGCGGAAACCCGTCGCAGTGAAATCGTCTGAGAAGCTACGAACTACCAACAGCTTTATACAGGTTTGCATTTAACCTGCCGTAATATCTTTTACTAAGAAGATTTCGTCGGCGGCATTGGTATTATGTTGCTCGAGTTTAGGCCTCTTGGTTCTCCAGACATTTTTTGAAACCATGCCAAAAAGAGGAAATCTCGTGGTCTGCCGATCGTCTACATCTACATCTGCGCTTGACTCTCTCGTTGTGGAAGTTTCGGAATCGCGTCCGTTCTCCAGCAATTTCGTGCGACTAGCACTTGTTGTATTTTGTCCTTCAGCTTCTTTGGCGAGACCGTGTCGTCGAGTTCCTTCAGCCATTCTTCTTAGTTACAGTGCGACCCCGGCGCGGTTGCTCAGATCAGAGCCAAAGATCTTCTTCAACGCTGAACCTGTGGGTTCCACCAGATTTTCACCTCTTCGGCTTCTTCGCAGACGAAAATGGGCAAGATGTTTTCTTGCGTTTTCGTCCTAACATAAAGAAGATTTGACAAGAACGAAAGCTAACTTGCGATGAAACAACCAGATCGAGAACACTTCGCGTTCACAAATAAAATATCACACCGCAATTCACATTACATGCGACAACTGGCCTTGAATTTTAATTAGAGGTGTGAGCGCACCGTTAGAGATTAATGAGATTCAAAAATAGTTTTTTCTGTTTCTTAAAAAGTAAAAAAGCTTTCTTCTCCATTCTTTGTTCAAAATATTTATCTCAGTCTTCTCAATTTGAACAGCGAAAAAAAGTTTTTTCGCATTTTTCGTAAAAATACACCTACCATGATACCTTAAACTGCGGGGCCTGACATAATTAGTGTTTCTCCATTTATTTACAGACTAATTGATTTTCTTTTTATCCTTTGGTAGAGCTTTAATATCGGGTCACTTTTCTGTGAAGAAAAGATTTTCTTCCTCGATGTGACGTAGATGACAGTAACATTTTCGACATTACTACTAGTGGAATCTGAGAGATTCAAAGATGTACTGAGAGTTGAAAATTCAATTCGTTGTAGCCGGTACCTAATGGTCTTTTTCATGGTGTTGAGCGTTTTTTTTTAAAATACTTCAGACCTTTACTTTTTGCCTTTCCGTGTATATTTTAGATTTGGACTTTTGTGTCTTCACAAAACCGGAGCAACAACTGCGCAAGTTTAATCGCGGGTCAAATATGAGTTTATTTCATATATCACTGTCGATCAAATTCCTTTTCAGGGAACAAAGAACCCACTAAAGTTTGCCTCGCTCTTAACATGTGGCTTTGTACCTCAGTTGGTTGACTCTATCAGCCAGCCACATACCTATTTTTTATTTATCAGATATGACTTTACTCCTAATCTTAAAAAGAAACCCTTGTGCAACGTTAAAAATTTGTAATTGGGTCTTGATTTCGTTTCTAAAATGAAAAGAAAACTATAAAAAGTTTTTCAAACATCGCGGAAGGATCATTAGATTGCTCGCAGTTTGCCTTTCCGTTTATATTTTAGAATGGGACTTTTGTGTCTTCACAAAAGCGGAGCAACAACTGCGCAAGTTTAATCGCAGGTCAAATATGAGTTTATTTCATGTATCATTGTCGATCAAATTCCTTTTCAGGGAACAAAGAACCTACTAAAGTTTGCCTCCTTCTTAACATGTGGCTTTGTACCTCGGTTTGTTGTAGCGCCAAACCAGTATCTATATCTAGGAGGCATGAGTTCGAGACAAGTGGAAGCCAGAACATTTTTCTGACTTCAATTTTTGCGATGCTTGAACTGCATTTTACTTACGAGGATCAATTTGTCACTGAACCATTTTAATAGGGAAAATTACGGTTTTAGTTTAAAGCGGCAAAAACCGGGTGCAATTACTGAACCTAACACCGTACAACATGTTGCCATTTAACTGTTATTAGTGAGTGAGTTACGCAACAGGACGGGAGAGGAAAGAAGACGGCAAACCTTGTGTGACAAGCGTGACAATAATTTTTCTGGAAAAACATTTCCGCCGAACTGCATTCTCCTTTAAACAGCTCTTTTTGTAAAAGACCAGAAAACATTAACTTAAGTGAAGGTCACAACAAAACACGCAAGGAATAGCCCTGTCACGTTTGTCACACAGAAGCGTTTTGCAGTCGTCTTCTTTCTGCCGTCCTGTTGCGTAAACTCACTATTGTCAGAGAAAGCCGGGCAGTACCAAAAGATCGAGGTCGGCTCTTTACGTTCATCTTTTCACAGTATAAAAGCTATCCGAAAAGATTAACAACCATCACATTGCCGAGGTAGGCGTTCGTTTCTCAAACGGTCGAAAGCCGTGGCCAAACGATCGCAACATGCCAACGTATTATTTGGCATTTAGATTTTTAAAGGGGTGTCTTGAAAGCAAAGACCCCCACCTAATGACTCTGAACTTTATTGATTAGGGTTAGGAATTAAACTGAGTGAATCAGGTTCCATTTAAGTCATTATACTGGCCAAACTGACCAGAAAGTTGATTAACTCTGAGTTTTCTAACCCTAATCAATAAAGTTCAGAGTTGTTCTTTGTTTTCAAGACACCCTTTTTAAAGGAAAACAAACTGTATTTCACAGACATGTCACAGGTGGCTGCATTGTACCAGGAGCACCATGATATTGAAGGGAAAGATGATAAGCTCTGTAAGTGGACAGATGCTGATGCACTGGAAGCCTATGAACAGAATCTGTTTAAAATTGGATCAGACAATACCGTAGCAGACATGCTTGAATGTTGGCAGAATCCTGTGTTTCCAGCACCGGCAAGGGTGAGATCAAAAACTGATTGACTATCTTTGTAGAGCAGTTCCTTTTTCTAGACTAGAGATAATGCCGATAATAAATTGGAATTAACGTCCAGGTGTCCAGGGTGGGTGTGACTGAGGGGGAGGATGGTGATAATTATTGTAGCATGAAGTTAAATAGAATTTTTAGTTAACACAGTTAAGAACAAGGAGTGCGGGCATGGTCAGCAGTCAGTCGTTTGGCTCAAGCTTGGTCAGCCTTGCTTGCATCACCTCCATGTGCTCAGTACAATGTCTTCCTGGCTGCCACTCTCTTAGTTTAGCCTTTGGATCATTCTTTTACCCCTATCCCTCCCCCCCTCTTTATTCTTCCACCAATAAATCATTGTGACAGGTGCCTGGTTCCATTGGCGTGAGGGTTCATGGCTGGAGGGCGCCAGTTTGCCAGCCATGGTGGCGTAACTCTGTCTAGGGGCTGGCTGTGCCATAGGTGGAAGCCCCTGGACATCCCGGACACCCACCTCCACTAGCGACACAGTTGTTAACTGTTTGGAATTAAGGGCTGTGGAAACTGAACCCAACAACATTCATAGGAAAGTAGAAGAAAAATAGAACCAAAAATTTTTAGTGACAGCACTGAATTATTTTCAAATTGCACTTAGAGGGATGAAATGAAACCAGTTACAGTCAGGCGAGGTCAAGCGTACCCCCATAGATTCCATTTATGAATTGATTGTTTGAAATATGAATTAATTTTCTGTTACTTCAACCAGATCTGCAGTCCTGCAGGCATTTTGAGCAGTGAGGTTTCAAGGATAATCTCAATGTATTTGGTCACATTGAAAAATCTTTGAATGGATGAATTTTTTTTCCAGACATTTACATCAAATTCGAGAAAAGTGAGGTGGTAGAAAATTTATAACTGCCTTGCGTGAAAATTCGTTGCTCATAATGCATGCTGGAATGCAGAGATGAAGCTGAAATGTACAGCTACCAACGGATTCAGCTATCGCATAATAAATTCATTAATGGCATCTTTAGGGTTATGCTTGATCTGGCGTGACTGTAATTTCCTCAAACATTTTAGTAAAGGTTGTAGATGCTTAAACTTCTTGTACCAACTGATCTGCTTTTGTGTTGTTTGCATTAAGGACATACTTAAAGCTAACAAACCAGGCAACTGTGCCAGGAACCAGATCTCAGTTCATAATGTGGTTCACCCATATCGCTTTACCAGAGACATGTTGGCAGGCATGAGGGTATTGCAACAGCTAGATGATAAGTTCATCGTAGGCGTTTTGTCGCAAGAAGGTAGGATTCATTAAAAGTTTGATGCCGAGAGAGCCGATAATGTTACATCAATTACTTATAACCAATGTGGGAATAAATGTCAAAAAGTATTTGGAGTGGTTGTCTCTACTTCAGTTCTTTTCACTTGATGCTGTCAAGGGAGCAAGGGACCCCTAAGTACACTGTAGAAGGCAACTCCTTGTATAGTAAAATAATATTCAAGACCACGTTTTAACCCCTCTACTCTTAAGAGTGGCCCACAGAATTACCAAACTTTTCTTTGTTAAATGCTGAAAATTAATACAAACTGTACCTTGTGAGAGTTCTGCTGAAGAGGTTTCATTTGAATGGTAACACCATAGGATTTCATCCACAGATTCAAAAGTTAGAACTACATACTAAGTAAATAGTACCATGTGAAAGTACTGCTGAAGAGGTTTCGTTTGAATGTTCATGCCATAGGATTTCATCCACAGACTCAAAAGTTAGAAACAACTTACATGACCCCATCACCCACTCTGGGAGGGAAAGAGGCTCCTGTTTGCAGTAAAGGCAGTAGCAATGACATCTGTAAATCACTTATTCTATTTACTGGCAGGGTTTTAAACTACTTTCAGTAAATGAGTGATGAACGTCTGTTATTGCAAAGATTTTGTAATTTGGGAGAAAGGTTGTCCCTTGAATATTGTTCCCAATATATAATACATTTACTTAAGAATCATTCAAGTCATACAAATAGGGTAGTAGAGGGTAGTGAAATTTATGTAATGAACTGGACAAGGATTTAAAGAACAAATGATAGAGCAAATCAGGTCATGTCCTACCACCTCTCTTACATCATTATTTAAAAAAAAAGAACAAATTTTCCGCCATTTTTATTTTATACATGTACTGTACGCTATGTGTTGGGAAAAAAAGACAAAACAATAGAACTTTAGACAAACAGGAGATTAACCTATGGTTTGTAGTCTACCTGATGCATTACAAGGCAAAAGCAATGTAGACACTTATAATTAATTAGCTGGAAGAGGCTTTCTGCAAGGCCAGTTGTTGCACAAATGAACAAGTCGTTTTTATCTTAGGACAGGACGATGGCTTGCTGGTTTTAGTAGATCAACATGCTGCTCACGAGCGTGTTCGATTAGAACTTCTACAGTCAGGTAGGTCTAAAAGTCTTCAGTGTTTTAATTGTTTCTTTGCCTTTTCTTATTGCTCAGTATTGATCGATTGAGCAAGAAAAATAAACTAAATTTTGACATAAAATGACGAAAAGAATCTGGGGTCCATTTCAAAAGACTGCAGGGTTAAAAAAAGATGCTGTTTCGTGGTCTGGGATAATAAGATTTTTTAACCTTTAGATTTTTTTGCTGAGCAAGAAACTTTTTAACGTCACGTGCAAGTCATGAAATTATTAACTAAGATAGGCAAGCAAAATGAGAGAGCTTCTTCTCCAAAGGACATGCTAGAGTTCAATTTTTTTGCGCCCTTATCAAACTGTTGGTCGTAAAGTAGATCATTATTAAGAAAATAGGTTATTGTTAATGTACAACACTAAGGAATAGTAATAGGCCATTTTTGAGTTCCAGAAACTCTCACTTTCAACACGAGGCCAAGTGCAAAACTTTTCTTGTAAAAATGAGTTTTATTTGCATGACAATAAAAAATCATGTTCATATCAATAGTACAACCTCGTTCCCAGGGAGGGGTGAGAACCTGGGAACGAAGTTGATCAATAGTGTCACACTAAGCCTCGGTTTGAAACAGAGGCTTGGAGCAAATCGGAGATGGCCTGTTTTTGAATAGTCTCTCTCGCAGCCGAAAGGGGAGCGTTGCGTGACATCCAAAAAACGGCTGCGAGAGAGACTAGTTTTTTAATTGATTTGTGACGGATTCCTTTCCACAGAACTGTTTGAAGGTGGCAACAACAGCCAAACTTCAAGTGCAAAACCTCGCATCAAATCCTCACCCGTTTCTCCACCAATGGAGGTTACATTGTTTGGAGAGGAAATAAGACTGTTAAGAACATTTCAGTGCGAAGTGGAGCGAATTGGAATACATTTTGTTATAAGTGAGTCATCTGAGGACTCTGAAGAGACATTGGTGTTTGTTCATCGCGTTCCTTCTGTGTTAGTTGAACGTGAAGTGTCCGAGGTTAAACGTGGACGGCCCTCTGTCGCTGTTAGCAAAGTGAAGGTAATCGCGTTCATAAGAACACATAGAATTTTTCGAGCTATCACAGGCGACTGCTAATTAGCCGCCCCTATTAATTTTATCAGGGGCACCTCGGCCGTGAAAGTGGACTTCTTTCAACTCGATTTCGTTTCCATAATTTTTCCGTAATTGACGAACGCGGATCCGTAATCAATGATTACCTCCAGTAATAATTTATAGGGCTGTGACAAGGCTGTAGTTAGATATTGCCAATTATACGTCTTTATACGCTAAGGAATAGGGATTCTACAGAGTCTTGAATTCTTGCTTCAAATTTGCCCAACAAGTTCCCAAAGGTCTGGAAGAATGGTAAAAAGTCTTTATTTTTTTCAAAGCAACCACAAGTGCTTTATAAGTGAATGTTTTTTTCGTTTTGGTCAAATCTTATTCAATCTTGCCCGTACGTTTGCAGTGCATCGTGAAAATAGTTTTTTTTCTGCGTTTTTAAGGTCTCTATTGATCACTTATTTAATTGTTTATTTGTTTGTTTCCTTTTTTTCATCAATGTGGCAGCAACGCCGAACGCCGAAGGGCGCTGGTAGTTAGTGATTAGGGTTAGAAAACTGAGTGAATCAGTTTCCATTTAGGGTCATTATACTGGACAAACTGACCTAAAACTTGATTAACTTAGTTTCCTAACCCTAATCACTAAATTTTAGAAATATTCGGCATTCGGCTGACATGAATTTGTCACTCAAATGTTTTAATTTTGTTAATTTCCTTCATAATTAACATGTAAGTGCTACTATCTAATTGTTTTGCTCTTTTATTTCTCCTTTTATTCAGGGGCTAATCAGAGAGCATCTTAAAGTAAGTTGTTACTATGTAACAAGTGATATTTTTCTTATTTTGCTCCCTATTTGATTCCATACCTTGTTCTTAGAACAGGTCCACCTGTATTTAACTTTCTGTCATATATCTTTCTTTCTTTCCTTAAATTTATTTATAGCATCTATCAGTAACTTGTGGAGTGCCAGCACCGATTCCTAATGTCATCTCTGAAGTTATCAACTCCCAGGCCTGTCATGGTATGAACACTGTATGGAGTTAATATTTTCCTATCTTGACGAGAAAAAAGCTTTAACCGATCTGTTGTTCATTCGCCACATTTGCATTCCCTATACGTCTTGTCCCCCCACCTCACACAAGAATTTTCACAAGCATCCTGCTCTTTTCAGGTGTCCACCTGGCAACTCAAAAACAGCGTTTAAATATTATTCATTTTGAAAAGGGTTTTTTAAAAATTGACCTTTTGGGGGACCATTTAAGCGGGCATCAAGAATCTCCGCACACGAAAACGGATGTTTAGTTGCTAAGTACTAGCAAAAACCAAAGGTTAGGGAGTGCGGACGACAGCGATCAAAGGTCTAAACGCTTTTGCTCCAATGCTGTGATTTCCGTAAATTTCACGTGATAGATGGTCAAATTGCCCTTTGTGCATTCCATTCATTCTTAGTGGAAGTCCGAAAAAATGCCAGCCACATACATGCGACGCATGCGTAATAACAACCTGGAGATTAGGATTGCGGGCTCCTCTTGTCGCCCGCCAAAAACACCCACAACGTTTTCCGTTTTCTTTTCCGTTTGCTTGTGTTTAGGTGCAGTAAAGTTTGGAGAGCCTCTTGGTGTCAGTGAGTGTCAGGAGCTGATTGATCGCCTGTCCAAGTGTCAGTTACCTTTTCAATGTGCTCACGGCAGGTGGGTGGAGCGCTTACAGGAAGGCTTTAACCCCGTGGGTGGGTGGGAGGCGGGGGTAGCTCTGGTATAAAAATGAAGAGGAAACTCGTTGGAAAATTAGGGGCGATCTGCACCTATTTGAAAGATTGTTTGTGATTTTCTGGGAAAACAAAAGGGATTGTGACATAACAATGCCCCTATCCCTGAAAACAATGGAAGTGCAGATTAAACGGGGACCAATGAAATAAGAGGTTTAGAACGAAAATTAGAATTAAAACCGTAAAGGAGACCAGCGTTGCCGTGACCTACGCTTTGTTTCACCCATAAAGGAGATCTTATTCCAACAGAGTCTGACGGCGTTTATTATTTTTATTTACATGTAAGAATTTCTTTACGCTTAACTTTATATATACGGGTACAAAAATTGGCTTTCCGCCCTGAAAATCCAAAAGAGACCAAACTCCGCAATTTCTACCTCTAAGCGAGACCACCGCCATCCCCGTAATTTTCATGACGGAGTTCTCCCCACCTCCCTCCCGCCCCGAGGCTCTTTAAACGTGTAAGTCTCGTGTAGTGCATAAAGTCCCAAAGCCGTGAGCCCATTTGACGGAAGCTGCTAAGCGGCCCTTTTATTTCAGTGTAGATATAAAGTGAAAGTCAGTATCGTTCTTTTTCGCGAGATGCAGTTTAGCCTTCTTGGCTGGCATTTGAAGGACAAAGGACAACGAGAATTAAGACGCGCGAGAACACGAAGGTCGCACTCGTGATGGAGGCATGCCCATCGCCTTCTCGCGCGCCTCAATTCCCTCTTTTGGCTAGTTGAAGGTAGGCTTTCTCTCCGGAGGTATATAATAGAGGTCCTTATTTAAGCGCCTCGTAATAGACATCACCAATTAGCACCACTTTGGCTTCCACCCAAAGACGCAAACATGGAACTTTATTATCGTTTCTCTAGCAGATATAAGGGCTTCGTTACTTTTACGAATGGTTGCAACAGGTTTAGCGTGAACTCTTAATTCAATATTATCATACTTGTACTCAATATCTGTCTTTGCATTAATTAGTTTGTTTTCGTGCTTAGGCCATCTGTTATTCCTTTGGCGGATCTCACTTTCTTAGGGCAAAAAATGACATCTCAGGTGAGGAAGCGGTGGAGTTGCATTTCTTTAAAACATTGTCGGGTTTTCATTTTTATTTTTTCACTTTTTTGTCTACGTTTTCACTAACCGACAAACAGCCCGCCGTAACACTCCACTTGGCATCCCCCGACCTCGTCCCCAGGGCTTTTCCCTAAAAAAAAATGGGAGGGGCCATTTTTTTAGGGAAAGCCCTAGGGACGAGGTTGGGCATCCCCATCATTCGCCACTTTAGAAAAGAGAGGGAAACTGGGCCGAGTTAACTTTCGCAAATAGTTCTGGGACTATTTCTAGAACTGGCCAATAGCTGACCAGCGCGTCACCAGTAACGCTCCCAGAAACAATTGTGGGACGCATTACGGCTCCAGTCCCCTTCTCGTTTCTAAAGTGGCCAATCACCTTTTTCAAAGGGACATTTGGCCAAAATTTTCTTGTCATCTTAGTGATATTTTCCTCTTATAAACTGACTTGCAGCGGGAGGCTTCTCGACCAAAGATAGCAAGGCTGCTTTCCAAAGTTGCCCAAGGACACTGAAGATTTTCCACAACAAGACATCAGGTCTTTATCTTGTCACTTTTGCTACAAGTTTGCAATAGCATGTCAAGTACGAATGAACTAACAAGATGCTCATTCTCAAACGATTTTGTTTTAATGTCAAAAGCTTATTTTCATTTGAAACAGTACCTGCTGGAACGGTGTATTTTAATGGGTTGGAAAATTATTAAAAATGTCTTTTGTGTAATCTATTTTTGCGTGCCAGCTTTTGCAAATCCAACACGATAGGAATTGGTCCAGCAACTTAGCCTAACTTAGGATTTGTTCACACTAAACCGGAAAACTCTTACGCCGGCACGAAAACATTACCGCTTAGGGCTTTCATTCACACATAAGAACGATGATTTCGACCCGATTTCTGAAACGGAGTGAAGCTTCGCCGAGCCAATCTCTAAAGTGGAGTGTTTGATGTCGGATAGGTTCTGTGCCACACTTTATGAAACGTAGGAGCAGGAACTGGGATCTACCGAGACGGAAGTGAATATTCAGGAGTGAGGACTGGGATTTAGTTTACCAAACCCTCTCGGCCAACCGCTCCGGCTCGATTATCGATGTGTGTGAACGACTTATTCCATTTCTGTGTCGTTGCTGTTTATGCTATACTTGTCTGAACATATAGCTTGACTTAGTCCACCGATTTGTCGGTCATTAGTTTTGACACTCTGGCTTTCTATTTCTCAGTCTTAAACAATTCAGTTCTAATTTTGTCAGCCAAAGATCAGCTAATTCTTGAAGCCAGTGAGACGGGTTTACGAAAACCTATTCATCAGTTAGTTGGTTAGAACACCATTTATATTTGTCGATCAATCCTTCGCTATCATCGGTAAGTATTTTACTTCGTCAGAGGGATGGACCTCTCTGAATTCAATAAAAGGGCACAAATACTTAAAAGTACTTTTATTGCGACATTTTTGTCGTGTACAGTGAGGTAGGAGTAAACTGAGCTCACTTTACTGTACCAAGATATATCCCATGGCTTTTATGTTTTTCCCTCCATTGTCCGACGTAAGTCCTTTAACAGCGTTGTTCCCACATGTGTTGGAGTCGTCAGGGTGTCCTGCCGTTCCAAACCCAATTCTGGAATCACAGTTACCACAGACTTGTTCGTTATTTCCAAGGATACCGATTCTTGCCTTAGCAAAGGAGCTGTATTTAGTGGCCGCATTGAACCCCTCCTTGTTGCAATTGGTCTGCAGGGAAGCCTTAGAGCCAATCAGCTTCTTCCACGTGTTACGACCAAGTGACGTGGCGCGATACTTCCCGTCTGCGATCAATGAATGCAGAGAAGCTGCCTTCTTGTTGATAACGATGAACTTGATCTGCTGGCCGATCTTCATACCCAGGCAGATCGTAGAGAAGGATGTATTCCAGTATGTTGGCAGTTTAGTCTCTTGATCGTCAAACCCGGTCTTACCTCCTGGAAGGTTATAGGAGTTCTTGTTACTCCAAAACCCAGAGCTGTAATGGAAAGTTTTCTGAAATACAAACAAGAACCATTAGCTTTACACTATACACATAACTTCCGTATGCCAGGACAATCGTTTTACCTTTGCGCCATTAATCTTCATGGCCAGCGTCCACCCTCCATCTCCGCATCCAAAGTTTCCCATGTGACAGTAAACAGGAATCTTTTGCGAACCAAACTTCAGTGTGTACACTTGGCTTTTGGTCGAACTACGAAAATGAAAATAGTGACTGTCAGGTTTACTTCACCGAAGATCATTTTTGCATTTCTGGACAACTCTTGTCCTTTCTTGACTGTGCGTCAAAATCTTGAAGAACAACGTTTTAAGGCTGGTTTTGAAATAGAAAAGGATAGTGTCTCTTGGCGATGATTGCCTTTTTATCAATACTTATTTGAACTTGTTTAGTAGCCTTAGTTCCCACGATTCGCCTGTAGCTCGGTGGTAGAGCATCTGGACTGGTAACCTGAAGGTCATAGGTTCGACTCCTACTGGAAGTACGCGGATATTTTCTTCAGAGCCGCCAGTGTCTTTCAGTTGAAAATCACCTTTTTCTTGACACTACTTGTATCTAGGAACTCACTTGTGTTTCTCATACTGTTCCTGGCACGGGGAAGCGGGAACGGCTGTATGAAAGTCAAAAATTCTGGTGTTAATTAATAACGACTTCATACGAGCTTTCTGGCTAAATAAAATCCAAAACGCGCGACCATAACATTGCTTTGTGGAAAGAGCGAAAGTTTATTATAATTCACTCGCGGGTGTTGTTTTCGTCTGGTTAGAAGCATTGCTTGTGGCTTTACAAAACCTCACTGAGCTAAAAAGTCGTTCACCACTGCAACAATTTACCTGGCGCCTGTGTTATCGCAGGTTTGTTCAATCCGGCAATGAGACTTTCCAATTTCGCTTGTAACATTTTCATGGCGTCGTTAGAGCTTGAATCCTGTAGAAGGTTACACATCAGGTTGCATACCATCATCTTGTCGTACGGCTTGGGGCAGGATGGAGAAGCTCCGTCGCCTTTGACGGTCATTACGAAAAAGATAGCAAGAAAGGAAGCTTGAAAAAGCAGACGCATTTTGAGAACTTGAGCTAAACGTTTCTTTTCAACAAGCAAATAAAGGTTCTGTGACTGACCAGGTCTTGTGACTAGCCCAGGGTTTTACATCTCTGTTTCCAGCGAAGTAAAAACAGATGTGTTTGATATTTGGGAATATTTTCTTGTTTACAGCCTTGTCCAATCTTATGTCCAATCATCTTACTCCAGGTCTGTTTTGCCTTTACTCGCCCCAGTACCTCCCTGTCTCATAAGCGACTTGTTCACTCAAATTTTACTTGTATTAAGCTTTTTCTCGTTTGAAGAGATCGTGGTTAAAAAGAACGATATTGAGGAAAAGCTAGGAAGAAAAAGACAAGGTCGGTCTCTTTCGACCCGAATGAAGTCAACAAGTGCCAGAATGAAAACGAAACTGATATCTGTAACTTGGATGAGATTCGTCACTTGAGTTCAGCTTCTGAAGTGATTATTATAATCTCCTCATCCAGCCTCTGTTTTTGGCGTCTCGCGTTTTCCATCAAATCGTGGGTTTTAGGGTTAGGGTTAGCTCGAACAACTACGACCACGATGAAGTAAACGAGAAAATAAAAAGAAAATAGCTTTAAAAAGCAAACCCAACAAAAATTCTGAACGTTTGACACTTTGTGGCAGATTCCTTTGTCATCATCGCATCACTCACGGTTGCCAAACTTGATCGGAATGGCAATGCGATAGTTGCTATAATTTCTAAGATTTTCGTTTCATCTCTGATTAACGTTCGTCGCGACTTCTATTTCGTCGGAAATAATCATAGAGGCTCACCATCGTATGGCCGTGTGGCGAGATACGCTCAAGAACAAACTTAGGTAAAAGAAAAAAATACAACGACCGAATTAAACATTGCGTGAATGGCTCTAATGGATTCTCCGGCAGACGATTTACACTAATCGGTCAACTTAAAAACATATAAGGCAGAAAAGACAAATGATGATAATTTTTAGATCACTATCGACTCAATCCGTCATTTTACCTTAGCCTGTTAACATATACCTTCTTGTAAAACTTTGTAGTAGTTATCTTCGCTGCGCTAGATCGAATCATTCCGATATTGGGCATTCTGATTTTACTTCAAAACCTGAAAAACTGATCCTGGCTAGAAAGGTGAAATTCAAAAACAAATCTATATTTAGGCAATTTTCATCACGATTTATATAAATGATTTGAAATTAAGAAAATCTCACATAGTATTGATTAACTTTCGTTGCCCATTAATTTGAATCACATTTTATCAATAGTTAAATTCAATTTGAGGCAAAACAAACAAGGATTGGATAGACCAAAAGCAATTTTAGCGTGTTCAATCGCCTCATGTCATATGTCGTACAAACTTCTCAGTGCAAAAGAACGTGATAGGCACCACATGAACCCCTCTTAAAACACAATTGACCTCTTATTCTTGTCGCTAGTAGCTATGATCTAAGCATTTTCGTGTCAGGAAGAAATGGAAACACACATGATTTCTATTGGGTGAAGCTATGTGGAAACAGATCATTGGAGTACATAATGTCAACTGACTCACTAAATTTTTTTTTTTTCACAAAAATTATTCACAGAAGTGGCTTTCTATATTTTACATTTTTAAATATTGAGTTTTTTAAAATACATTTTTGGCATTATTTTTCCCTTTAACCTTTACGTGTAAGCCAGTTTTCAGGAGAGGTACACCAGATAATTCAATATGGACATTACAATGTTGCATTGTCGATCTGTTTTTCTGTTGACATTAAAAATCTCAGAGATGTGTTCAGGTACACACACAAAACACAACAGCACGCTAAATTCGTTCTTCTTATTGCAACAAACACCTAGTTGATAGTTTATTTTCAATCATTTTTCTTCTTGTAGCTAAATAATACGTATACACCCTAACAAGATTTGAAATGCTAATGATCTTAACATATACTTTAAAACAAGTATTAATTTTTAGGCGGCTCAAACAAAATACTTGAACACAAACTTTTTTATAAGAACCACGCACTAGCTTGAACAATTTTTTACGATAATTTCCCGTGAGCGACCGATTTTAAATGGAAAAAGAGAATGCCCCAAGAAACAGAGATAATATTCGTTTTTACGGTAAACAAAAATGCTAATATTTCGTACACGCCAGGGCTTTTCAATCACCCATCGAAGATAAAACTGAAGAGAAATTTTAAAGAAAACATTCGAGAAGGACAGCCTTAAATTCGTGCGCCTTACTTTGCCAAAATGGCGTCGACAGATATCATGCCCGAAAATTTTTCTTGCCCGGAACGAATCTGTTTTGAACAAAACGTGGCCATCATTTACCATTTGCCATTCTCCAAGGGTCCTCCAGATTTTCCGGAGATATTAAATATAAATGGCGACTTAGTGTCGCCCCTGAGTTAATATTCACCGCTAACTCGAGTTTCTTCTCGTTTCTAAAATTGCGATGGTGTCTATACATAACAAAGTATTTAGCATTTCTTACATTTCATCAGCTGAGTTTTAGTTAAGCAAACTACCACTTGATTCTTGAACATGCCAGTGTCGTTTTTACCTTCTAAGGAGTGGACCTCGGTGAAATATTGACCACGATACCATTCCTCGCTTTAAGAATCAGATGAGATTGGAGATCTTCATTTGACACAATGTTCTGTGGGCCTACGCTTAAATCAAACCTGTAAGAAGGCAACCAAGTTATCACTTTGCAGCAATTAGAGCCTTTTTGTATTGGTCTACCCACCCCCACCACCCTCAGAAAGGCCTGCCTACTGGTGTATCAATACGGTGTTACAATAATCCTGTGCGAGTTCAACTCTTTTCTCGTGTAAACACTCTCTTCTCTTCCAATGAAATAGACCCCCTAGTCACGTGAGTGAATGCCCTCTAACAGTAGGCCGCTTAAGTGTTTGGAGTCAACTAGAACTAGCCTGCAGCGGAGGCTAATGTTAAATTGTCCCCAGAGTCTTCTCGTTTACCAAAGACGAGCATTTCCTGGGACGAGGTCAACGCTCATGTTGAGGAACACAAAAACAAATTAAATCAATGTATGGAACATTTATAATCAACTGGCTCAGCAAAAACAACGTTCAACGTGAGTTGCCTGCAAAAGAGGCTCTGCATATATTAACTTGAGATAGACTAACCCCGTAAAAATGAGATTTCATTCGCCTCGTTATCATCAAACTACAGTTGTTTTAGTTTTTTCACTTACATTCGAAGGATCGTTGATGTAGCCGTTTTGGTCTAAGCAAGAGCAAAACCTTGGCCGATACAGTTTCTGAAAACATAAATGATAGTACCGTGTTGAATTACGAAGAGTGATGTAAAAACCGATCTCCTTTTCTCGCACGTCATAAAAGCTGCTGATAATTGAAATAAGAAAATTTGAACATGATGTTGGATAATCTCGAACCCAGATCTCACGGCTGCTTGACCACAGACTCCCCGGCTCCTCTTGAGCGAGGGAGATCGGGGTTACAATATGATGTTGCTTATTTACTCAAAGTACGGGTGGGGAGTTTATGAACAAGGGCAAGAGCAATTAAAGAGGGTTATGGAGAGTAGACTGGTGTCAGTGAGTGATCGCCTGTCTAAGTGTCAGTTACCTTTTCAATGTGCTCATGGCAGGTGGGTGGGGCTTACAGAAAGGCTCTAATCCCCATGGGGGGTGGGGGAGGGGTAGCTCTGGTATAAAAATGACAAGGATACTCGTTAGACAACTAGAATTAAACCCCTAAAGGAGACCAGTGTAGGCGTGAACCACGCTTCGTTTCACCCATAAACGAGATCTCGCTCAAACACAGTATGACGGCGTTTGTTATTTTCATTTAACAATTTCTTTACGAAAAACCTAAAGTGATATCTTATAGTGATATATATTAGCTTGGTGTGCTGAAAATCGAAACTGAGACCAAAATCCGCAATTTCTACCTCTAAGCGGGACGACCGGCATCCTTGTCATTTTTATGAGTGCCCATCGCCGTCTCGCGCCCTTCAATTCCCCCTTTTGGCTAGTTGAAGGTAGGCTTTCTCTCTGGAGGTATAGAATAGAGGTCATTATTTAAGCGCCTCGTAATAGACATCACCAATTAGCACCACTCTGGCTTCCACCCAAAGACGCAAACATGGAACTTTATTATCGTTTCTCTAGCAGATATAAGTGCTTCGTTACTTTTACGAATGGTTGCAACAGGTTTAGCGTGAACTTTTAATTCAATATTATCATACTTGTACTCACTATCTGGCTTTGCATTAATTAGTTTGTTTTCCTGCTTAGGCCATCTGTTATTCCTTTGGCGGATCACAGGTTCTTAGGGCAAAAAATGACATCTCAGGTGAGGAAGCGATGGAGTTGCATTTCTTTAAAACATCATCGGATTTTTAACTTTAAGTTTTTGTCCACGTTTTGACTAACCGACATACAGCCTGCCTTAACACTCCACTTGGCATCCCCCGACCTCGTCCCCAGGGCTTTCAACCTAGTCCCCAGGGCTTTTCCCTTAAAAAATGGGTGGGGCGGTGTCACAGCGTTTTGGGCATCCCCGCGTTTTGGGCATCCCCATTCCCAAATCCCTAGCGTTTTGGGCATCCCCTTCTCATATTACTGCAGCGTTTTGGGCATCACCCGGTACCCTCCCGGGATGCCCAAATCGCTAGTGTTTTGGTCATCCCCTCCAAAAAAATGTTGGATTTCGCGGGAAAATCGAAAACGTTTTAGAGATGGTTTCCGCTAAATAGAGAAATCTTTTCCAGTATCTTAAAAAGAAGGCTTATCCGGAAGGCTTTACAAAGCAAAAAAACGACTCTGCGAAATTTGCCAAAAAGTTCGAGTATGACTCAAAATTAGAGTCCTTGTTCTAGGTGGCCAAGGAGAAGGATGGCACAGCGCTTCGACGAATTGTTCACCGAGGAAGAGAAAGCGAGGGTCTTCGAAGAGTGCCACTCTGCTCCTTTTTCTGGACACGCCGGCCGCGATAATACTTTTGCACCCTGTGAAGGTTGTTTCCAAGGTGTGGTACTCGGTCGGAATTGATTTAATAGAAGCCCCTACTACATCTCAAAACGGCAACAGATTTCTTCTGTCCCGTAGGTGCAAGAGGCCTCTGTATAAATTGTGTGACATCCTTTTGTGTGTCAAGTAGCGCTGCGGGGTTAAGTTCAACAGGCCTCAAATGTCATGCATACTATGAATTCAACACCAAACGCAGTTTTATTCATGTTTGTCTTTTGATTGTTTTGTTTAGTATTCTTGTTTTTGGCTGTTTGGAATCAGACGATCGCAGCTGCCGGCGATTGCGGCATTGCTCGCTTGTAAAAAGTTCTATTAAATAAAATTGAAGCTCTGCAAAAAATGAAGCGTTGTACAGCGAAGGGATGTTTATTTAATATGCGGTTGTAAATTTCAGTTTCGTGCCGTTTTGAGCCAACGTTTACTGCCTATGGGTTTTTTTTCTGCGCAATAAACCCGGCGAAAAGTGTCAGACGATATAATTCTAACATGCATCTACACTATTCAGCCGTAAATTCGTGATTCATTGACAATCCCGACTTTTCCCCAGTCTGAAATAATTTAGGCAAAGTCGAAGCGATCAGCGTTTTGGGCATCCCCCACCGGGGATGCCCAAAACGCTAGGGATTTGGGAATGGGGATGCCCAAAACGCGGGGATGCCCAAAACGCTGTGACAGCGGGAAAAGGCCCTGGCATCGGCTGGTCACGTGCACAGCCTAAATATTCATGAGAAGCTAATTTATATGCAACCCGCTGGTTTTGCGCTAGTCTGCTACACAGCCGTTTTTAGTGTCGTCACGCAATGCTCCTCCCCGCAAAGGTGGCGCGAACACTTTCCAGAAAATGGGAGCAGAATTATAAGTGGCTAATCACGGGAAAGGAATGTAGTTCGGTTTTCAGCAGCCGTTAGTGGGGAGGAGCGTTGCGTGATGACACTAAAAACGGCTGTGTAGCAGACTACTTTTGCGCTGACAGAGGTCGAACGGAGCAACAATGGAAAATACTAACATCGCGAACTATGTCAATATTTTCGCGTGTGTGCGATGCAAAAGCTAAAGATCCATTTAATTGCGTATTATTCAAATGCTGCAAGTTTATGAAAGGGCGTACCGACTCTGCTTTGTCACATACAAAATATGTCAAATGCTTCAGAGTTGAGACAAGCTGTTATTGAGTATACTTCGACTGAAATTCATCGTGACTGTGGAATTACTGTACGATCAAGGGGAAAGTGATTTTGTCCAATGTCAAACAAAAATTTAATTGAAATAGAATTGTTCATCCAAATGCTTTACAGTGGCTTTATGGAGTCTGGTCTTCTCTACAACCCGACCATGAAACAAACAAACCATTGCGCCGGATGCAAGTCAGCCCTCCAGCCAGGAACGATGACAGGTCGCCGATCTGAAACATTTGAAGACCTCTTATATCTTTTCTCTTCCGAGGATAAGTACAAAGGATTTTCCTTATATTAAAGGGAAGATTGACCGATCGATTCGAATCAACTACAGCTCTGTCAATTTTAAATGGACCCAAGTATTTCTTTCTTACCAGTCGTTTAATCGCAGAGGTCAATTAATTTTTTTCAAAATACAGGTCATACAAGATAAGTCTAAACCAACGCGTGTCGTTATGATATGGCTGAGAGTTAAGGAGAATAGAACTAGGCTGGGTCCACTTCGCGAGAAATGAAATAAAATCTCAGAAGAGTCGCGAGAACGGACTTTTTCAGAGCAAACTTTATGCGTATACGACAGTTTGTTTGTCATTTATATCGCTCTATAAACAGAAGTTTTACAAATGTTACCGCTCGCTGTCCCCTTCATAGAAATCAGAGGAAAGCAAAAAATTACCATAGCCAGTATCTGTGACTAAAAGGAAATCGTGTAAAACTTTTCGTTAAACGTCAAGAGATATAAAAGGCCGCCGAAGATCGCGCGCTGTGAGGTTACGCATAATTTTAGCTTTTCATAGAGCGCTAATTTATTACACCCAGGATTTTAGCGTGTACGAGGGGACACGTGACCAGCCGATTCCAGGGCCTTTTCCCGCCCAACCCATTTTTTAAGGGAAAAGCCCTGGGGACGAGGTTGGACATCCCCATCATTCGCCACTTTAGAAAACAGAGGGAAACTGGGCCGAGTTAACTTTCGCAAAGAGTTCTGGGACTATTTCTAGAACTGGCCAATAGCTGACCGGCGCGTCCCCAGTAACGCTGCCAGAAACAATTGTGGGACGCATCTAGGCTCCAGTTCCCTTCTCGTTTCTAAAGTGGGCAATTGCCTTTTTCAAAGGGATATTTGGCCAAATTTTTCTTTTCATCTTAGTGATATTTTTCTCTTATTAATTGACTTACAGCAGGAGGCATCTCGACCAAAGATAGCGAGACTGCGTTCCAAAGTTGCCCAAGGACACTGAAGATTTTCCACAACAAGACATCAGGTCTTTATCTTGTCACTTTTGGTACAAGTTTGCAATAGCATGTCAAGTGAATGAACTAATAAGATGCTCATTCTCATAGAGACTCTTGAGCCGTTTATGGTTTTGTTTTAATGTCAAAAGCTTATTTTCATTTGAAACAGTACCTGCTGGAACGGTGTATTTTAATGGGTTGGAAGATTATTAAAAATGTCTTTTGTATAATCTATTTTTGCGTTCCAGCTTTTGCAAATCCAACACGACAGGAGTTGGTCTAGCAACTTAGCCTAACTTAGGATTTGTTGACACAAAACTGGAAAACTCTTACGCCGGCACGAAAACATTACCGCTTAGGGCTTTCGTTCACACGTAAGAACGGTGATTTCGGCCCGATTTCTGAAACGGAGTGAAGCTTCGCCGACCCGATCTCGAAAGTGGAGTATTTCATATCGGGAAGGTTCTGTGCCACACTTCGTGATACGTAGGAGCAGGGACTGGAATCTACCGAGACGGAAGTGAATATTCAGGAGTGTGGACCGGGATTTAGTTTACCAAACCCTCTCGGCCAACCGTTCCGGCTCTGCCTGTTCGATGGGTGTGAACAAATTGTTCCATTTCTGTGTTGTTGCTGTTCATACTATACTTGTCTGAGCATAAGTTTACTTAGTCCAAAAATTTGTCTTTCTATTGCTCAATTCAGTTCTATTTTTGTCAGCCAAAGATCAGCTCATTCTTAAAGCCAGTGAGACGGGTTTACAAAAACCTATTCATCAGTTACTGAGTTGGTTAGAACGCCATTCGTATTTGTCGATCACTCCTTAGCTATCATCGGTAAGTAAGTCACTTCCTCAGGGGAAAGCACCTCTCAGATTTCAATAGCAGGGCACAAATGGTTAAGAATCCTTTTATTGCGTCATTTGTTTTTTCGTGTACAGTAAGGTATTAGAAAATTGAGCTCAGCCTACTGCACCAAGATATATCCCATGGCTTTGATGCTTCTCCCTCCATTGTCCGATGTATATCCTTTGATAGCGTTGTTTCCACATGTGTTGGAATCGTCAGTTTGCCCTCCATTTCCAAACCCAATTTTGGAATCACAGGTGTGGCAATCTCGTTGGTCATTTCCAAGGATGCCGATTCTTGTCTTAGCATAGGCGCGGGAACTGGCCGCATTGAACCCCTCCTTGTTGCACCCAGTCTGCAGGGAAGCCTGAGAACCAATCAGCTTCTTCCACGTGTTACGACCCAGTGACGTGGCGCGATACTTCCGTCTGCGATCAAGGAATGCAGAGAGGCTGCCTTTTTGTTGATAACAATGAACTTGATCTGCTGGCCGATCTTCATACCCAGGCAGATCTTGGCGAATGGTGTGCTCCAGTAGGTTGGGAGTTTAGTCTCTTGACCGTCAAACCCGGTCTTCCCTCCTGGAAGGTTATAGGAATTCTTGTTACTCCAAAACCCAGAGCTGTAATGGAAGGTTTTCTGAAATACAAACAAGAGCATGTTAGCTTTACACTGTATACGTAACTTTCGTGTGCGAGAGCATCGTTTTACCTTTGCGCCATTAATCTTCATGGCCAGCGTCCATCCTCCATCTCCGCATCCAAAGTTGCCCATGTGACAGTAAACAGGAATCTTTTGCGAACCAAACTTCAGCGTGTACACGTGGCTTTTTGTGGAACTATGAAATTGAAGATAATGAACGTCAGATTTACTTCATCTAGGATTTTGTTATTCTCGCCACTCTTGTTCTTTATTGTCTGTGTCAAACTTTTGAAGAAAAACATTAAAAGTCTGGTTTTGAAATAGGAAAGGACAGTGACTCTTGGCGATGATTGGTTTCTGTCAGCACTTATTTGAACCTAGTTTAGTAGCCTTAATAGCTTCCACGAGTCCCCTGTAGCTCCGTGGTAGAGCATCTGGACTAGTAACCTGATGGTCATAGGTTCGACTTCTGTTGGAAGTATTCGGATATTTTCTTCCGAGCCGCCAGTGTCTTCGACTAGAAAAACATCGTTCTCTTGACAGTACTTGTATCTAAGAACTCACCTGTGTTTCTCATAATGTTCTTTGCACGAGGAAGCGGAAACAGCTGTAAGAAAGACAGAAATTCTGCTGTTAATTAATAACTACTTCATACGGACTTTCTGACGAAGTAAAATAGAAAACGTCCGAACGGAAGACAGCTTTGGGGAAAAGCGAAGTTTATTACAATTCATCCGCGCGTGAAGTTTTCGTCTGGTTAGGAGCACTGCACGGGGCTTTTTAATTACAAACCTCACTGAGCTAAAAAGTTGTTCACAACTTCAACAATTTACCTGGTTTTTGTGCTATCCCTGGTTTGTTCAATCCAGCAATGAGACTTTCTAGTTTCGTTTGCAACATTTTAATGGCGTCGTTCGCGCTCGAATCCTGTAGAATGTTACACATCAGGTTGCATAACATCATCTTGTCGTACGGCTTGGGGCAAGATGAAGAAGATCCATCGCTTTTGACGAACATTACGAAAAAGATCGCGAGAAAGTAGGCTTGAAAAAGCAGACGCATTTTGAGAACTTGAGTTAAACGTAACCTTTTCAACAAGCAAAGGAAGGTTCGGGAAATGACCAACTATTGTGACTAGTCCAGAGTTTTACATCTGTTTCCAGCGAAGTAAAAAGGATGTGTTTAAAATTCGGGAATATTTTCTTGCTTGCATTTGTCCAATCATCTTACTCCAGGTCTGTTTTTGACTTTACTCGCCCCAGTACCTCCCTGTCTCACAAGCGACTTGTTCACTCAAATTTTACTTGTTGTAACTTTTTATCGTTTGAAGAGATCGTGGTTAAAAAGAACGATATTCAGGAAAAGCTAGGAAGGAAAAGACAAGGTCGGTCTCTTTCGACCCAAATGAAGTCAGCAAGTGCCAGAATGAAAACGAAACTGATATCTGTGACTTGGATGAGATACGTCACTTGAGTTCAGCTTCCGAAGTGATTATTATAATCTCCTCATCCAGCCTCTGTTTTTGGCGACTCGCGTTTTCCATCAAATCGTGGGTTTTAGGGTTAGGGTTAGCTCGAACAACCACGACCACGACGAAGCAAACGAGAAAATAAAAAGGAAATAGCTTTAAAAAGCAAACCAAACAAAAATTCTGAACGTTTCACACTTTGTGGCAGATTCCTTTGTCATCATCGCATCACTCACGGTTGCCAAACTTGATCGGAATGGCAATGCGATAGTTGCTATAATTTCTAAGATTTTCGTTTCATCTCTGATTAACGTTCCTCGCGACTTCTATTTCGTCGGAAATAATCATAGAGGCTCACCATCGTATGGCCGTGTGGCGAGATACGCTCAAGAACAAACTTAGGTAAAAGAAAAAAATACAACGACCGAATTAAACATTGCGTGAATGGCTCTAATGGATTCTCCGGCAGACGATTTACAATAATCGGTCAACTTAAAAACATATAAGCCAGAAAAGACAAATAATGATAATTTTTAGATCACTATCGACTCAATCCGTCATTTTACTTTAGCCTGTTAACATATACCTTCTTGTAAAACTTTGTAGTAGTTATCTTCGCTGCGCTAGATCGAATCATTCCGATATTGGGCATTCTGATTTTACTTGAAAACCTGAAAAACTGATCCTGGCTAGAAAGGTGAAATTCAAAAACAAATCGATATTTAGGCAATTTTCATCACGATTTATATAAATGATTTGAAATTAAGAAAATCTCACATAGTATTGATTAACTTTCGTTGCCCATTAATTTGAATCACATTTTATCAATAGTTAAATTCAATTTGAGGCAAAACAAACAAGGATTGGATAGACCAAAAGCAATTTTAGCGTGTTCAATCGCCTCATGTCATATGTCGTACAAACTTCTCAGTGCAAAAGAACGTGATAGGCACCACATGACCCCCTCTTAAAACACAATTGACCTCTTATTCTTGTCGCTAGTAGCTATGATCTAAGCATTTTCGTGTCAGGAAGAAATGGAAACACACATGATTTCTATTGGGTGAAGCTATGTGGAAACAGATCATTGGAGTACATAATGTCAACTGACTCACTAAAGTTTTTTTTTCACAAAAATTATTCACAGAAGTGGCTTTCTATATTTTACATTTTTAACTATTGAGTTTTTTAAAATACATTTTTGGCATTATTTTTCCCTTTAACCTTTACGTGTAAGCCAGTTTTCAGGAGAGGTACACCAGATAATTCAATATGGACATTACAATGTTGCATTGTCGATCTGTTTTTCTGTTGACATTAAAAATCTCAGAGATGTGTTCAGGTACACACACAAAACACAACAGCACGCTAAATTCGTTCTTCTTATTGCAATAAACACGTAGTTGATAGTTTATTTTAAATCATTTTTCTTCTTGTAGCTAAATAATACGTATACACCCTAACAAGATTTGAAATGCTAATGATCTTAACATATACTTTAAAACAAGTATTAATTTTTAGGCGGCTCAAACAAAATACTTGAACACAAACTTTTTTATAAGAACCACGCACTAGCTTGAACACTTTTTTACGGTAATTTCCCGCGAGCGACCGATTTTAAATGGAAAAAGAGAATGCCCCAAGAAACAGAGATAATATTCGTTTTTACGGTAAACAAAAATGCTAATATTTCGTACACGCCAGGGCTTTTCAATCACCCATCAAAGATAAAACTGAAGAGAAATTTTAAAGAAAACATTCGAGAAGGACAGCCTTAAATTCGTGCGCCTTACTTTGCCAAAATGGCGTCGACAGATATCATGCCCGAAAATTTTTCTTGCCCGGAACGAATCTGTTTGAACAAAACGTGGCCATCATTTTCCATTTGCCATTCTCCAAGGGTCCTTCAGATTTTCAGGAGGTATTAAATATAAATGGCGACTTAGTGTCGCCCCTGAGTTAATATTCACCGCTAACTCGAGTTTCTTCTCGTTTCTAAAATTGCGATGGTGTCTATACATAACAAAGTATGTAGCATTTCTTACATTTCATCAGCTGAGTTTTAGTTAAGCAAACTACCACTTGATTCTTGAACATGCCAGTGTCGTTTTTACCTTCTAAAGAGTGGACCTCGGTGAAATATTGACCACGATACCATTCCTCGCTTTAAGAATCAGATGAGATTGGAGATCTTCATTTGACACAATGTTCTGTGGGGCTACGCTTAAATCAAACCTGTAAGAAGGCAACCAAGTTATCACTTTGCAGCAATTAGAGCCTTTTTGTATTGGTCTACCCACCCCCCACCACCCTCAGAAAGGCCTGCCTACTGGTGTATCAATACGGTGTTACAATAATCCTGTGCGAGTTCAACTCTTTTCTCGCGTAAACACTCTCTTCTCTTCCAATGAAATAGACCCCCTAGTCATGTGAGTGAATGCCCTCTAACAGTAGGCCGCTTAAGTGTTTGGAGTGAACTAAAACTAGCCTGCATCCGAGGCTGTAACATTGTTCCCAGAGTCTTCTCGTTCTCCAAAGACGAGCATTCCCGGGGACGAGGTCAGCGCTCATGTTGAGGAACACTAAAACAAATTGAATCAATGTATGGAAGACTTATAATCAAGTGGCTCAGCGAAAAAAACATTTAACGTGAGTTGCCTGCCAAAGAGGCTCTGCATATATTAACTTGAGATAGAGACTAACCCGGTAAAAATGAGACTTCATTCGTCTCGTTATCATCAAACTACAGTTGTTTTAGTTTTTCCACTTACATTCGAAGGATCATTGCAATAGCCGTTTTGATCTCAGCAAGAGCAAAAGCTTGGCCGATACAGTTTCTGAAAACATAAATGATAGTAACGTGTTGAATTACGAAGAGTGATGTAAAAACCGATCTCCTTTTCTCGCAAGTCATAAAAGCTGCTGATAATTGAAATAAGAAAATTTGAACATGATGTTGGATAATCTCGAACCCAGATCTCACGGCTGCTTGACCACAGACTCCCCGGCTCCTCTTGAGCGAGGGAGATCGGGGTTACAATATGATGTTGCTTATTTACTCAAAGTACGGGTGGGGAGTTTATGAACAAGGGCAAGAGCAATTAAAGAGGGTTATGGAGAGTAGACTGGTGTCAGTGAGTGATCGCCTGTCTAAGTGTCAGTTACCTTTTCAATGTGCTCATGGCAGGTGGGTGGGGCGTACAGAAAGGCTCTAATCGCCATGGGGGGTGGGGGAGGGGTAGCTCTGGTGTAAAAATGACAAGGATACTCGTTAGACAACTAGAATTAAACCGGTAAAGGAGACCAGTGTAGGCGTGAACCACGCTTCGTTTCACCCATAAACGAGATCTCGCTCAAACACAGTATGACGGCGTTTGTTATTTTCATTTAACAATTTCTTTACGAAAAACCTAAAGTGATATCTTATAGTGATATATATTGGCTTTGTGTGCTGAAAATCGAAACTGAGACCAAAATCCGCAATTTCTACCTCTAAGCGAGACGACCGGCATCCTTGTCATTTTTATTAGTGCCCATCGCCGTCTCGCGCGCCTCAATTCCCTCTTTTGGCTGGTTGAAGGTAGGCTTTCTCTCCGGAGGTATAGAATAGAGGTCATTATTTAATCGCCTCGTAATAGACATCACCAATTAGCACCACTTTGGCTTCCACCCAAAGACGCAAACATGAAACATTATTATCATTTCTCTAGCAGGTATAAGACCCTCGTTACAAAGGCTTGCAATGGGTTTAGCATGAACTTTTAATTCAATATTATCATACTTGTACTCACTATCTGGCTTTGCATTAATTAGTTTGTTTTCCTGCTTAGGCCATCCGTTATTCCTTTGGCGGATCACAGGTTCTTAGGGCAAAAAATGACATCTCAGGTGAGGAAGCAATGGAGTTGCATTTCTTTAAAACATCATCGGGTTTTTATTTATTTTTTTTTTCACTTTAAGTTTTTGTCCACGTTTTCACTAACCGACATACAGCTTGCCTTAACACTCCACTTGGCATCCCCCGACCTCGTCCCCAGGGCTTTTCCCTTAAAAAAAAATTGGAGGAGCTATTTTTGTAGGAAAAGCCCTGGAGACGAGGTTGGACATCCCCATCATTCGCCATTTTAGAAAAGAGAGGGAAACTGGGCCGAGTTAACTTTCGCAAAGAGTTCTGGGACTATTTCTAGAACTGGCCAATAGCTGACCGGCGCGTCCCCAGTAACGCTGCCAGAAACAATTGCGGGACGCATCTAGGCTCCAGTTCCCTTCTCGTTTCTAAAGTGGGCAATTGCCTGTTTCAAAGGGATATTTGGCCAAATTTTTCTTGTCATCTTAAAGACATATTTCTCTTATTAATTGACTTACAGCGGGAGGCTTCTGGACCAAAGATAGCAAGGCTGCGTTCCAAAGTTGCCCAAGGACACTGAAGATTTTCCACAACAAGACATCAGGTCTTTATTTTCTCACTTTTGTGACAAGTTTGCAATAGCATGTCAAGTGAATGAACTAATAAGATTCTCATTCTCATAGAGACTCTTGAGCCGTTTATGGTTTTGTTTTAATGTCAAAAGCTTATTTTCATTTGAAACAGTACCTGCTGGAACGGTGTATTTTAATGGGTTGGAAGATTATTAAAAATGTCTTTTGTATAATCTATTTTTGCGTGCCAGCTTTTGCAAATCTAACACGACAGGAGTTGGTCTAGCAACTTAGCCTAACTTAGGATTTGTTGACACAAAACTGGAAAACTCTTACGCCGGCACGAAAACATTACCGCTTAGGGCTTTCGTTCACACGTAAGAACGGTGATTTCGGCCCGATTTCTGAAACGGAGTGAAGCTTCGCCGACCCGATCTCGAAAGTGGAGTATTTCATATCGGGAAGGTTCTGTGCCACACTTCGTGATACGTAGGAGCAGGGACTGGAATCTACCGAGACGGAAGTGAATATTCAGGAGTGTGGACCGGGATTTAGTTTACCAAACCCTCTCGGCCAACCGTTCCGGCTCTGCCTGTTCGATGGGTGTGAACAAATTGTTCCATTTCTGTGTTGTTGCTGTTCATACTATACTTGTCTGAGCATAAGTTTACTTAGTCCAAAAATTTGTCTTTCTATTGCTCAATTCAGTTCTATTTTTGTCAGCCAAAGATCAGCTCATTCTTAAAGCCAGTGAGACGGGTTTACAAAAACCTATTCATCAGTTACTGAGTTGGTTAGAACGCCATTCGTATTTGTCGATCACTCCTTAGCTATCATCGGTAAGTAAGTCACTTCCTCAGGGGAAAGCACCTCTCAGATTTCAATAGCAGGGCACAAATGGTTAAGAATCCTTTTATTGCGTCATTTGTTTTTTCGTGTACAGTAAGGTATTAGAAAATTGAGCTCAGCCTACTGCACCAAGATATATCCCATGGCTTTGATGCTTCTCCCTCCATTGTCCGATGTATATCCTTTGATAGCGTTGTTTCCACATGTGTTGGAATCGTCAGTTTGCCCTCCATTTCCAAACCCAATTTTGGAATCACAGGTGTGGCAATCTCGTTGGTCATTTCCAAGGATGCCGATTCTTGTCTTAGCATAGGCGCGGGAACTGGCCGCATTGAACCCCTCCTTGTTGCACCCAGTCTGCAGGGAAGCCTGAGAACCAATCAGCTTCTTCCACGTGTTACGACCCAGTGACGTGGCGCGATACTTCCCGTCTGCGATCAAGGAATGCAGAGAGGCTGCCTTTTTGTTGATAACAATGAACTTGATCTGCTGGCCGATCTTCATACCCAGGCAGATCTTGGCGAATGGTGTGCTCCAGTAGGTTGGGAGTTTAGTCTCTTGACCGTCAAACCCGGTCTTCCCTCCTGGAAGGTTATAGGAATTCTTGTGACTCCAAAACCCAGAGCTGTAATGGAAGGTTTTCTGAAATACAAACAAGAGCATGTTAGCTTTACACTGTATACGTAACTTTCGTGTGCGAGAGCATCGTTTTACCTTTGCGCCATTAATCTTCATGGCCAGCGTCCATCCTCCATCTCCGCATCCAAAGTTGCCCATGTGACAGTAAACAGGAATCTTTTGCGAACCAAACTTCAGCGTGTACACGTGGCTTTTTGTGGAACTATGAAATTGAAGATAATGAACGTCAGATTTACTTCATCTAGGATTTTGTTATTCTCGCCACTCTTGTTCTTTATTGTCTGTGTCAAACTTTTGAAGAAAAACATTAAAAGTCTGGTTTTGAAATAGGAAAGGACAGTGACTCTTGGCGATGATTGGTTTCTGTCAGCACTTATTTGAACCTAGTTTAGTAGCCTTAATAGCTTCCACGAGTCCCCTGTAGCTCCGTGGTAGAGCATCTGGACTAGTAACCTGATGGTCATAGGTTCGACTTCTGTTGGAAGTATTCGGATATTTTCTTCCGAGCCGCCAGTGTCTTCGACTAGAAAAACATCGTTCTCTTGACAGTACTTGTATCTAAGAACTCACCTGTGTTTCTCATAATGTTCTTTGCACGAGGAAGCGGAAACAGCTGTAAGAAAGACAAAAATTCTGCTGTTAATTAATAACTACTTCATACGGACTTTCTGGCGAAGTAAAATAGAAAACGTCCGAACGGAAGACAGCTTTGGGGAAAAGCGAAGTTTATTACAATTCATCCTCGGGTGAAGTTTTCGTCTGGTTAGGAGCACTGCACGGGGCTTTTTAATTACAAACCTCACTGAGCTAAAAAGTTGTTCACAACTTCAACAATTTACCTGGTTTTTGTGCTATCCCTGGTTTGTTCAATCCAGCAATGAGACTTTCTAGTTTCGTTTGCAACATTTTAATGGCGTCGTTCGCGCTCGAATCCTGTAGAATGTTACACATCAGGTTGCATAACATCATCTTGTCGTACGGCTTGGGGCAAGATGAAGAAGATCCATCGCTTTTGACGAACATTACGAAAAAGATCGCGAGAAAGTAGGCTTGAAAAAGCAGACGCATTTTGAGAACTTGAGCTAAACGTAACCTTTTCAACAAGCAAATGAAGGTTCGGGAAATGACCAACTATTGTGACTAGTCCAGAGTTTTACATCTGTTTCCAGCGAAGTAAAAAGGATGTGTTTAAAATTCGGGAATATTTTCTTGCTTGCATTTGTCCAATCATCTTACTCCAAGTCTGTTTTTGACTTTACTCGCCCCAGTACCTCCCTCTCTCACAAGCGACTTGTTCACTCAAATTTTACTTGTTGTAACTTTTCATCGTTTGAAGAGATCGTGGTTAAAAAGAACGATATTCAGGAAAACCTAGGAAGGAAAAGACAAGGTCGGTCTCTTTCGACCCAAATGAAGTCAGCAAGTGCCAGAATGAAAACGAAACTGATATCTGTGACTTGGATGAGATACGTCACTTGAGTTCAGCTTCCGAAGTGATTATTATAATCTTCTCATCCAGCCTCTGTTTTTGGCGTCTCGCGTTTTCCATCAAATGGTGGGTTTTAGGGTTAGGGTTAGCTCGAACAGCTACGACCACGACGAACGAAACGAGAAAATAAAAAGGAAATAGCTTTAAAAAGCAAACCCAACGAAAATTCTGAACGTTTCACACTTTGTGGCAGATTCCTTTGTCATCATCGCATCACTCACGGTTGCCAAACTTGATCGGAATGGCAATGCGATAGTTGCTATAATTTCTAAGATTTTCGTTTCATCTCTGATTAACGTTCGTCGCGACTTCTATTTCGTCGGAAATAATCATAGAGGCTCACCATCGTATGGCCGTGTGGCGAGATACGCTCAAGAACAACCTTAGGTAAAAGAAAAAAAAAATACAACGACCGAATTAAACATTGCGTGAATGGCTCTAATCGATTGTCCGGCAGACGATTTACAATATAATCGATCAACTTAAAAACATATAGGGCAGAATAGACAAATGATGATAATTTTTAGATCACTAGCGACTCAATCCGTCGTTTTACCTTAGCTTGTAAACATATACCTTCTTGTAGAACTTTGTAATAGTTATCTTCCCTGCGCTAAATCGAATCATTCCGATATTTGGCATTCTGAGTTTACTTAAAAACCTGAAAAACTGATCCTGGCTAGAAAGGTGAAATTGAAAAACAAATCGATATTTAGGCGATTTTCATCACGATTTATATAAATGATTTGAAATTAAGAAAATCTCACATAGTATTGTTTAAATTTCATTGCCCATTAATTTGAATCACATTTTATCAGTAGTTAAATTCAATTTGAGGCAAAACAAACAACAGGGGCACCCAACGGCAATTTTCGGGAAAATATCTGTTCGGAAGACGATTTGAGATCTAGAATTTTCGGAAAATTTGTTGTAAAATTCCTTGCTTGCCTGCCTCTCCTAGGAGTTTCGAACATCTACAAAATGGCATAATTACCCATTTTTAACGGATTTTGACCCTAAAAAAGGCCACCTAGAATTTTCGGGAGCCTTTTCCTGGCTGAAATTTTCGAGAAGGTAAGTTTTTATCCCTATAATTTTCGGATCACTAGACTTTCAGCTAGGAAATCCGAACAGATGAAAAGTTTTTAGGGGATAAAAATATGCCTATATCTACCGTTTGAATACTAAAATACGTTCAACAATGCTATGTTAAGTGGTTTTGAGCTATATCCTCGTTGGGTGCCCCTGAAACAAGGATTGGATAGATCAAAAGCAATTTTTGCGTGTTTAATCGCCTCATGTCATATGTCGCACAAACTTCTCAGTGCAGTAGAACATGACGGGCACTACATGACCCCCTCTTAAAACACAATTGACCTCCTATTCTTGTCGCTAGTAGCTATGATCTAAGTATTTTCGTGTCAGGCAGAAATGGAAACACACATGATTTCTATTGGTTGAAGCTATGTGGAAACAGATCATTGGACTACATAATGTCAACTGACTGACTAAATAGTTTTTTTTTCCAAAAAATTATTCACGGAAGTAGCTTTCTATATTTTTCAATATTGCTTTTTTATAATATATTTTTTGGCATTATTTTTCCCTTTAACCCTTACGTGTAAGCCAGTTTTCAGGAGAGGTACACCAGAAAATTCAATATCGATATTACAATGTTGCATTGTCGATCCGTTGTTCTGTTGACATTAAAAATCTCAGAGATGTGTTCAGGTACACACATAAACCACAACCGCACGCTAAAATTCGTTCTCCTTATTGCGACAAACACCTAGTTGATAGTTTATTTAAAATCATTTTTGGCCTTTTAGCTAAATAATACGTATGAACCGTAACAAGATTTGAAATGCTAATGTTCTTAACATATAATACTTGAACACAAAATTTTTTATAAGAACTACGCACTAGCTTGAACAATTTTTACGATAATTTCCAGCGAGCGACCGATTTTAAATGGAAAAAGAGAATGCCGCAAGAAACAGAGATAATATTGGTTTTTACGGTAAAAAATGCCAATATTTCGTACATGCCAGGTCTTTTAAATCACCCATCAAAGATAAAATTGAAGCGAAAGTTTAAAGAAAACAATCGAGAAGTACAGTCTTGAAAACGTGCGCCCTACTTTGCCAAAATGGCAGCGACAGATATCATGCCCGAAAATTTTTCCTGCCCTGAACGAAGCTGTTTGAATAAAATGTGGCCATCATTTTCCATTTACCATTCTCCAAGGGCCCTTCAGATTTTCCAGAGATATTAATTATAACAAGCGACTTAGTGTCGCTCCTAAGTTAATATTCACTGCTAACTCGAGGTTCTTCTCGTTTCTAAAATTGTGATGGCGCCTATACATAACAAAGTATTTAGCACTTCTTACATTACATCAGCTGAGTTTTAGTTAAGCAAACTACCACTTGATTCTTGAACATTCTTGTGCGGATTTTACCTTCCAAAGAGTGGACCTCGGTGAATTATTGACCACGATGCCATTCCTCGCTGTAAGAATCAGATGAGATGGAGATCTTCATTTGATACAATATTCTGTGGGGCTACGCTTAAATCAAACCTGTAAGAAGGCAACCAAGCTATCACTTTGCAGCAATTATAAAGCCTTTTTATATTGGTCTACCCACCCCCACCACCCTCAGAAAGGCCTGCCTACTGGTGTATCAATACCGTGTTACAATAATCCTGTGCGAGTTTAACTCTTTTGTCGGGTAAACACTCTCTTCTCTTCCAATGAATAGACCCCCTAGTCACGTGAGTGAATTCCCTCTAACTGTAGGCCGCTTAAGTATTTGTAGTGAACTAGAACTAGCCTGCATCCGAGGCTAATGTAACATTGTCTCCAGAGTCTTCTCGTTTTTCAAAGACGAGCATTCCTTGGGACGAGGTCAACGCTCATGTTGAGGAACACAAAAACAAATTAAATCAATGTATGGAACACTTATAATCAAGTGGCTCAGCAAAAAAAAAAAAACGTTCAACGTGAGTTTCCTGCGAAGGAGGCTCTGCATATATTAACTTGAGATAGAGACTAACCCCGTAAAAATGAGACTTCATTCGCCTCGTTATCATCAAACTACAGTTGTTTTAGTTTTTTCACTTACATTCGAAGGATCATTGCAGTAGCCGTTTTGGTCTAAGCAAGAGCAAAACCTTGGCCGATACAGTTTCTGAAAACATAAATGATAGTAACGTGTTGAATTACGAAGAGTGATGTAAAAACCGATCTCCTTTTCTCGCACGTCATAAAAGCTGCTGATAATTGAAATAAGAAAATTTGAACATGATGTTGGATAATCTCGAACCCAGATCTCACGGCTGCTTGACCACAGACTCCCCGGCTCCTCTTGAGCGAGGGAGATCTGGGTTACAATATGATGTTGCTTATTTACTCAAAGTATGAGTGGGGAGTTTATGAACAAGGGCAAGAGCAAATAAAGAGGGTTATGGAGAGTAGACTGGTGTAAGTGAGTGATCACCTGTCTAAGTGTCAGTTACCTTTTCAATGTGGTCATGGCAGGTGGGTGGGGCTTACAGAAAGGCTCCAATCCCGATAGGGGGGTGGGGGAGATGTAGCTCTGGTATAAAAATGACAAGGATACTCGTCAGACAACTAGAATTACACCCCTAAAGGAGACCAGCGTGGGCGTGACCCACGCTTTGTTTCACCCATAAAGGAGATCTTACTCCAACACAGTATGACGGCGTTTGTTATTTTCCTTTAACAATTCCTTTACGAAAAACCCAAAGTGATATCTCATAGTGATATATATTGGCTTTCTGTCCTGAAAATCGTAACTGAGACCAAGATCCGCAATTTCTACCTGTAAGGGAGACGACCGGTATCCTTGTCATTTTTATTAGTGCCCATCGCCGTCTCGCGCGCCTAATTTCCCTCTTTTGGCCAATTGAAGGTTGGCTCTCTCTCTGGAGGTATAGAATAGAGGTCATTATTTAAGCGCCTCGTAGTAGACATCACCAATTAGCACCACTTAGGCTTCCACCCAAAGAGGCAAACATGAAACATTATTATCATTTCTCTAACAGGTATAAGGCCCTCGTTGTTTTTATGAATGATTGCAATAGGTTAAGAGCGAACTTTAAATTCAATATTATCATACTTGTACTCAATATCTGTCTTTTCATTAACCAGTTTGTTTTCCTGCTTAGGCCATCTGTTATTCCTTTGGCGGATCTCAGGTTCTTAGGGCAAAAAATGACATCTCAGGTGAGGAAGCGATGGAGTTGCATTTCTTTAAAACATCATCGGATTTTTATTTTTATTTTTTCACTGTAATTTTTTGCCTACGTTTTCAATAACCGACATACTGCCTGCCTTAACACTCCACCTGGCATCCCCCGACCTTGTCCCCAGGGCTTTTCCCTAAAAAAAAATGGGAGGAGCCATTTTTTTAGGGAAAGCCCTGGGGACGAGGTTGGGCATCTCCATCATTCGCCACTTTAGAAAAGAGAGGGAAACTGGGTCGAGTTTACTTTCGCAAAGAGTTCTGGGACTATTTCTAGAACTGGCCAATAGGTGATCGGTGCGTCCCCAGTAACGCTCCCAGAAACAATTGCGGGACGCATTTCGGCTCCAGTCCCCTTCTCGTTTCTAAAGTGGCCAATCACCTTTTTCAAAGGGATATTTGGCCAAATTTTTCTTTTCATCTTAGTGATATTTTTCTCTTATTAATTTATTTACAGCAGGAGGCATCTCGACCAAAGATAGCAAGGCTGCGTTCCAAAGTTGCCCAAGGACACTGAAGATTTTCCACAACAAGACAGCAGGTCTTTATCTTGTCACTTTTGCTACAAGTTTGCGATAGCATGTCAAGTGAATGAACTAATAAGATGCTCATTCTCATAGAGACTCTTGAGTCGTTTATGATTTGGTTTAATGTCAAAAGCTTATTTTCATTTGAAACAGTACCTGCTGGAACGGTGTATTTTAATGGGTTGGAAGATTATTAAAAATGTCTTTTGTATAATCTATTTTTGCGTTCCAGCTTTTGCAAATCCAACACGACAGGAGTTGGTCTAGCAACTTAGCCTAACTTAGGATTTGTTCGCACTCTACCGGAAAGCTCTTACGCCGGCACGAAAACATTACCGCTTAGGGCTTCCATTCACACATACGAACACTGATTTCAGCCCGATTTCTGAAACGGAGTGAAGCTTCGCCGAGCCGATCTCTAAAGTGGAGTGTTTCATATCGCATAGGTTCTGTGCCACACTTTGTGATGCGAAGAAGCAGGGACTGGAATCCACCTAGAGGGAAGTGAATATTCAGGAGTGAGGACTGAGATTTAGGTCACCAAACCCTCTCGGCCAACCGCTCCGGCTCGATTATCGATGTGTATGAACGACTTATTCCATTTCTGTGTCGTTGCTGGTTATGCTATACTTGTCTGAACATACAGCTTTACTTAGTCCACCGATTTGTCGGTCATTAGTTTTGACAGTCTGGCTTTCTATTGCTCAGTCTCAATTCAGTTCTAATTTTGTCAGCCAAAGATCAGCTAATTCTTGAAGCCAGGGAGACGGGTTTATGAAAACTTATTTATGAGTTACTGAGTTGGTTAGAACGCCATTCGTATTTGTCGATCAATCCTTAGCTATCATCGGTAAGTAAGTCACTTGCTCAGTGGAATGGACCTCTGATTTCAATAACAAGACACAAATAGTTAAATAACCTTTTATTGCGTCAGTTTTTTTCTTGTACGGTAAGATACGAGTAAACTGAGCTCACTTTACTGTACCAAGATATATCCCATGGCTTTTATGTTTCTCTCTCCATTGTCCGATGTTGCTCCCTTTATAGCGTTGTTTCCACATGTGTTGGAATCGTCGGTTTGTCCTCCCGTTCCAAACCCAATTTTGGAATCACAGCTTCTACATTCTCCTTCGTTATTTCCAAGGATACCGATTCTTGCCTTAGCAAAGGAGCTGCGACTAGAAGCCGCATTGAACCCCTCCTTGTTGCAATTGGTCTGCAGGGAAGCCTGAGAACCAATCAGCTTTTTCCACGTGTTACGACCCAGTGATGTGGCGCGATACTTCCCGTCTGCGATCAGTGAGTGCAGAGAAGCGGCCTTCTTGTTGATAACAATGAACTTGATCTGCTTGCCGATCTTCATACCCAGGCAGATCTTGGAGAAGGAGGTCTTCCAGTAGGTTGGCAGTTTAGTCTCTTGATCGTCAAACCCGGTCTTACCTCCTGGAAGGTTATAGGAATTCTTGTGACTCCAAAACCCAGAGCTGTAATGGAAAGTTTTCTGAAATACAAACAAGAACCCATCAGTTTTACACTATATACATAACTTCCGTATGCAGCACAATCGTTTTACCTTTGCGCCATTAATCTTCATGGCCAGTGTCCACCCTCCATCTCCGCATCCAAAGTTTCCCATGTGACAGTAAACAGGAATCTTTTGCGAACCAAACTTCAACGTGTACACTTGGCTTTTGGCCGAACTACGAAAATGAAAATAGTGACTGTCAGGTTTATTTTACCAAAGATCATTTTTGCATTTCTGGACTACTCTTGTTCTTTCTTGACTGTGCGTCAAAATATTGAAGATCAACGTTTCAAAGCTGGTTTCGAAAAAGAAAAGGATAGTGTCTCTTGGCGATGATTGCCTTTTTGTCAGTACTTATTTGAACCTAGTTTAGTGTCCCTAGCTTCCACGAGTCTCCTGTAGCTCAGTGGTAGAGCATACGGACTAGTGACAAGAAGTTCATTCGAAATCTGTTGGGAGTACTCGGATTTTTCCTTCCGTGCGGCCTGTGTCACTGACTGAAAAATCACCTTTCTCATGACATTACCTGTATCTCGGAACTCACCTGTGTTTCTCATACTGTTCCTTGCACGAGGAAGCGGGAACGGCTGTAAGAAAGTCAAAAATTCTGGTGTTAATTAATAACTACTTCGTACGGGCTTTCTGGCTAAATAAAATGCAAAACGCGCGACCATAAGATAGCTTTGTGGAAAGAGCGAAAGTTTATTATAATTCACTCGCGGGTAAAGTTTTCTTTTGGTTAAAAGCACTGCTTGTGGCTTAACAAACCTCATTGAGCTTTAAAAGTCGTTCACATCTGCAACAATTTACCTGGTTTTTGTGCTATCCCTGGTTTGTTCAACACAGCAATGAGACTTTCCAGTTTCGCATGTAACATTTTCATGGCGTCGTTCGAGCTTGAATCCTGTAGAAGGTTACACATCAGGTTGCATACCATCATCTTGTCGTACGGCTTGGGGCAGGATGGAGAAGCTCCGTCGCCTTTGAGGGTCATTACGAAAAAGATAGCAAGAAAGTAAGCTCGAAAAAGCAGACGCATTTTGAGAACTTGAGCTAAACGTTTCTTTTCAACAAGCAAATAAAGGTTCTGTGACTGACCAGGTCTTGTGACTAGCCCAGGGTTTTAGATCTGTGTTTCCAGCGAAGTAAAAACAGATGTGTTTGATATTTGGGAATATTTTCTTGTTTACGGCCTTGTCCAATCATCTTACTCCAGGTCTGTTTTGCCTTTACTCGCCCCAGTACCTCCCTGTCTCACAAGCGACTTGTTCGCTCAAATTTTACTTGTTGTAACTTTTTATCGTTTGAAGAGATCGTGGTTAAAAGGAACGATATTCAGGAAAAGCTAGGAAGGAAAAGACAAGGTCGGTCTCTTTCGACCCAAATGAAGTCAACAAGTGCCAGAATGAAAACGAAACTGATATCTGTGACTTGGATGCGATTCGTCACTTGAGTTCAGCTTCTGAAGTGATTATTATAATCTTCTCATCCAGCCTCTGTTTTTGGCGTCTCGCGTTTTCCATCAAATCGTGGGTTTTAGGGTTAGGGTTAGCTCGAACAACTACGACCACGACGAACGAAACGAGAAAATAAAAAGGAAATAACTTTAAAAAGCAAACCCAACAAAAATTCTGAACGTTTCACACTTTGTGGCAGATTCCTTTGTCATCATCGCATCACTCACGGTTGCCAAACTTGATCGGAATGGCAATGCGATAGTTGCTATAATTTCTAAGATTTTCGTTTCATCTCTGATTAACGTTCGTCGCGACTTCTATTTCGTCGGAAATAATCATAGAGGCTCACCATCGTATGGCCGTGTGGCGAGATACGCTCAAGAACAAACTTAGGTAAAAGAAAAAAATACAACGACCGAATTAAACATTGCGTGAATGGCTCTAATGGATTCTCCGGCAGACGATTTACAATAATCGTTCAACTTAAAAACATATAAGGCAGAAAAGACAAATAATGAAAATTTTTAGATCACTATCGACTCAATCCGTCATTTTACCTTAGCCTGTTAACATATACCTTCTTGTAAAACTTTGTAATAGTTATCTTCCCTGCGCTAAATCGAATCATTCCGATATTTGGCATTCTGATTTTACTTGAAAACCTGAAAAACTGATCCTGGCTAGAAAGGTGAAATTCAAAAACAAATCGATATTTAGGCGATTTTCATCACGATTTATATAAATGATTTGAAATTAAGAAAATCTCACATAGTATTGATTAACTTTCGTTGCCCATTAATTTGAATCACATTTTATCAATAGTTAAATTCAATTTGAGGCAAAACAAACAAGGATTGGATAGGCCAAAAGCAATTTTAGCGTGTTCAATCGCCTCATGTCATATGTCGTACAAACTTCTCAGTGCAAAAGAACGTGATAGGCACCACATGACCCCCTCTTAAAACACAATTGACCTCTTATTCTTGTCGCTAGTAGCTATGATCTAAGCATTTAAGAAATGGAAACACACATGATTTCTATTGGGTGAAGCTATGTGGAAACAGATCATTGGAGTACATAATGTCAACTGACTCACTCATTTTTTTTTCGCAAAAATTATTCACATAAGTGGCTATCTATATTTTACATTTTTAAATATTCAGTTTTTTAAAATATATTTTTGGCATTATTTTTCCCTTTAACCCTTACGTGTAAGCCAGTTTTCAGGAGAGGTACACCAGAGAATTCAATATGGACATGACAATGTTGCATTGTCGATCTGTTTTTCTGTTGACATTAAAAATCTCAGAGATGTGTTCAGGTACAGACACAAAACACAACAGCACGCTAAATTCGTTCTTCTTATTGCAACAAACACCTAGTTGATAGTTTATTTTAAATCATTTTTCTTCTTGTAGCTAAATAATACGTATACACCCTAACAAGATTTGAAATGCTAATGATCTTAACATATACTTTAAAACAAGTATTAATTTTTAGGCGGCTCAAACAAAATACTTGAACACAAACTTTTTTATAAGAACCACGCACTAGCTTGAACAATTTTTAACGATAACTTCCCGCGAGCGACCGATTTTAAATGGAAAAAGAGAATGCCCCGAGAAACAGAGATAATATTCGTTTTTACGGTAAACAAAAATGCTAATATTTCGTACACGCCAGGGCTTTTCAATCACCCATCAAAGATAAAACTGAAGAGAAATTTTCAAGAAAACATTCGAGAAGGACAGCCTCAAATTCGTGCGCCTTACTTCGCCAAAATGGCGTCGACAGATATCATGCCCGAAAATTTTTCTTGCCCGGAACGAATCTGTTTGAACAAAACGTGGCCATCACTTTCCATTTGCCATTCTCCAAGGGTCCTTCAGATTTTTAGGAGATATTAAATATAAATGGCGACTTAGTCTCGCCCCTGAGTTAATATTCACCGCTAACTCGAGTTTCTTCTCGTTTCTAAAATTGCGATGGTGTCTATACATAACAAAGTATTTAGCATTTCTAACATTTCATCAGCTGAGTTTTAGTTAAGCAAACTACCACTTGATTCTTGAACATGCCTGTGTCGTTTTTACCTTCTAAGGAGTGGACCTCGGTGAAATATTGACCACGATACCATTCCTCGCTTTAAGAATCAGATGAGATTGGAGATCTTCATTTGATACAATGTTCTGTGGGGCTACGCTTAAATCAAACCTGTAAGAAGGCAACCAAGTTATCACTTTGCCGCAATTAGAGCCTTTTTGTATTGGTCTACCCACCCCCACCACCCTCAGAAAGGCCTGCCTACTTGTGTATCAATACGGTGTTACAATAATCCTGTGCGAGTTCAACTCTTTTCTCGTGTAAACACTCTCTTCTCTTCCAATGAAATAGACCCCCTAGTCACGTGAGTGAATGCCCTCTAACAGTAGGCCGCTTAAGTGTTTGGAGTCAACTAGAACTAGCCTGCAGTGGAGGCTAATGTTAAATTGTCCCCAGAGTCTTCTCGTTTTCCAAAGACGAGCATTTCCTGGGACGAGGTCAACGCTCATGTTGAGGAACACAAAAACAAATTAAATCAATGTATGGAACACTTATAATCAACTGGCTCAGCAAAAAAAACGTTCAACGTGAGTTGCCTGCAAAAGAGGCTCTGCATATATTAACTTGAGATAGACTAACCCTGTAAAAATGAGACTTCACGCGCCTCGTTATCATCAAACTAAAGTTGTTTTAGTTTTTTCACTTACATTCGAAGGATCATTGCAATAGCCGTTTTGGTCTAAGCAAGAGCAAAACCTTGGCCCATACAGTTTCTGAAAACATAAATGATAGTACCGTGTTGAATTACGAAGAGTGATGTAAAAACCGATCTCCTTTTCTCGCACGTCATAAAAGCTGCTGATAATTGAAATAAGAAAATTTGAACATGATGTTTGATAATCTCGAACCCAGATCTCAAGGCTGCTTGACCACAGACTCCCCGGCTCCTCTTGAGCGAGGGAGATCTGGATTACAATATGATGTTGCTTATTTACTCAAAGTACGGGTGGGGAGTTTATGAACAAGGGCAAGAGCAATTAAAGAGGGTTATGGAGAGTGGACTGGTGTCAGTTACCTTTTCAATGTGCTCATGGCAGGTGGGTGGGGCTAACAGAAAGGCTCTAATCCCCATGGGGGGTTGGGGAGGGGTAGCTCTGGTATAAAAATGACAAGGATACTCGTTAGACAACTAGAATTAAACCCCTAAAGGAGACCAGTGTAGGCGTGAACCACGCTTTGTTTCACCCATAAACGAAATCTCGCTCCAACACAGTATGACGGCGTTTGTTATTTTCATTTAACAATTTCTTTACGAAAAACCTCAAGTGATATCTTATAGTGATATATATTAGCTTTGTGTGCTGAAAATCGAAACTGAGACCAAAATCCGCAATTTCTACCTCTAAGCGAGACGACCGGCATCCTTGTCATTTTTATAAGTGCCCATCGCCGTTTCGCGCGCCTCAATTCCCTCCTTTGGCTGGTTGAAGGTAGGCTTTCTCTCTGGAGGTATAGAATAGGGGTCCTTATTTAAGCGCCTCGTAATGGGCATCACCGATTAGCACCACTTAGGCTTCCAGCCAAAGACGCAAACATGAAACATTATTATCGTTTCTCTAGCAGATATAAGTGCTTCGTTACTTTTACGAATGGTTGCAACAGGTTTAGCGTGAACTTTTAATTCAATATTATCATACTCGTACTCACTATCTGGCTTTGCATTAATTAGTTTGTTTTCCTGCTTAGGCCATCCGTTATTCCTTTGGCGGATCACAGGTTCTAAGGGCAAAAAATGACATCTCAGGTGAGGAAGCGATGGAGTTGCATTTCTTTAAAACATCATCGGATTTTTATTTTTTTTTTGTCCACGTTTTCACTAACCGACATAGAGCCTGCCTTAACACTCCACTTGGCATCCCCCGACCTCGTCCCCAGGGCTTTCAACCTCGTCCCCAGGGCTTTTCCCTTAAAAAAAAATGGGAGGAGCCATTTTTGTAGGGAAAGCCCTGGAGACGAGGTTGGACATCCCCATCATTCGCCACTTAAGAAAAGAGAGGGAAACTGGGCCGAGTTAACTTTCGCAAAGAGTTCTGGGACTATTTCTAGAACTGGCCAATAGCTGACCGGCGCGTCCCCAGTAACGCTGCCAGAAACAATTGCGGGACGCATCTAGGCTCCAGTTCCCTTCTCGTTTCTAAAGTGGGCAATTGCCTGTTTCAAAGGGATATTTGGCCAAATTGTTCTTGTCATCTTAAGGAAATTTTTCTCTTATTAATTGACTTACAGCGGGAGGCTTCTGGACCAAAGATAGCAAGGCTGCGTTCCAAAGTTGCCCAAGGACACTGAAGATTTTCCACAACAAGACATCAGGTCTTTATTTTCTCACTTTTGTGACAAGTTTGCAATAGCATGTCAAGTGAATGAACTAATAAGATTCTCATTCTCATAGAGACTCTTGAGCCGTTTATGATTTTGTTTTAATGTCAAAAGCTTATTTTCATTTGAAACAGTACCTGCTGGAACGGTGTATTTTAATGGGTTGGACGATTATTAAAAATGTCTTTTGTATAATCTATTTTTGCGTGCCAGCTTTTGCAAATCTAACACGACAGGAGTTGGTCTAGCAACTTAGCCTAACTTAGGATTTGTTCACACAAAACCGGAAAACTCTTACGCCGGCACGAAAACATTACCGCTTAGGGCTTCCGTTCACACATAAGAACGGTGATTTCGGCGCGATTTCTGTAACGGAGCCAAGCTGCGCCGAGCCGATCTCTAAAGTGGAGTGTATCATATCGGATAGGTTCTGTGCCACACTTTGTGATACGTTGGAGCAGGGACTGGAATCTACCGAGACGGAAGTGAATATTCAGGAGTGAGGACTGGGATTTAGTTTACCAAACCCTCTCGGCCAACCGCTCCGGCTCGATTATCGATGTGTGTGAACGACTTATTCCATTTCTGTGTCGTTGCTGGTTATGCTATACTTGTCTTAACATATAGCTTTATATTACTTAGTCCACCGATTTGTCGGTCATTAGTTATGACGGTCTGGCTTTCTATTGCTCAGTCTCAATTCAGTTCTAATTTTGTCAGCCAAAGATCAGCTAATTCTTGAAGCCAGGGAGACGGGTTTATGAAAACTTATTTATGAGTTACTGAGTTGGTTAGAACGCCATTCGTATTTGTCGATCAATCCTTAGCTATCATCGGCAAGCATTTTACTTCGTCAGTGGGATGGACCTCTCTGAATTCAATAAAAGGGCACAAATACTTAAAAATACTTTTATTGCGACATTTTTGTCGTGTACAGTGAGGTAGGATTAAACTGAGCTCACTTTACTGTACCAAGATATATCCCATGGCTTTTATGTTTCTCCCTCCATTGTCCGATGCAAGTCCTTTAGCAGCATTGTTCCCACATGTGTTGGAGTCGTCAGGGTATCCTGCCGTTCCAAACCCTATTCTGGAATCACAGTTACCACAGACTTGTTCGTTATTTCCAAGGATACCGATTCTTGCCTTAGCAAAGGAGCTGTATTTAGTGGCCGCATTGAACCCCTCCTTGTTGCAATTGGCCTGCAGGGAAGCCTTAGAGCCAATCAGCTTCTTCCACGTGTTACGACCAAGTGACGTGGCGCGATACTTCCCGTCTGCGATCAATGAATGCAGAGAAGCGGCCTTCTTGTTGATAACAATGAACTTGATCTGCTGGCCGATCTTCATACCCAGGCAGATCTTGGAGAATGGTGTGCTCCAGTAGGTTGGCAGTTTAGTCTCTTGATCGTCAAACCCGGTCTTACCTCCTGGAAGGTTATAGGAATTCTTGTTACTCCAAAACCCAGAGCTGTAATGGAACGTTTTCTGAAATAGAAACTAAAGCATGTCAGCTGAACAGTATATCCAGGGTCAGGAAAGAGCGGTCCTTATCCCACATTTCCGCTTCTTTTTCACGAGAATCCCGCATCCCGCGTTTCTGTGTTGGCTATCCCGAAAATCGTTTTCTTCCCCAATCCTACATACGTGCCCAAAAAAGGCAAACAGTCCAGCTTCTCGGGTAGCAGTCAAATCCCATATGCCGTTAACGTTTCCCGAATCCCGCCCTGTATTTTGGCCAAATCCCCGATCCTGATTATACCCTTCCAGACTCTGTAAATACATAACTTCCGTACACCAGGAGAATTGTTTTACCTTTGCGCCATTAATCTTCATCGCCAGCGTCCACCCTCCATCTCCGCATCCAAAGTTGCCCATGTGACAGTAAACAGAGATTTTCTGCGAACCAAACTTCAGCGTGTACACTTGGCTTTTGGTCGAACTACGGATTTATAAAAGAGAAAATTTGTCTTAATTTAAGTTTCTCTCGTTTTTCTCGACAGTCATTGTCTCTCTTTCTAGGAAATTGCAATAGTTTTAAGTCAGAAAGGATGGTTTTTTTAGACGGCCATCAACCACCTCCTCCCAGTTGGCTTATTAGCTCAATTGGTAGAGCGCTGCACCGGTATCGCAATGGTCAAGGGTTCGAATCCCGTACAAGCCTGAATTTTTTCAGGCTTTCTTTTCGCAACCTCAAAAGTTGCATCTATAACTGCGATGATCTTCTTTCCATCAATTCTTCACACCGCAGTTCTCATATATGATTTTCATATATACATAACTCAATCACCTGGCATGTTTGACAAAACTGTATTAAAGACCTCACCTGCGTCTTTCATACTGTTCTTTGCACGAGGTAGCCGGAACGGCTGCAAGCAAGTCAAAAATCATGGTTTGATAACTCTTCAACAGACCCTCAGGCTCTCGCCAGACGAAATATGAAAAAAGGCTGTTGGGCCATCCCCCTAATTTTTGCGTTAAACCTGGAATGTGTTTCCTGATTTTGGTCGGTCAGTCGGAGGAAAAAAAACTTTTAAAAAAATCACAAGAAGTCTGGGAACAGGATGCCCCGTAGCAGAAGGCGTGCGCGTTTTCTCTACGCTGTTACAATGCTCATTTTTCAGATTGAATTAATTAATTAATATGAAAACAAAGGTTTAACTGCGTCGTTTCTTTCCTTCTTTTTTTCTGTTTGAAAATGCCAAAACTTTTTTAGTCGGGTGGTCGGACGACGCTAAACGGAGAAAAAAAGGGAATGGCCTTACGAGCGACAGCTGTGTCGAAAGAGCAAAACCGTTGTTTACATACTCGCAGACGCAAGGAGCGGGCGGACTTTTCTTCTGGTTCATGGCAGCACTGTATGTTGTTTATAATAGTACACACTTGAAGATTACTGAGTACTAAAACATTTCCGAACGGTTTACCTGGTTTGTTCAACACTGTAACGAGACTTTCCAGTTTCGCTTGTAACATTTTAATAGCGTCGCTCGCGCTCGAATCTTGTAGGAGGTTACACATCAGGTTGCACACCATCATCTTGTCATACGGTTTGGGGCAGGATGTGGAAGATCCATCGCCTTTGACGGTCAATACGTAAAAAACTACAAGAAAGTAGACTTGGAAAGGCAAACGCATTTTTAAAAACGTAAGGTAAAATGCCGCCTAGTCGATATGCAAGAGTTATGCGAATCACCACCTCTCGTGAATAGGTTTTGTCTTTGCCCTTATTTACGAGCTAGGTAATCAAGAAGGTTGTGTTTACAATTCGGGAATATTTTCTTGCTTACAGCTTTGTCCAATCAACCTACTCCAGGTTTGTTTTGATCTTTTCTCTCCCTAGTACCTCCCTGCTGCATTAGTAAATTTATTTATTCAAATTTCACTTTTTTATTAGAAAATAGCTTTCTTGTTTACATAGATTGCAGGTCCAAGCAAGAAATTCGCGTTAGGAAAGATAAAAGCTATTGCTGTCGGCCTAAATGAAGTCCCAGCATTGTAACGGCTGTAATCGCTACTATAACGGTATAGAACAAAGGGACTATGAAGGATTTTATCTGATCATACAAGAGAAACTAAAAATCGAGGTCTCTAATCACTTCAACATCGCTCGTTCAGAAGATTTTCTTTTCACCTCAACGATCTTCAGGTCCAATTCTGAGGCCAAAATGTCGTTGCCTGTTTTGCAACTCAACACGGAGTCCCGAGACAGTAGAAACGAACATTAAATATGACAATACAAAACTGGCCAGTATTCCTATTTACCAGTATATATAAATAAAACCTGACGCCGTCTAGAACCTGTTGTTGACATGCAAAGATATATTGTTTACTTTTGACTCTATTGTAGTCGAGAGTGAAATTTTAAGCTTACTGAAATGGGCTTTGTCTGATTTGAATATAATTCGTTTCGGTGTTTTGGCGATTAAAATTGCTATTAATAGATAGTAAAACTGAATTTGAGTAAAAAGTAAATAAAAATAAACGGGAACATGATAGAGCAAAAGCAATTTGTTTATAGTGAGTGTGTTCAATATGATATCTAGCTATTATCTCGCAGACGTGAAATTAGTATAGGTAATAGCATGATTTGTAGTGATATTTGGCATAAATACCAGGAGTGATATTTCGAAATAGTTATACGTAATCACGAGTGTTATTTATGCCAAATATCACGTACAAATCATGCTATTATTTGTTTATACTAATACCCACAAGAGGTTTGTAATTTTAAATTTAATTTTGAAATTAAGCTGAAATACCACTGCTCTAGGCCAATCAAATTGCGGAAATTTCTCATGTAGTAGTATAAGTATAGGTAATAGCATGATTTGTAGTGATATTTGGCATAAATACCAGGGGGTGATATTTCAAAATTGTTTATACTTAATTTCACCAGCCGTTAGGCAAGTAAAATTTGAGACAATTTTGAAATATCATGAGTGGTATTTATGCTAAATATCATGCTATTATTTGTTTATACTACTCCTCACAAGAGGTTTGTAATTTTAAAATAATTTTGAAATTAAGCTGAAATACCACTGCTTTAAGCCAATCAAATTGCAGAAATTTCTAATGTATAGTAGTATAAAGGTAGAAATTTATTTCTAATGCTAAACAGCAACATCACCCTCATTAACAAAACCCCCTCCACAAAACACAAGATTGATCTTTAGTGTGTCATTTTATTTCAGTCTTTTAAAGAACAGATTTAAGGAGAATTGTGGAAGTTAATAAACGCTTCTTTATACAACCAGTATAAGAAACCAAATTAACCCTTAACGTCAACTAACCAATATCACTGTAACTAATATTTCACCACTACATTTTGTAAACCATACATTTGCTTCAGATTCTTCTTATATGGTACTGAAGAGTTATTATTTATTATTTGTGTACTCATATTTGAAACAGAGATAACTGTTAAAATAGAACTATATTTTCGTTTTTATCGTGCAGTTTGCTTCCGACTCCTCCGTTACTCGATTAGCTATGTTCGGGTTGGTTAGCAACACAACCTCGATTTACTTTAATTAAGTGTATAAAAAATTGTGTGGAAAACGTTTCCGATATATACCCATCACTTTTACTTGTGTTTACTGATCTAAACTATATTCGTTCGCATGTTTAAGGAAATATGCTAAATGAAATAACCTACATCTTTTTCTTTCTTACTTGCAACATCGTATTCGGATTTTGGCAAAGCTATGTTTCTAAAACAACTATCAACACAGATCACTAACTCACTTAATGCGTCAACAGACTGAGTGCCATTTAACTTGCTTCTTTTACGATGTTGCACAATTTGTACAGCATCTTATGAGCGAGGACAAAAACTTAAGAACCGAATCAGCTTAAAGGTACAATTTCGTTTAGTCAAGGGATGCGGGTTAACGAAGCGCTCCTTAATTACGTTTTATAACAGCAATGTTTTAGATGTTCGCTGTGGCTATATTATTTTAACGTTTATTGTTTTCAGCGAGTGGTTAGTGTTTGTAAGGAGCTTTGATTTTACGCTCGTCTAAATCTATATCTTACCTCTTGTTATGGTAATGAGTTTGAAAGAAAGGAAAATAAAATTTAAACCAAGGATAAAATTGAACCACAATGCATGCATGTCTGAACGCAGCCACGCCATCGTAGACATTACATAACAGAAACCATGTTTTTAAGGCCCTGTTTTAGCGTTGTTTCATCAAAATATCAAGCGAGTATCTAGCACTCACCCGAACATAAATTCTAACTTAGATGTTCTCAACGAGTGCAAAAAAAGCATTCTATCGCAGTTTGAAGAACATGCGTGGCGATAGCGACCCTCTTGGCAGAGTGCATGTCAAGAAAATAAATGTTCCCTTTATTCTCGAATTTTCGCTGTTACGTTGAAGTTGGTAAGCCAAATCGCTATCAGTTCCACTGGAAAACACATCTGCCCTCGAAACTCCTCAACAAAACCATCGTAATTCTTCGAGCGCTGGAGGCATATTATAAAGCATATTTGATTCGAAGACAGGTTTATACATGACAACAGGTAAGGTTAAAAAGCCGAACTGAAAAGCATGCACACAATTCGAAGAATCAGGGAATCGTTGAAGTTTTAGAAATTTTCGAGTAGGAATACTAGAATAATGCCTGGTTTTGGGGGTGGAATAATGGAATATCGAAAATTTTCGAGAAAAAGTTATGGGATAACAAAAACCTCATTATTTCCGCTCGCGAGACAGGCAAGAACAAATGCGTTGCGGAAGTGAAGGAAGCGAAGCTTAAAAGCGACGGCTTCATGACAGCATAAACTCAATGTTCTCTTACCTCGGTCGATCTTCCGCTTAATCTCTTTTTGAAGCGGGTGATCCAAATCACTTTCAATTCAGCTAAAAACACCTTCTATCGTCGAAGTGTGTAGCCGAAAGCATTTCTTGAGCGGTAGAGCTGCCATGAACTCGATCCATCATGTTAATACCACTAAAGCGCAAAGCTTATTTCTAATTTTCTACAAATACTAGACAGCAGCCGATCCTTTCAAAATCGGGCTACGCCTAACAGCTAGAGTTGTGGGGGAATCTACAATTTAATGCTCAAGAGAAATTGTGTAATTTTGGCCTTCCTTAAGACGATTTTTCGCTTTTGGGTTTCTTCTGTAATGACTAAATCCGTCGAAACTACGGCATTTCATCCTCCATCTCCTCGTACACTTCTTCAGCCTTGTCAAGAAGATCCTGCAGCTTATCTTGTAGGCAGTTTACCTCGAGTAACTTGTTTCGTAGACCTTCCAAGGCATCTTCAGAAAGCCGATATCTTTGATACTCTTTATATGCAAGCGCAACGTGGAAAACTGCATAACCAACTTGGAAAGCTTTTATCAGTGGATGCAGGTCTGACCAATCTTTCGAGAGTTGCTGTGCCTGGGTTGCGGAGCTGTGGAGGTTGGCCATGCCCTCCTGCCATGACTGATTCCTTTGAAGACCAAGGCACTGTATCTCGCCCTTCATTTCAACTTTCAGACGGCTTATCTTACTCATGGTCGACCGATAAAGGTTGTTAATCCTTCGTAGTTTTCGGAAAACACTTCTGATGTTCTGACTTCTTTGCCACTGAACATTGCAGAACTCAGTAACTTTCCCTGCAATCTTCTCCACTTCTTGGTTGATTTTGGTGAATTCGTTGGGATCTTCTTTAACATTAATTGCTGCGGAAACCTTATTCCACGCCAAGTACATCTCTGCACATTGAAAAACCATCAAAGTTGCCATCCCTGTCAGTGTTTTTGGGATCATCTTTTCACGTTCCTGTTGATGAAAACTTTTCTCTGAAGCCGTGATCGGTTCCTTGGTCATTTTGTCGTGTTTGATTTCCTCAGAAAGCTCTGACATCTTTTTGTGGCTACTCTCGACGTAAACACGAGCTCTGGGCAGCATCGCTTCAGTGCTGTCTGCCCACGCTATGTCGCCCAGATTTCTCTTAAAGTTCCACATGTACTTGTCGAGAGTTATCAGCTTGTCAAAATCTTCTAGGGGCTGGTAAAAGAAAAATCTTGGTTCACTCTTCATTCGGCTTTCAATTTCTTTCATCATCTTGCCTATATTTCCTTGCATGCGTTCTTCTGGCAGTTCATCCGTCATTTGACGAAACAGCGCCGTTAAATCAGCCGATGTGTCGATGGAACTCATCTTAAGTAAATATCACTATCTTGCAACTGAACTTTGTTTGACTGTTGGGATGTATAAGCTGTACTTAAAATGTCTCTACCGACGAGGAAGTAGTTTCGTTCTGCGCAAAGCGAATGTATTCTAGAAAATTCCACGGCCCGCCCAATTCTTTTGACTGATTGACAGTAGCCAATAAAGACTACTTTTCATTTGGAGATATACGAAACCGAAGTATAATATAAACACCTGCATTTTGAGCGGATTAAAAAAATTCAAAAATAATGCATCAGTCAATTCCACCTGCGCCCAACTGAAATAAAAAATTAACTACAACAATACATATACAACAATTTACAAGAAATTTTGAAATGACATTAAGACCGAATCTACCAGGAAATTGAGTAATTTTAACAAACCTTGTACCAGAATTATTTAAAGAATATTGCATTTTTCAAGGGCTAGAGTTGTAATTTGGTATCTGTGATAACACCAAAGAAAATTCCTGACTGAGAAAATGAATGTCAAATTTTACAAGAATTGTGAAAACACAAGTAAAATTCATAAAATTTCATGTGCAAGATGTCATTATGTGACGTTTGACATTTATTTTGTGGGCCTTCCATAAGAAATTTTCTTTGGTGTTTTTACACACAACTAAATACATCTATGGCCCTTGAACAATGTAAAAAAGAATGCAATATGCCGGGGCTTTAAATTATTCTGGGACAAGGTTTTTGTACAAATAGAATTAAAATTACTCAATTTCGTGATAGATTCTGTCTTAAGAATTCGAAATTCTTAACAGTAATGAATACAAAAGGCAACAGCTAATAAAGTATCAGCTTTTCACTGCTAGTGATGTTGACACTAAAAGCTGGCTTAGGGTCTTTTTTAAACAACGTTTCTTTCATCTTACAATAATAATCTGTTCTGCCAGATGCTATAAACTCAAAATGATCCCACTTGATGTTATGTCAGGTGGCAGTGACATGGTCAGCAAGTATGCTTAAACTGATTGTTATAAATATTATTATTATTCCTTCAAAATACTTCCCCGATTCTGATTGGCTAAAAGCACACGTTTAATTCACCATAACTAGTTACTGATGACCAAATTTGAAAGAAATTTGACTTTAACGAGGAAATGACGTCAAAAATGCAGCGTTTTTCGCAGGTTAAGGCACCGTTAACCGAGAAGACCTGGGGACGAGGTTGAGTTGTTTTGGTTGTGAACTTGAAAAAATGGCGGACATTTCACTTGTTTCAAGAGTAAGAACCTTGGCGAAAAACTAGCTAAAACATGGCAAGAACAGCAAGAAGACAACTCGAAGGGCGACATCTGCTATTTGGAGAATATTTGCGGAGCTGGACGTAGACTATCGAAGATGAACTGAACATCGATGGATCGATGGAGGAAAGCATGTTTTAGCTATGTTTTTAAACTAGGAATTATTTTGAATGAATAATAAAACAGTTATTGAATTCGGCTTTCGTATCATATGAAGAATTATGGAGATCTCGGAGGGTGTTATCCTCCTCGGCCTACGGCCTCGACGGATAACACCCTCCTCGATCTCCATAATTCTTCATAAGATACTCAGCCTCATTCATTATTTAAAAAAAACTGTTAACTAAGCTTTCACTCAACTAAACAACGACTGCCATTGGTTGCTTAGGGTGCGTTCCGGGATGATCTGGATCAGGATCAGTGATCCAAGTCCGAGATCACTCAGATCATGGTAGATCATTGGGATGTGTTCCTTTCGGCGAATGCAAAAACGGATTTTTGATCCGAGAATTGCCGGATTTCGCGGTCGAAAGGAATTGGATTTGTAACCTTGGTAACCTTTCGGAAACGCGTGTAATATGCATGACAGCCTCTAAAGAAATGACGTGTTTTCTACTGTTTGACAAATTATGCGATTATATCGTCCAGACTTTTGTGGTCGGCAGTGCCAATAACAGCGATGGAACATAAACAGATCAAGAAAGAAGCGCGTTAAAGTTGAAAATTATCTAAAGGCTGTCGGCTCAGTTTGATCCAGTTTCGACGTTTACAAGTGAGTTTGTAGAAAGATAGCAGTTCATTTGTCCCACTTACTTTTATGTGTTTTTAAGCAATCTTTAGCGACAAATTGTTAGCACATGGATATTTTACTGTACCAGGAACAATCTTCCATTGTTTTCAGATGTTTTGCGGCAAATGGCAGCAACTAGTAAAATTCTACTGGGATACTTCAACTGGAAATACAGCTGGATCATCTGACTAATTTCGGATCCACTATGAATGGAACAGCGTAGATCACTAATCCGTTAATCTGGATTCGGATTCTTCGGATTTCAAATCCAATGAATCCTTTTTCAAAAAGGATTCATCAGATCAAAATTCCGGATTTAGATTTGCCGAGAGGAACGCGAAATCCGTTTTAAGATCTAAATTCCGTTTTTGGATTCACCAAAAGGAACACACCCCAAATGAAGTGATGAATCCACTCTGGACAAGGATTCATCGGTTTATTTGATCTACCATGATTCGAGTGATCTCGGATCACTGATCCTGATCCGGATCATTTCAAAGGAACGCACCCGTCATGGCCTTGAATATAATCAAACGTATCCTGATCGTAATACATTGGAGCAATTGTACCCCGTTCGAAATATATTACAACAAGTGATCAAGGCATGGTTGGAAAGTGGCGTGACAGAAGGCGGGAAAAACACTGCCAGTTTTCACTCTCGAGAATGAACACATGAGAAACAGCAGCTAATGGAGGATCTGACATTTTTAAAGTGTATAATATTTCTTGCCTAGTCCCTTTACGGCATCTTCCCTCGTGGCCCAAAATTCATCGGCCGCGGGCAATGATGATGCCCAGGGACTAGCCACATATTTTCGGTAAATATTCAAGATGGCAGCCTTTTGAATTCAGCAGCATTATATTCCATGAAAACTTCGTTCTCAGTGTCCTCTCGGTCCCTTGAGAGAGACAGGTATAGACGGGACCATGGGAACGAAGTTGATCAAATAATACTCATGTGATTATGTAGACTCGGGTTATCGCTGGCTATTTTATGAACGTTAAACTTTTTTACCGTGGTTGGGAGGAACGGATTAGCTTGTGCGTTTGGTGTATTGCGTTGCGTTGGGTAGATTACAACAATTTGGACCTCGAAATGAAATAACTCCGTGAGGGGGTTGTATTTTAAAAGGAAATTCTAATTTTTCCTTATTACTGTTATGGGTGTTGAGTCGAGTTGAATGCAAATCACTCCTTTGGTATTAACGAAAGGCAGTTTCACGAATGAGTGAGTGGGTATATGTTTCTCCTTTTTAACAGTTAAGGTTATCATGTTTCATCGTTTGGTCACTGACGATCAACAGAGAACGTTTCTGAGTAAGTGTTTGTCCTTAAGTTCCTAATTCCCCCAGTTTAAGTCAGTGAGTTACTCGTTTTTCTCGCTCAGTGCTGTCAGTGATCACTGACAGGAAGTCAATGTATTTGTCAGAGTCTACATAATACCATCATTACAAACAGGTTTAAATTACTCTTTAATTTCTCATTTGCTTTTGAGAAAAACAATGCACAAGTCAGTTCATATTAACTTTACTGAACCAAGATGTACCCCATGGCTTTGATGTTTTTGTCTCCATTATCACCTCCGCTGTTGGCTTGGTTTCCACACGTGGTGTAGCTGTCAGACCTGGTTGCAGTGCCATATCCAATCCATGAGTCACATGATTTGCACTCTTTCTCGTTGTTTCCAAGGACACCAATCCTGGCTCCTGGGGTATTGTACCCACGACCAATATTGAACCCTTCCTTGTTACAGTTAGGTTGTAGAGAGGCCTGAGAACCAATCAGCGTCTTCCACGTGTTACGACCCAATGACGTGGCGCGATACTTCCCGTCTGCGATCAGTGAATGCAGAGAAGCTGCCTTCTTGTTGATAACAATAAACTTGATCTGCTTGCCGATTTTCATACCCAGGCAGATCTTGGAGAAGGATGTGTTCCAGTAGGTTGGCAGTTTAGTCTCTTGATCGTCAAACCCGGTCTTACCTCCTGGAAGGTTATAGGGATTCTTGTTACTCCAAAACCCAGAGTTGTAATGGAAAGTTTTCTGAAATACAAACAAGAACCCATCAGCTTTACACTATATACATAACTTCCGTATGCCAGGGCAATCGTTTACCTTTGCGCCATTAATCTTCATGGCCAGCGTCCACCCTCCATCTCCGCATCCAAAGTTTCCCATGTGACAGTAAACAGGAATCTTTTGCGAACCAAACTTCAGCGTGTACACTTGGCTTTTGGCCGAACTACGAAAATGAAAATAGTGACTGTCAGGTTTATTTCACCAAAGATCATTTTTGCATTTCTGGACTACTCTTGTTCTTTCTTGACTGTGCGTCAAAATATTGAAGATCAACGTTTCAAAGCTGTTTTCGAAAAAGAAAAGGATAGTGTCTCTTCGCGGTGATTGCCTTTTTGTCAGTACTTATTTGAACCTAGCTTGTTTAGTAGCCTTAGCTCCCACGATTCGCCCGTAGCTCGGTGGTAGAGCATCTGGACTAGTAACCTGAAGGTCATAGGTTCGACTCCTACTGGAAGTACGCGGATATTTTCTCCAGTGCCGCCAGTGTCTTTCAGTTAAAAATCACCTTTCTCATGACATAACTTGTATCTAGGAACTCACTTGTGTTTCTCATACTGTTCCTGGCACGGGGAAGCGGGAACGGCTGTATGAAATTCAAAAATTCTGGTGTTAATTAATAACGACTTCATACGGACTTTCTGGCTAAATAAAATACAAAAGGCGCGACCTTTTTAAGACAGCTTTGTGGAAAAAGCGAAAGTTTATTATAATTCACTCGTGAGTGAAGTTTTCCTCTGGTTAGAAGCACTGCTTGTGGCTTTACAAACCTCACTGAGCTAAAAAGTCGTTCACAGCTGCAACAATTTACCTGGTTTTTGTGCTATCCCTGGTTTGTTCAACTCAGCAATGAGACTTTCTAGTTTCGTTTGTAACATTTTAATGGCGTCGTTCGCGCTTGAATCCTGTAGAATGTTACACATCAGGTTGCATACCATCCTCTTGTCGTACGGCTTGGGGCAGGATGGAGAAGCTCCGTCGCCTTTGACGGTCATTACGAAAAAGATAGCGAGAAAGTAAGCTTGAAAAAGCAGACGCATTTTGAGAACTTGAGCTAAACGTTTCTTTTCAACAAGCAAATAAAGGTTCTGTGACTGACCAGGTCTTGTGACTAGCCCAGGGTTTTACATCTGTATTTCCAGCGAAATAAAAACTGATGTGTTTGATATTTGGGAATATTTTCTTGTTTACAGCCTTGTCCAATCATCTTACTCCAGGTCTGTTTTGCCTTTACTCGCCCCAGTACCTCCCTGTCTCATAAGCGACTTGTTCACTCAAATTTTACTTGTTGTAACTTTTTATCGTTTGAAGAGATCGTGATTAAAAAGAACGATATTCAGGAAATCTAGGAAGGAAAATACAAGGTCGGTCTCTTTCGACCCGAATGAAGTCAACAAGTGCCAGAATGAAAACTAAACTGAGATCTGTAACTTGGATGAGATTCGTCACTTGAGTTCAGCTTCTGAAGTGTTTATTATAATCTCCTCATCCAGCCTCTGTTTTTGGCGTCTCGCGTTTTCCATCAAATCGTGGGTTTTAGGGTTAGGGTTAGCTCGAACAACTACGACCACGACGAAGGAAACGAGAAAATAAAAAGGAAATAGCTTTAAAAAGCAAACCCAACAAAAATTCTGAACGTTTCACACTTTGTGGCAGATTCCTTTGTCATCATCGCATCACTCACGGTTGCCAAACTTGATTGGAGTGGCAATGCTATAGTCGCTATAATTTCTAAGATTTTCGTTTCATCTCTGATTAACGATCGTCGCGACTTCGATTTCGTCGGAAATAATCATAGAGGCTCACCATCGTATGGCCGTGTGGCGAGATACGCTCAAGAACAAACTTAGGTAAAAGAAAAAAATACAACGACCGAATTAAACATTGCGTGAATGGCTCTAATGGATTCTCCGGCAGACGATTTACAATCGTTCAACTTAAAAACATATAAGGCAGAAAAGACAAATAATGATAATTTTTAGATCACTATCGACTCAATCCGTCATTTTACCTTAGCCTGTTAACATATACCTTCTTGTAAAACTTTGTAATAGTTATCTTCCCTGCGCTAAATCGAATCATTCCGATATTTGGCATTCTGATTTTACTTGAAAACCTGAAAAACTGATCCTGGCTAGAAAGGTGAAATTCAAAAACAAATCGATATTTAGGCGATTTTCATCACGATTTATATAAATGGTTTGAAATTACGAAAATCTCACATAGTATTGATTAACTTTCATTGCCCATTAATTTGAATCACATTTTATCAATAGTTAAATTCAATTTGAGGCATAACAAACAAGGATTGGATAGACGAAAAGCAATTTTAGCGTGTTTAATCGCCTCATGTCATATGTCGTACAAACTTCTCAGTGCAAAAGAACGTGATAGGCACCACATGACCCCCTCTTAAAACACAATTGACCTCTTATTCTTGTCGCTAGTAGCTATGATCTAAGCATTTTCGCGTCAGGAAGAAATGGAAACACACATGATTCCTATTGGGTGAAGCTATGTGGAAACAGATCATTGGACTATATAATGTCAACTGACTGAGTAATTATAATTATTTTTTAAAATTATTCACAGAAGTAGCTTCCTATATTTTACATTTTTCAACATTGCTTTGTTTAAATATATTTTTTGGCATTTTTTCTCTTTAACCTTTACATGTAAGCCCGTTTTCAGGAGAGGTACACCAGAAAATTCAATATCGACATTACAATGTTGCATTGTCGATCCGTTGTTCTGTTGACATTAAAAATCTCAGAGATGTGTTCAGGTACACACACAAAACACAACAGCACGCTAAAATTCGTTCTCCTTATTGCGACAAACACCTAGTTGATAGTTTATTTAAAATCATTTTTCGTCTTTTAGCTAAATAGGACGTATGAACCCTAACAAAAGAATATTAATTTCTGAGGGGCTCAAAAAAATACTTGAACTCAAAATGTTTTATAAGAACCACGCACTAGCTTGAACAATTTTTTACGATAATTTCCCAAAAGCGACCGATTTTAAATGGAAAAAGAGAATGCCCCAAGAATCAGAGATAATATTCGTTTTTACGGTAAAAAATACTAATATTTTGTACATGCCAGGGCTTTTCAATCACCCATCAAAGATAAAATTGAAGCGAAAGTATAAAGAAAAAAATTCGAGAAATACAGTCTTGAAAACGTGCGCCTTACTTTGCCAAAATGGCATCCACAGATATCATGCCCGAAACGTTTTTCCTGCCCTGAACGAAGCTGTTTGTATAAAATGTGGCCATCATTTTCCATTTGCTATTCTCCAAGGGCCCTTCAGATTTCCCAGAGATATTAATTATAAATAGCGACTTAGTGTCGCTCCTGCGTTACTATTCACTGCTAACTCGAGGTTCTTCTCGTTTCTAAAATTGCGATGGTGCCTATACATAACAAAGTATTTAGCACTTCTTACATTTAATCAGCTGAGTTTGAACATGCCTGTGTCGTTTTTACCTTCTAAGGAGTGGATCTCGGTGAAATATTGACCACGATGCCATTCCTCGCTTTAAGAATCAGGTGAGATTGGAGATCTTCATTTGATACAATGTTCTGTGGGGCTACGCTTAAATCAAACATGTAAGAAGGCAACCAAGTTATCACTTTGCAGCAATTATAAAGCCTTTTTATATTGGTCTATTCACCCCCACCACCCTCAGAAAGGCCTGCCTACTGGTGTATCAATACGGTGTTACAATAATCCTGTGCAAGTTCAACTCTTTTCTCATGTAAACACTCTCTTCTCTTCCAATGAAATAGAGCCCCTAGTCACGTGAGTACATGCCCCCTAGCCGTAGGCCGCTTAAGTATTTGTAGTGAACTTGAACTAGCCTGCAGCGGAGGCTAATGTAAAATTGTCCCCAGAGTCTTCTCGTTCTCCAAAGACGAGCATTCCCGGGGACGAGGTCAGCGCTCATGTTGAGGAACACAAAAACACATTGAATCAATGTATGGAACACTTATAATCAAGTGGCTCAGCGAAAACAAGTTCAACGCGAGTTGCCTGCGAAAGGGACTCTGCATATAATAACTTGAGATAGAAACTAACCCTGTAAAAATGAGAGTTGATTCGCCTCGTTATCATCAAACTACAGTTGTTTTAGTTTTTTGACTTACTTTCGAAGGATCATCGCAATAGCCGTTTTAATCTCACCAAGGGCAAAAGCGTGGCCAATACAGTTTCTGAAAACATAAATGATAGTATCGTGTTGAATTACGAATAGTGATGGGAAAACCGATCTCTTTTTTTTCTCGCACGTCATTAAAGCTGCTGATAATTGAAACAGGAAAATTTGAACGTGCTGTTGGACAATCTTGAACCCAGATCTCACAGATGCCTGACCACAGACTCTTCGACTCCTCTAGAGCGTGGGAGATCTGAGTTACAAGATGATGTTGCTTAGGGACAGGTCATTATTTATCACCTGGGGGTGGGGCTGAGGATTTGGGGCTAAAGAAGGTGAAATTTAGCCGATCCCCCCTTTGAATGTTACTTCACTAAAGTGATCCCCCCTAATAACTTTTGATGACTTTCGCGATCTCCCCCCCCCCATGTCTTCATTTTCTAAGCAAATTTTAGTAGGACGATGACGAAGACTGGAATCCACTGAGACGGAAGTAAATATTTGGCAGTGAGGATTGGGATTTTGTGCAGGGAGCCCAACCGCTCTGGCACAATGTTCGATGTGGGTATGTGTGTGTGTGCCATTTCTGTGTCGTTGCTGTTCATACTATACTAGTCTGAGCATAACTTTACTTAGTTCACTAATTTGTTCGTCATTGGTTTCGGCATTTGTTCTGATATTCATTGCGACAGTCTGGCTTTCCTTTGCTGAGTCTTAAACAATTCAGTTGTAATTTTGTCAGCCAGGAAGACGGGTTTATGAAAACCTATTCATCAGTTACCATGTTGGTTAGAACGCCATTCGTATTTGTCGATCACTCCTTAGCTATCGTCGGTAAATAAGTGACTTCCTCAGTGGAATGGACCTCTCTGGTTTCAATAACAGAGCACAAATAGTTAAATAACCTTTTATTGCTTCACTTTTTTCGTGTACAGTAAGGTAGTAGAAAATTGAGCTCAGTCTACTGCACCAAGATATATCCCATGGCTTTGATGCTTCTCCCTCCATTGTCCGATGTATATCCTTTGATAGCGTTGTTTCCACATGTGTTGGAATCGTCAGTTTGCCCTCCATTTCCAAACCCAATTTTGGAATCACAGGTGTGGCAATCTCGTTGGTCATTTCCAAGGATGCCGATTCGTGTCTTAGCATAGTCGCGGGAACTGGCCGCATTGAACCCCTCCTTGTTGCACCCAGTCTGCAGGGAAGCCTGAGAGCCAATCAGCTTCTTCCACGTGTTACGACCCAGTGACGTGCTGCGATACTTCCCGTCTGCGATCAAGGAATGCAGAGAAGCTGCCTTCTTGTTGATAACAATGAACTTGATCTGCTGGCCGATCTTCATACCCAGGCAGATCTTAGAGAAGGATGTGTTCCAGTAGGTTGGCAGTTTAGTCTCTTGATCGTCAAACCCGGTCTTACCTCCTGGAGGGTTATAGGGATTCTTGTTACTCCAAAACCCAGAGCTGTAATGGAATGTTTTCTGTAATAAAAACAAGAACCCATCAGCTTTACACTATATACATAACTTCCGTATGCCATTAGAATCGTTTTACCTTTGCGCCATTAATTTTCATGGCCAGTGTCCACCCTCCATCTCCGCATCCAAAGTTTCCCATGTGACAGTAAACAGGAATCTTTTGCGAACCAAACTTCAGCGTGTACACTTGGCTTTTGGTCGAACTACGAAATTGAAAATGGCGAACGTAACGTTCACTGCATTATTATATTTTGCATGTATCGGCAGCTCCTGTCATTTTTGACTGAATGTCAAATTTTTAAGGAAACATCTATATCATCTCTTATAAAAAAGCCAGTTTTTCTTGGTGCCAATCGCCTTATTTCACAACACTGTATCTATCTATTCAAGACTCAAACTCACTTGTGCTTTTCATACTGTTCCTTGCACGAGGAAGCGAGAATGACTGTAATCAAATAGGAAATAAAAAGGTTTTTTATTAAGAATGACTTCAGATCCTCTCGCTTAGCAAAATAAGAGGCTTGAGAAGGGAAGACAAATGCGTCGAAAAAGTGAAAGCTCATTAGAATACATTTTCACCAGCGAGTTATTAAAGTTCAGTCTCATATGGCTAGCAGCACTTCTTGCGAGTTATTACAACTTAGTTAAAAATCGTTAATATCTGCTATAGTTTACCTTTTGTTCTCGCAGGTTTGTTCATAACTGCGACAAGGCTTTCCAGTTTCGCTTGTAACAGTTTAATGGCGTCGTTTGCGCTCGAATCCTGTAGCAGGTTACACATCAGGTTGCATACCATGATCTTGTCGTACGACTTGGGGCAAGATGAAGAAGATCCATCGCCTTTGACAGTCATTACAATAAAGACCGCGAGAACGTTAGCTTGGAAAAACAAACGCATTTTAAAAAAACTTGAAGTAAATGTCAAGCCAAGTCTCTGTGAATCAGCACCTCTCGTCTCTAACGTATGGTTGTACACAGCTACTGAGGTAATGAAGAAGGTTATGTTTACATTTCGGAATATTTTCATGCTTAGAGCTTTGACCAATCAACTTGCTCCGGGTTTGCATTGATTGTTACTCACCTCAGTACCTCTTTGCCGTGTCGAGAAATTTGTTCATTCAAATTTTACTTGTTGATTGTGGGTCAAAGAAATAAATTCGCACAAGGAAAGATAAAGGCGATAGCTCTCGACCTAAATGAAGTCCCAGGGTCGTATTGGCAGTAATGACTTCTACAACGCTGTAAAAAAAAAAAAAAAAAGAACAACCTATGAAGGCTTTTGTTTGACCAAGCTGAGCAAGAGAAAAATCAAGATCTCTAATCACTTCAACATCGTTCCTCCCGAAGATTTAACATCCTGACCAGTTCATTTAAAAAGTGAAAGGCCAATGATGACCAATTTTTTGCTCATCAACATTAAATTTGGCACATGTGAAATGCGGCGGTGTAACTGGGGCTACCTTCAGGCCTAATTGTGAAGTCAAAATGTCGTTGCCTCTTTTGTGTTGGTCTTCAACCCAACACTGAGGACGTTGACATGGCCAAAAATAGAAACGAAGCGCAAATTTGACAGTACAAAAATCACCAACATTCCGGACGCTTGTTAAAAACTTGTTTAAGGCATGCACACAAAAATAATAGTTACTTTTGATCCTTCACTGAGTAGAGAGAAATTTTAAACTGAAATGCGCTTTGGTATTAAGTGCGAATTATCATCATTGGCATTTGAAAGACGTGGGTTCAAATCTTCTGTCTGTTTTAAATATGTTTCGTTTCGATGTTTTGGAGATTATAATGATTTACCAGAGATTATTATAAATAACGATAATCTCATACCCAGTAAATTGAGACATTCTCATTTGAATTTGTTTCTTTTACCGACCTTAGTTTTAATCAAATTATGGATAATAAAATTAAATTTAAAAAAAACATAAACAGGAATTTGATAGAACAAAAGCAGTATCTGTAGCGTGTTCAATTATCCCGTCCACGTGGCATAATGTTAAAGTTAGATATTTATTTCCATTACTGATAACACGAACGTCGCTGTTGTTAACTATGCCCCATGAGCAAAACATAATTGATTTAGTGTGCAGCCTATGTCAATCTCAGGAACGGAAAGTAGATATGATTTCCATGAGGGGAAATGTGTTAGATGCCGATTTATTTAACTTGTGTTAACTGATCGACACTAATTGTTCTAATTATCACTTACATGCTAAGGTAAAGCCCCAGTTTTAGGACAGCTTTTCCTTTTTATTTCTTTTATAACAGATCATTGACTTTGAAACGTGAGACAGACTGACAGCAAAAGTCTGAAAAGTACAGCTGGTGTTTTTAAATAACTTGCCTCTCGGTTTTATACACTATTGCAAGTAGCTTTCCTTGTATTTTTAGCAGCAAAGAATAAGGCTCAGGACGGAATCAGTTGCCAGACAACATTTGGTGTAGTCGGGGTTTGCAAATTAACAAGGCGCACAAGGCGCTGTTTGTAATTTTTTTGTATCATCCAGATTTTTTCCAAACTTGGCACAATTATCAGCCATATTTAGGACATTGCATTGGAAAACTGTAATATCTAATATTATAAAAGAGGGTCCGAATGTGGGTACCTCGATAACACTAAATACTTAATTTTTTTGCTCTGGAAAATGAAATAGTGAAATTTTAGGCATTTAAACACTAACAGTGAAAAGATCACTGTAACAGTAAAGTGTTTTGGGAAAAAAACAGAACGGTTCCAAAAAAGCCAACAATATTATTGTGTTTGGTACATCAAGAACTTTTCGGACATTTTTCGACAATTCCGATTATTTCTGAAGACTTCCAAAGACTTCCGAAGATTCCTGAGGACTTCAAAAGATCCGAAGATTACCGAAACTGTCCGTATACAGCCAAAGACATCCGAAGACTAGAATACTGTTGCGCATTGGTCGAAATAAGAGACTACAGCCCCCTTTGAGCACGCGCTCAGAGTTCAGAAGTGATTATTCATTCCGATTTTCCAAGAACAGAAAAGAATTGTCAAAATATGGGGTGACCGTACTTGTTTCCGCCCTGCGTGGCCATGATTTTAAGTTTTTTGTCCTAGTTGCGCGCGAAATGTTCGAAACTTGAACCACCGTCAAAAATCCTTATGATACTGCGAAAACCGACTATGAATCTTATGAAAACTTAAAGCCCGTTTGTTTGTCTAGGCTATAATTTTTTACGAAAGTGACTTCAAATTACCCGATCTTGTAAAAAGTGTAGGAAAATGGACAATTTTAGCATTTAATCCCGTACTTCTTGTGGCTGTAAATAGGGAGTTTCACGTCATTCATATCTAAACAATACAACTTCGACTATACATATTTTTTCCTCCTTAAAGTACATTTTTCATGTCGCCATAAAGAGCAAATAACACTAATTTAAAAAGGGGAAGTCACCGTTCTCGTTTTATCTCAAAAAGGCAACAAAGGGACAATTTCGGCTTCAAATGATCATTATGCGCGAAGGGACTGGGGCGAGTTTCAAGACCAACACCTTTGTAGCTGGCAAGAGGCATCATAATCGCTATATAAACTATCTGGACTACAACGCCTATTTCTCTTTCGTAAATGGTCGTTGCCATTTTTGACGGTCGATGCCACCATTGGTAACCAAGCCTTTAGTCACGATAGATGAAATATATTCCCTAGGTTAAGTTACATTAAGGTAAATACTGAATATAGTACGTTTTTGAATAGACTTAGAAAGAGCGACGTTGAACCCTAACTTGAATCCATGTTTAAAGTTATGGAAAGGACTAGGGTCACCTGTTATTGACGTATCAGTTAAGAGAGACAGTTTGCTAGTTTATAGACTTAAATTTTTCGGAATAAATTTTGGCGGGTCGGTGTGGTAGTGTGGTGGTAAGGGAGAGAAATTAGGATACGAAAGGTCTGGGTTCGTGGTCCAGGTTCTACCCGGGGTTGCGATTTTCTTTCTTTTCAATAGAAACACTCTCAATAACAGAGCGATTCAGAACAGGTCAGGCTGCTAATTGTACCGACCGTGATGGCTTCCTATTGTAGTGGCAAAAGTATGGGCCCAAATTCTCTGCACTCTTAAATATGAGAATACGAATAAATTCGTGATCACAAACTTAATTCGATGGTAGTTTTGTTGAAGAAACAAAAATAAAAATAGTATAATTCTGGAATGTTTGCTGACATGTCACTCAATTTCAAACACACCGTTTATGACACATTTGCTCAGTTCCAAGACATTGTGCTGCTAACAAATTCGTATCGTTCTGTTAACAACATTTTGGTGTATTGCGTTGCGTTGGGCAGTTAACAACAATTTGGATTTGATGAAAGGGTAAATTGTCATTTTTCTTTATTACTGTTATTGGTGTTGAGTCGAGTTGAATGCGAATCACTCTATTGGTATTGGGGAAAAGCAGTTTCACGAATCAGCGGGTAGGTATATGTTTGTCCCTTCTAACAGTTAAGGTTATTTTGTTTGATCGTTTGGTCACTGACGATCAACAGAGAACGTTTCTGAGTAAGTGTTTGTCCTTAAGTTCCTAATTCCCCCAGTTTAAGTCAGTAAGTTACTCGTTTTTCTCGCTCAATGCTGTCAGTGTCCAATGCTAGGAGGTCAATGGATTTGTCAGAGTCTACATAATACCACCATTACAAACAGGTTTAAATTACTCTTTAATTTCTCATTTGCTTTTGAGAAAAACAATGCACAGGTCAGTTCATATTAACTTTACTGAACCAAGATGTACCCCATCGCTTTGATGTTTTTGTCTTGGTTACCACACGTGGTGTAGCTGTCAGACCTGGTTGCGGTGCCAAATCCAATCCATGAGTCACATGTTTTGCATTCCTTTTCGTTGTTTCCAAGGAAGCCAATCCTGGCTCCTGGGATTTTGTACCCACGACCAACATTGAACCCTTCCTTGTTACAGTTAGGTTGTAGAGAGGCCCGAGATCCAATCAGCTTCTTCCACGTGTTACGACCCAGTGACGTGGCGCGATACTTCCCGTCTGCGATCAATGAATGCAGAGATGCGGCCTTCTTGTTGATAACAATGAACTTGATCTGCTTGCCGATCTTCATACCCAGGCAGATCTTGGAGAAGGATGTGTTCCAGTAGGTTGGCAGTTTAGTCTCTTGATCGTCAAACCCGGTCTTACCTCCTGGAGGGTTATAGGAATTCTTGTTACTCCAAAACCCAGAGTTGTAATGGAAAGTTTTCTGAAATACAAATAAGAACCCATCAGCTTTACACTATATACATAACTTCCGTATGCCAGGACAATCGTTTACCTTTGTGCCATTAATCTTCATGGCCAGTGTCCACCCTCCATCTCCGCATCCAAAGTTGCCCATGTGACAGTAAACAGGAATCTTTTGCGAACCAAACTTCAGCGTGTACACTTGGCTTTTGGTCGAACTACGAAATTGAAAATGGCGAACGTAACACCCACTGCATTATTATATTTTCCATGTATCGGCAGCTCTTGCCATTTTTGACTGAATGTCAAATTTTTAAGAAAAAATTTATAGCATCTCTTAAATAGAAAAAGCCAGTTTTTCTTGGTGCCAATCGCCTTATTTCACAACACTGTATCTATCTATTCAAGACTCAAGCTCACTTGTGTTTTTCATACTGTTCCTTGCACGAGGAAGCGGCAATGACTGTAATCAAATAGGAAATAAAAAGGTTTCTATTAATAATGTCTTCAGATCCTCTCGCTTAGCAAAATAAGACGCGTGAGAACGGAAGACAAATGCGTCGAAGAAGTGAGAGTTCGTTAATATCTGCTATAGTTTACCTGTTGTTATTGCAGGTTTGTTCATCACTGCAACGAGACTTTCCAGTTTCGCTTGTAACAGTTTAATGGCGTCGTTTGCGCTCGAATCCTGTAGGAGGTTACACATCAGGTTGCATAACGTCATCTTGTCGTACGGCTTGGGGCAGGATGAAGAAGATCCATCGCCTTTGACAGTCATTACAATAAAGACCGCGAGAAAGTTAGCTTGGAAAAACAAACGCATTTTAAAAACTTGAAGTAAATGTCAAGACAAGTTTCTGTGAATCAGCACCTATCGTCTCTAAAGTATGGCTTTACACAGCTACTGAGGTTAATGAAGAAGGTTATGTTTACAGTTCGGAATATTTTCAAGCTTACAGCTTTGTCCAATCAACTTACTTCAGGTTTGCATTGATTGTTACTCGTCTCAGTACTTCCTTGCTGTATCGAGAAATTTGTTCTTTCAAATTTTGCTTGTTGATTGTGGGTCAAAGCAATAAATTCACACAAGGAAAGATAAAGGCGATAGCTCTCGACCTAAATGAAGTCCCAGCGTCGTATTGGCAGTAATGACTTCTACAACGCTGTAAAAAAAAAGAAGAACCTATGAAGGCTTTTGTTTGACCAAGCTGAGCAAGAGAAAAATCAAGGTCTCTAATCACTTCAACATCGTTCCTCCCGAAGATTTAACATCCTGACCAGTTCATTTAAAAAGTGAAAGGCCAATGATGACCAATTTTTTGCTCATCAACATTAAATTCGGCACATGTGAAATGCGACGTTTGAACTAGGGCTACCTTCAGGCCTAATTGTGAAGTCAAAATGTCATTGCCTCTTTTGTGTTGGTCTTCAACCCAACAATGAGGACGTTGACATGACCAAAAATAGAAACGAACCGCAAATTTGACAGTACAAAAATGACCAACATTACGGAAGCTTGTTAAAAACTTGTTTAAGGCATGCACACAAAAATAATAGTTACTTTTGACCCTTCACTGAGTAGAGAGAAATTTTAAACTGAAATGCGCTTGGGTATTAATATATTTCGTTTCGATGTTTTGGAGATTGTAATGATTTAGTACGGTTAAAAGATTATTTTCAATAACGATAATCTCATACCCAGTAAATTGATACATTCTCATTTAAATCTGTTTCTTTTACCGACCTCAGTTTAAATCAAATTATGAAAAATAGAATTATATTTCAAAAGAACATAAACACAAATTTGATAGAACAAAAGCAGCATCTGTAGCGTGTTCAATTATCCCACCCATGTGGCATAAATTTAGAAATTTATTTCCATTGCTGATAACACCAACGTCGCTCTTCCTTGCGCAAAACACAATTGATCCTTTATTCTTGTTACTGTTTATGTCAGTCTTAAGAACAGAAAATAGTGTATTGGGGGTGGGGGGAAGTTTTTATGTTACAGAAATATGAAAGAATCTCAGTCCGGTATCCAAAAACAAACAACAATGACTTGGATTAAAATCACTGCACGAGGATGAATCGCCGCTAAAGCGAAGACCAAGGTTGACCACTACTCACAAGGTCAAGCCTTTTTTGTCCTTAAAACGTCTTAAAATATTCCAAGCAGCAAAGTATCTATTGCAATTAAAAGATATTCTAGACATCGAGTATAAAAAATGCGCAGTTTCTAAGGTAAAACAGCAAAAACAGCAAATCATTGTCCCTTTTTAAGTCAAAGCTTAAAATTTGTAAATAATGCCTTATCAAATTATTATTATTATTATTATTATTATTATTATTAGCTTCTTCTAAACGTTGAACATTTGTCCGACTGTAAGAGAATAAATCATGCTTGCTTCAAGTATGATATGTACCAGGATTTAAGCATAATCTGTACACTTAAGCATAGTAAACCAATTAACAATTCGCCACTCAAGAAACGAGAAGCAAACTGGACCGAGTCAACTTTTGCAAAGGCTTCTGGGACTGTAACTGGGGCAATGGAAAACAAATTGGCCAATAGCTGACGGGCGTTCCCAATAACGATCCCAGACGCCTTTGCGAAAGCTAACTCGGCCCATTTTCCTTCTCGTTTCTAAAGTGACAAATAGCACTTCGCTTAGCGGGCTCGATATAGCGCGGGCTCATTTCCCGAACAGCGGCTGGTAATCGAGCCTATTCGCTTAGCAATTAGCTAGTCCCTCTCTAAATGTTCCTGCCCAAGACAGGACTTTCCACAAGTTGCTCATCAAGTTTTTGGCAACTTCTCGTATTTCGAGCAACTTTTTGCATTCTGAGCAATTTCTCTGGTTATCTTTCTGAGACATCGTAGCAGCTTTTAGTTCTTAAATTGGCCTTTTTTCTATATTTCACATTGTTTTAGCGGACAATTTATTAATAAATTCTGTAAAAAAAAAGGAACCAAATCCTCCCCCCTTTGGCAGATCATGGGCACAAAACAAAGTAACCGGGCTCCTAGGTCAGCGGTTTTTAGAGAAAATTCAAAATGGTGGACGAAGTTTCACACTCGACTGACTTAAGTGTCTCGGGTGAAGAAGGACATTCAACAATTTTGTTGGCTTTAGTTTTAATTGAGGACAAAGTTATGTAGCAACGATGGTTACGCCGCAAAAATTCACAAAAATGATTAGAAATATTTTGTACAATTTTCAGATTTTAGCATCAGACCCAAAAAAGTTTTTTGGTCTGATGCAAATTACGGGAAACGTTTTGGAAAATCTCGAGCAACTTGTGGAAAGCCCTAGCCCACGAGGTCCCACTTTGGAACGTCTGAGAATCAGGCTACTACTTTTCCCAACAGGAATTTTTACCTTATCTCCAAGAGAGACAATTCGTAGCGTTTTATATAAGCGCCACTATTTGTATTGAGTGTCTGCACTTGTTGAATAGCATCTCGAGTGTATGACCACAAACCCACCGTCCCATCCCCCAGGCATGACGCGTGCTCTACCTTCAATGCACGAGGACAGGGGGCATTTTCACCCTTCCATATCTCATTGTATTTTCACGTGTATTGTAGGTAGTGACAATATGTTCTAATTGTACTTACCATGATGGCTTCTTATTGAGGTGACAAGAGTATGGACCCTGATTCTCTGTACTCAGTCTTAAACATGCGAATGCGAATCACCAACTTTTTAAATTCGTCTTACGAACTTAAGTCGACGCAGGTTTTGTTAGAGAAACAAAAAAATAAAACGAGAGTTAAATTCTGGAATGTTTGCTGCCTTTTTACATGTCACTCAATTTCAAACACACCATTTTACAAGAAATTGCTCAGATTACAAGACATTGTGCAGCTAAAAATTCGTTTTGTGCTTTTTAAGGACGGTGCCCACTAATGGGAAGTAGTTTTTCCCAGATAATGACTATGTGAGACAAGTAGATCATATCAGGGGCTATTGAAATCCAAAAAGAAAACTGGGGGTAGCCAAGCATTTTTCAGAGATAACTGCTCTTCAATTTAGAGAAAAATGCTGAATGGGCATTTTTGAGAAAAATGATAAAAAGTTAGTTTTTCCCCAAATTTCAGAGTGTACACGCGAACTGTCACAAATGCAATGAGAATTGTAACAAGGTTTCAAAATAAGCAACAAATGATAACATAACAACTGCTCTTTATACGTCTTTTTTTGAAATATCAGCACAACTGGGAAGTTATCAGCAGTTACCCCTCTCCACGCGTTTGCCTCAAAAATAGTGTAAACGACATTTTCCCCGAACCAAAAATTGATCGTTTGCTGAGTAGGCTTATTACTTTCATTTGGTAAGATAAAAAGTAGGGGTTACCATGCGTCTTTAGAAGTTAAATTGGTTGGTTTCGACATTAACTTAATCGCTTTGGGGGTTATTTACAATTTTCCCCATCCCCTCCCCGGTCAGTTTCACTATTGCTTCACTCAACGCGGAGTACTCTGGGATATCCACAATGGCTAACAGTCAGAGAAAACAACAACACACGGAGGAGAGCAAAAACAGAGAGTGAAGCAGGACATCTCATGGACTCTAAGGAAAACAAATTATACTATTTCATTTAACTGGAGCTTCTCCGTCTCAAACATTTAACAAAAAGTTTTGGAGAAGAGCAATCTCCAAGGTATTAGAGATTACTTGCAGCGCACATAGAGTAGTATGGCGAGCTCAAGATCCACGGCTGGTGCTGTAAACAAACTACCGTACTGTAGTAGGAAAATAGTCGACAGGAACTCTAAGACAGGTACTCCTTCAATCGTTTGCTTACCTGTACATGTCCTCAAGATTTTTTGAACTGTAGATGTCATATGGATTGTAAACCTTCTTGACTCTAAGACAGGTACTCCTTCAATCGTTTGCTTACCTGTACATGTCCTCAAGATTTTTTGAACTGTAGATGTCATATGGGTTGTAAACCTTCTATCATTTTTTTTTTAATCATTTTACCGGGTACCTCGATCGAATATGTTATTAAACTTGCATACAATCAATGAGCTCATATCTGTGCTTTGCGCTATCTCTTTTGGGCTTTGACACAAGTGTCATATGACAAAAATGATTTGCATTGACTTAAGTTCCATACATGAGCTCTCTTTTAAAAAAGCAGAATAGTGTGAAAGTAGTTGTACCGAATGCGTTTATCTACCCTCATATAATCATTTTATATATTTCTTTTTGATTTTTTTACTGTAACATTCTGTGTCATAATCGTTCACTATTTTTCGTTTCTAAATGTTAATTTTAGACTTAACATTGTCTGTAAAACCTAAGAAAGACTTAGAATGGAAATACTTTATTTTACCTTCCATCTTTAGTTTGTAAACAGCCAAATGGCAGCTATGTCTAAATGTCCAGATTATGTGTGGCGTGAAATTGAACCCTAAGAAATACTATCTACACGACAAGCTGCCAATGAGTCAATAATTTCAATGCTTAGTACATGTAATGCCAAAATGCTTAAATAACAATGATAATAGTAGTAAGCATAACAATTTTTTTAACCATTTTTTTCCGCGATGAAAGCGTTTCCTTTGCCGTCCGCAACTATTTGTGACGCTGCGATCTCATAGTTTTTTTCTTCTTTGTTCAACAAATAAAAGCCTCGGACTCTCAATAAAAGGGACATCTGTGTGTACTCGAACGCTTTAAATCTATCTTCTGGTGAATAATTACATAAAATCTTACAAAATTAAAGAAATATTCGGGAAAGTGTTTATAGCCAATTAGACGATAAAACGCGAAGGACGCGAGTGAAAGGTAAGCTTGCAGTTTCTCAATTAA